CATAAGTATATCTACTTTATGATGGCCTGGCTCCAACAGGCAGGACTATTTATAAAACTAAGTAAGTATCTCTTTATAGTAAAGAGAATTAACTTCTTAGGCTATATAATTATACTAGAAGGCCTAGAAATAGAACCTTTACAGATTAATATCATTACAGAATAGCCATAACTAGAATCTGTAAAGGAGATCCTAGTGTTCCTAGGTTTTATAAACTAGTATAGGAGGTTTATTAAGGAGTATTCATGCCTTTTAGTATACCTCTTAGATCTCCTGTGAAAACCTAGCCCAGGGAAGAAGGGGAGGATTCTAGGGAAGGAGTTCTTAACCCCTAAAGTAGTAAATACCTTTAATAGGTTAAAGAAAGTATTTACAGAGTAGGTAGTACTTACCTACTTTTATAAAAAGTATTACTTATGAATAGAAATAGATATATTAGGGTATGCTATCTATAGGATACTATCATAGCTAAGTAAGGAGGGTCATTAGTAGCTAGTAGCCTTCTTCTTATAGAAGATATAGCTAGCAGAGAAGAACTATAGCATCTATAATCAGGAACTCCTTATAATAATAGAATCCTTTAGGGAGTGGTGCCATTACCTAGAGGGTTTATAGGAAGTTATAGAAATTATTACTAATTATAATAGCCTTTATTACTTTAAGACCATACCCTAACTATCATAAAGACAGGTAAGGTGGTTATAAATACTTATAGTATTTAACTTTAAAATAGTCTTCTATATAGGGAAAAAGAACCCCGCGGATAGACCCTCATAAAGAGCTAACTATAAGAGAGAGGCCATAGAGGCAGATGCCTAAGGTTAAGGGAGTAGAGACCCTAATATACTATAATATTAGTTAATACTTTATAAAAGGGAACATACTGAGGTGAACACCCTAGAAGATATAAAATAGAAGGTTTATATAGTACTAGTCTAAGGGACAGCAAACTCATAAGAAGAACTAGCTTAGGGAGCCAGCATCTATAAGGATATCTAGGGGCTAGGCCCTTATATAAAGGACCCCTCTACAGAAATTTAAGCCCTCCTTCTAAGATTACTTATATAAGATGAACTTATAAAGAAGATTTATATAGCACAAGCTGGAGCTATAGAGGAGCTATTATAGCCTTACTATATAAAGAATAAATTATTATATTAGATAAGCTATAAAGGGCTCCTCTATCATAAGGGTTTACTCTATATCTCAGATTATTATAGCTTAAGACTAAGTATCCTTATAAAACTTCATGATGACCCCTTTACAGGCTACTTTATAGAATAAAGGATAAGAGAGTTAGTCCTAAGGCACTTCTGGTAGCTAGAAGTAAAGAACTTTATCTATAAATACTATGTAGCTTGTGGGGTGTGCTAAGGATTATAATAGACTTAGGGTAAGCAGTAAGGCTTACTAGAGCCTATACCTGCCCCTGCAGGTATCTAGATCTAAATTACTATAGATCTAATCATAGATCTCCCCATGAGTATTTCCACAGTAAATTTATAAGAAGCCTTTAATGGCATCTTAGTAGTAGTAGACTAATTTAGTAAGATAGGCTATTTCATACCTATCTAAACCACCCTTAGTGGGGAGAAGTTAGTGATGACTCTTATCTATAAGGTCTTCTAACTTTATAGAATCCCAGAAAAGGTTATTACAGACTGGGGTTCTATCTTCGCAAAAGGTTTCTAGGTAGATTTTATATTTCATCTCCTAATTTATAAGGGGCTCTCCACAGCCTACTACCTATAGATAGATGGCCAGATAGAACACCTAAATAGTGTGCTAGAACAGTATTTATAAGCCTATATCAACTTTAGTTAGGAAGACTAGGTTAACTATCTCTCTATCATAGAGTTTACCTATAATAATATATACTAGGTATTAATTAAGAATACACCTTTCTATATGATTATAGGTGTTAACCCTTATATAATAGTAATAGACTCTGTGAACTAACTAAAGGGTAAGGTTATGAAGGAGTTAGTTATAAAGAGACTAACTAAGCTAGAATATACTTATAAGTATGTAAAGGAGGCTCTAGTAAAGGCCTAAGCCTACTAAAAAGAATATTATAATAAGAAATGCATTACAAAGATATTTTAAGTAGGAGACTAAGTCTGGATCTCTACTAAGAATATATTATGGATCAGACTAACCATAAAGTTAGATTAGTTAAATACTAGTCTAGCATAAATTATGGAACACATAGGCAACCTAGCCTATTATATAAATCTACTACTAGGCCTTAAGATACATAATATATTCCATGTCTTCATACTCTATAAATATAAGGAGATAGAAGGGGTAAATTTATAAGAATACTTCTCTATCTATAAAGCTGCAGAAGAGGATTATAAATATTATCTAGAGGTAATCTTAGACTTATAAGGGGATAGATAATCCACAGAGTATTATATCTAATAGAAAGAGTATACTAAGGAAGATAATACTTAGGAGCCTGTGAAAGGGCTACACCACCTATAGATCTATAAGGACTATATAAGGAACCCTATAAGGAGGGGAAATACATCTTTATTAAGGAGAAGATAAAATAATAAATAAAATAAATATAAAAATCCCTAACTCCTAAACCCACCATCATAAAGGTACCTAATATCAAGCATAAGTATAATATAGTTCACAGGGCTAGGAAGATAACTACTAGACCTAAGGCTACTTAAAAGAGCAGCTCTTATAGCTATAGTAGAGATAATTATTATATTTCCTAGCCAGCCTACTAGAAATATATACTATAAACGCTAAGCTTATGCTTAGGTCACAGCAGGTACTATACTCCTAGCTAGTAGGAGGTCTTACCCTAGCTCTAGTCATAAGGATAGCCTTATAGAGCTAGGCATGGACTCCTAGCTAACTAGGTATACTAAAGCTACACTAGTTAATAGAGTAGAGTAGGGTCCTAGTAACCTATGCTTACTCCTAGCCTAATAGGGGTTGCAATCCTATCTAGGGTAGGAGCCCTATAACTACTACTAGATTCCCCTGTAAGTAGGGGAGGAACCAGGCATCTAGGGATAGCTTTACTATTAGGCTAGAAGCCCAGGTATTAATACTGCTAGTAATGGGTGCTAGGGCATCCTAGTTAGCTCTGAGAGTGCCTGCTAGAGGTAGTAGTGGCCTAAAGATAGAGGCTCCCCTTATGACAGGGGCTAGCCACACTCTTATTAGGTTAACAAAGAAGGGGCTGTAAATAACCCTATATAAGGGGAGGAAGGCCCCTATAGGCATAAGGGAGAGAGAGGTAGGAGGAGCTATAGTAATAGTAGTAGTAGTGGCAGCAGTGGCAGCAGCAGTAATAGGGGCAGCGGCAGGCCTAGTAGGGGTAGTAGTAGCAGGCCTAGCAGCAGGCAGCGCAGTGGCAGTAGTGGCAGTGATGGGTATGGGGGGGAAGGGTATAGCAGGTAGTAGTAGTAGTATAAAGGCTGCCCCCTCCTCCTTTTATAAGGACTATTAGCAAGAGTAACCCAGACTTATAAGCCTTTACTTACCTCTAAGAGGTTAGAGGGGACAGGTGATAGTAGGAATATAGGGGAGGAGGCATAGGAGGATATTTTTCTGAAAATATCTTATAATATATTAATTACCTCTCACCTGAACATTATAAATTATGGAGGGTCCCTTACCAAAACTTTTATAATAAAAACTAGGGAAAATACAGAAGATAGAGTAGAAAAAAGATTATATACTCTGCAAAAATTATTACTGCCCTAAACCCTACTCTATAGAGATTTTATATAATAAGGCTATTAAGGGATTTTTAGGAGCATCATGAGAATAAGTAATATAAACCTAAAACATAGTATAAGAAGATTTTAATAGTGATAAAGATATTATAGTTAAAGGGATCCACCCATGACTAAGCCTTTATAAGAAGATGAATAAAACATATTAAAAGAAGAGGGTAGCAAACCTTTTCTATTATTTATGGTTTTCCCTTCACAAAGAGGGTTTTTACTAAATAAAGGTTTTTACTAGTGCACCCTATCACAAATAAGGAACCTCAGACAGACCTTAGAGGCTAAGGTCTTCCTAAGGGGGGGGTAGTTATAAGGATTATAAAGGTCCTTTATATACTATAGTAAAGTTACCTTTGCAGAGGAGCCTACCTGGAGGGAGGATCCTTATAAGAGGTCATGTGAATAGTCATATAATATATAAAGATAATAACCCCACCCACAACCACTGAACTCTGAAGTTCAGTGATAATCTCTTTAAATAAGGACACCTATATTTAAACCTATTTATAAACATTCTTCTTTCACACTAGTTTCCAACTCTCACGGATCATAGATCCTTATACCATGCCCGGCTTCTGATGATCTCCCTATATCTAGCTTCTAATGATCTCCCCATCCCTAGCTTCTAATTATTTTCTTATTTCTACTTTATAATGCTCTTAATTACAATATCCTAAATTATTATTTTATGTCTCCTAGCTTATTACTCATTCTTAGCTTATCCATCCTATACTTAACTCTCTTCTTATCTAGACTCTATCTTTACTGAATAGGAATATTATGACAGTCTTACTATATTATGATGGTCTTACCATCCAGGGCACTAGATTATATGACCTATCATGTAATGTAGTAAGATATCTCTGACATGGAGGTACCATCTTACAATTTATCTTTCTATCCATCACCATATCAACCCCTACCTTTCAGGTAGAACCGTAGATGTGCCGTAACACCTCTGGCATGGCCTAGCTCAGTGCTGAAACAGAGCAAGGAACCAATCAATCAATTAATTGACCAGCTATAGTTACACCACCATATAAATCAGACAATACAGTGCTAAACTGGACCACTCAACAGACAAACAGTGAAGGATTTTAATAAAACCCAGTGCGTTCTTCTTCATATACTCCTGACTTTAGTTGCATAGTTAGATACCTTCTTGCAAGTCATAGCGAACACTCTCAAAAGCCTGCATCCTGGTAGAGGGTACCCTACACAAGCAAAACCCGAGCATTCCAGTCAAAAAGCCGAAGAACAACTACATTCTATGCTGCGATATACAACACTAAGTCCATGAGTCAGAAAGGAACAAGAAAAGGGGCATATGTATAACAGAGAGTGATACAAACCATTATTTCCACGAATGAAGGCATCACCGTAGCTGCGCCTTAATTTTCCATCCATAAATTCTTTAGACTGCTCCAGGGCAATGTTCATGTAACCATCTACTGACTGAAGTTCACCTAAGTCATGTTTAGCTTATGCCATGGATATATGATATGAGCATTTATAGATATTAATTACCTTTGTAGACAACCCCAGAGTTTAATTTAACAGTAACTGGGGCTCCAATGATTTCACTGAGGAATGCTGATGGGTCTCTGCCCTCTGAAGAGATATTTTCCATTGCTCTTGCTTTTACACTGGCAGGAACAATCCAACTCGATAATAATGTGAAAAGTAGTTGCTATTTATAAGGAGCGGTTGGTCATATAAAGTATGAATATGAGATAGACTATAAAAATTCACAGGTGAATGGACACACCTGTACGTGATGCCAAGAAGCGCATGAGTAATCAACAAAAAGAAGGGAATCAGTGAGCCTTGATACATCATTTGACCCTCATTGGCAAATCACCTTGACAGCTGCATAGACCAAAAGTCAAAGATGCACAAGAGGGGGGAAAAGTAACAGATAGGCAGGTGAGTTACCAAAAGTTGAATCGTATGTTCATGTTCCTAATATTGCTGATCCACAAGGGCAATTATCCGTCATCGAACGGGAGCCTATGACAATAATCAGCAACAACTGCTCCATACTTCATCCCTAATGCCAGTTCGCTCAGGAACATTTGAGGCCCTCCGACATCTGCCAAACCAACACCGACATTATCTGTTAAGCAGTCACGTACAACAGAGAAGGACTGAAGCCGATGCGGTCATTTTTTAAGAAACCTTCATGGGCAAGCCGCGGGGACGAAAACTCAACATCCGAATTTTACCGTCGCGCTGGACAAGTCTACGAGGACATAATCATTGCGAACAAAGAGGCCAGGGAAAACTCGATCCGTTGCAGCAGTGAAACTTTTACAAATCGCGGTCGGGCAAAGAAACGCCGTCGTCTTTCGGATGAGGGAATCCCCCAGGGAAACACACCCCCAGAATCTGATGACCAACCGAGACATATTCCCGAGCCTAGAGACGGGCAAGAAGTGGTATTGTTGACATACCGAACCCACTCATCGGGTGTCTCAGGGGAGGGAAGCAGTGGCAGCGAGCAACAAGTGGGGAAGAAAGCTACTCGTGATGCTAGCACTACTAACCAGGCTAATCACACTGGATTAGAATGTGAACGTGTGCTGGTCTCACCATGCCTCCAGGAGCTGGATATAGGATCCCCTTCTTGTATTGGATCCTGTATTAGCGCTGGAAGATCAGTCCAGCAGTATGGAGACAACCTGCAGATGACCCCCAAATCTGATTCTGCGCAATGCTCCGATCCCAAGGACAAAGATGTGATTGTGCAGATTCTCATCACTTCACAGCTAGCAAAGACAAAACCACTTATCATACACAGAAGAATGTCACAGTCTTTGCGCGATGTCCGCTTGGCATGGTGTAAACACCAAAATTTGTCAGCAGAAGTACAAGCATCCATTTATCTCACCTGGAAGGGTAGAAGACTATTTGATGTTACAACGTGTAAGAGTCTTGGACTCACCACGGAAACAAATCCATTTGAGGGCGATGATGAGATGAGCGATTGTATACCAATTGATAGCAGACACATGCGGGTCCATATGGAGGCTATCACGGAAGAGCTTGTCGCCCAAAATGTCCGATCTCTTTCGACCATGGCGCACTCGCAATTGATGGAGCCCACCCCCGGACAAGCGAGTTTGACCAGAATTATCATGAAGTGTCCTGGCTACGAGAATTTGGAGATGGAAGTCGATTCAAATGCGCGCGTCTCGCAGCTCATGAAAGCATTTCGCCATGCGAATAGTATTGCCGCAGAGCAAGATATCTATCTAGTATTCGACGGAGATCGACTCAGTCCTGATTCAAGACTGGCAGATTATGAAATCACAGATGATGATTTAATAGACGTTCTAATTCGATAACCGGGCGTCTGGTCCTGTTTCAAGTGGAAGAAATAAAATCTTGATTAGTATCTTTCCACGTCCATCTGATGCATCGGCAATATAAAGAAATGGTTCTCTTCATTTTGAGCGAATACCGCTTAAGAGTCATTTCTCAATGGTGGTGAAGGATTTTGGTCAATTGTTAAAAGATAAATGCTACTTTGTCATCTTAAATGAATGCATACTGTGTATAATGCAAGTCCCGTCATCTTGGCTGCGGAGTGTGGATACATATGGGGACTGGTCACTGGTGAGACCAAATGACCCAGAAACCAAGACCCACCCTATTAGATGGGTAGTCCAGAATCTCGATTTCAGCTATCTTATCGCGTGGCAGAAGTTTTGAACTTTCTTCTGTTTGATTTTCCACTTCATCTTCATTTCCAGTCCGTTTCATTAAAAAAAAAAATTAAGATGAAGCTAATGACTGCGAACTTTTTGACATGCGCTGTCAAAGGATGCAAGACATCACCAGCATCCTTCCCGCTTCATTTTCGCGATGCCGAGCTTGAACTTCAGGAACTTGACTTTCAACAAGATTTCATACGCAATATCGTCCCTCGTGTTGACTGGGATGGCCTTCGAGTAACAGCGAACGAAGTAGGTGAAGACTTTCTTAGAGCCAGTATAGCACGCTTATTCTCTTGACATTTCCCAGCTCGGATTTTCGCATTTACCAGAGAAGAGGCCTGAGGGTGAGGCTCTCAATGATGAACAGACATTAAAGGATTTGCACCGACTACTACTGGAGACCCATATCCTTGAAGGGAAATTGGTGTGTGGAAACTGCGGTCACGAATATATGATCAAAGAGGGCATTGCAAATTTTCTTCTACCGAGTCACTTGGGTCTGAAATACTCTTGCTTTCCTGCATTATATGCTCCTGCTAATATCCAAATTTCAGTCTAACATGCTTATTCATCCGTTGTCGTTGCTCCTACGCTTTTTGCTGGGTTCATAGTTTGCCGTCTAGCCATGATGGTATTTAAATATGAATTTTCCCATACCCGGACGGCGCGGGACAAGCCGCGGCTCTCTGCGCATCAGGCTCGGTTGCACAAGGTGGCAACAAGGATCTCATACGCCAGGTCTACTCTCGGGCTACGCCATGTAAACCCAGCACCTGCTGTTTCATTAACGGCGGATGGATTACGATGGTCCCTAAACTTTCTTTCACATGGCATCTGTAGTGATTCAAGTCCCCATCGGTAAGGGATAACTGCTCAATAAGCATCATGAAAAGATCAATAATACATGTGTATGTGTACTTGCGCAATCACCAATGAAAACGCCACCATGCCAGATGTTGGAAGCCAGCCAACTGCTCGTAGAGCCAAGATGTGGTAAGCGGGAACTGAAAAGAGCCTGTTGTCCCAGATGAAGTCAAGTCTCAGGGCAGGACTTGAGCTCTCGAGATGACCCTAATTAAGAAATCCTTTACAACCAGTTGAACCGCAAAGACATGGGATTCTGTCATCACTATCCCATTCTCTTTCAAACTTGTAGTCATAGGTTAGCTCCTCATCTGTGTATGAATGTCAGCTTGTGGAGTCAATGCGCATCTAATTTGCACGAGTGTCAGTTACCTCTTTCGATGTCCCTAAGAGCATATATGACAATCCTTTTACTACCATCGACCTTGATGATCTTGGCAGTGCAGTTAGGGGTACAGCTATGGTTGATGAACCTAGCAATACCTCCTCTTTTCGTGGCATCTATAACAGTGTTCTCGTCAATCCGGAAAAGGTAACTGCTACCAATCCCGCTTTTCAAGTACTGTCTTTCTCTCATGTCTGCAACCTGTTGCCGCACCTTTTCGCCCACATACTCTATAATCATATCATTTGCCGAGATGTTCTCTTCCGCATAAAGGCCCCAGTTGTGAATTGCTGACCTGGCGAAGCGCACCGGCTTCTTCCGTTTCTTCAACTGGTTGAATCGAAGAGCATCGCCATCTCCGCTTTGCATGGGAAGAGCCTGTTTTTGAGCATTGATGTCTGCGACCAGTCTGCGATTATTAACCCTGGTTGATCTTGAAGTAGATTTGGATATGGTCTTTGCTGCGGTGATTCTGGCAGCTTCAGCAGCTGTGGCATGGGGATCACTCCTCGCCTTAGCCTCGCGTTCCTCACGAGCCTTTTGAACCCTGATACGGTGGGGTAGATATTTGGATTTCTCGGACTCCAGGATTCTCTTTCTTCCCTCAGTTCGAGCAGCACCGGTAAAGTTGCAGACGTAGTAACCCGATATCTTAATTTCTTCATGGACAGGCCCAGTTTCATTGGGGCGACTGAGGGCCTTGATTTCCTTTTGCCGCCATGCCCATGCCGACAAATTGTCGACCTTAGACCATGGCAGTCCAGATAATACATCACGAAGAAAGCACAAGTCCTCTTCGTCTTTAACCAGAGCCTGCCAGCCATCTAAATCCATGACAATCGTTTCATCATCATCGACCGTTGAGCGGGGTTCATTATTCGATACGCCCCATTCAACCTCCGTTCTCATACCGTCATGTCTCTCTGCATTGTCATGCTCATCTGGTGATTGCAATTTCACTTCGATACCAGCATTTTGTATAATGGAATCGATATCAGGTGTACCATCCGAAGTCTGCTCGTGATCCTCGTGCGCCTGTATTGTTTTGTCGCTTACTTGGATTGAATGTTTCTGGTAGTCGTCAATGTGATCGACCGACCCTAAAACATCATGATCAACCCTTAGGGTTGACAGATCAAGAGCAGTTTCGGCAGGCAGATTCCTATTGAGATGCTCGCATTCATCTTCTTTAAGCCTCTTCCGCGCTTCAACATCCTCAGCAGGCCGCTTCCTTTTGCAGGTCAAAGACGAGTCCGGTGTATCCTTGTGTGGATATTGATCTATCGTATGTTCAGTCACGGGGGTTTGTAATACGTCCATTCCATGCTTGGCTTGTGCTGAAACAAAGCCATCCAAGGCCTCCGGGGCGGATTCGCCGTCATCAGAATCTGAAGATCTCGAACTCATTCGACTGGGAGGACGACTGTCCTGTTCATCAGGATCCACTGTGAACGGAGTGCGCGACTCGTCATCCGAATCGTCAACACTGTGTAATTGCTGCAGTCTGTGGTAGAGAGGCCGAACTTCTTTTTTCCGCATCGGTTGTTTGCGCCTTTCATCCACGAAGGCAGCATCTGCGCTGTTCAGTCGATGTGATTTCCTGATACGTGGTAGGGCAAGTATATTTAGGCCATAAGGGCTGAATGTATGTCGGCCATCTGAAAGAACGGACCGAGACTGACCAGGTCCCAGGGATGCTTCCACATCAATCCGAAAGGCAGGTTTCTTGATTCCTTCTGGATCCCGGAGACCCAACTGTTGTCTCTTAAGGGCATGTCGCTCCGGATCAAGGTAGTCGTACAAGGCTGGGGCCGCAATGCGCGATTTCACATCCTCGAGAAGTTTATCTTTCAGATCACGAACAATGAGAGCTAGGACTTCCCTACACGGGTCCATATTGATTGCCCTCTGTTGTTTTTCTTCTTCAATATCCAAATCTGCCTCCCTTTTCACCCGTTCCCTTTCAGACTTTTCTCTCCGCTCTGCCTGAAGACGCTCTGGGCTTGGGCTTCGCTCATAGTTTGGATTTCCATAAGGCTGGCTTTCCATATTCATGATGTAAGTGAAAAGAGGTTTCATGTGGCATACCTTGAAACAACGCTGAGTTTCCTCTTCGCCACGTCTGGAGTTTTCAAAGATAATATAGTACCCAGTTTTGTCGCAACGAATGTCTTTCCAGTCGAACAGTTTGAGTCTTTTCTTCAAATGGGGAACGGTCGTGCTAAGAACCGGCACGTAGCAATGTGCGATAAAAATGTAGGGCTCCCGCTTGATTTGACTCAATATAGGGGTTTCCTCGACTAACGATGGTACGGCTGGCTTGACAAAGCTCGCCCTGGGCCCTTCGGGTATGGCGAGCCCGGGGCGTGTGGAGGATCGTGAAGGACCTTTAGGCGCTGTCGGAGGCGGTTCGCTCCTCTTTAGTCGTGGTTCGAGTTTTGCTTCTTCCAACACAGTATTTTTCCTATGTCCCATCCGCTGAGACTCAATGGTCTTTGCAACAATTTTATCTGATACTGCCCCATCGCGATCAAGTTCCACTCTGATCCTCCGTGTCCCAATTCGTTGTTCTTTCTTGCACTCTAAAAAAGCTCGCCTTGCAGCAGTTGCAGCAGGAATTGACTCAGCACCCCTAAACGAATTACTGTCCTTGTACCTGACTGAGCATACTCCGAGAAATCGACCAGTAATGGGATCTGTGCGATTATTTATCTCTGAAACTTCACCGAAGCTTGAGAATAGTGCGCTTATTGGAGCAATCGGGGTTAGGGGATCAAATCCAGTGACCACTATCTGAATAGGTGGTCCTGGTCCGAGTGTTGTTGAAGCATCGTATGGCCATTGTTTCAATCTATAAGGAGCTGGCCGGTATTTCGTTTTCTGCTTGCATCCGGCTCCACGTGTGTAATTCGATATGCTCAGTCGCGGATCCGCTGGACAGCTCTTTGGGTCACTGACCACAAAATCCACGTACTGTGGTTTGCGACGCTTCTCTTTCGATGATCGTTTATCAATATCGGGATCATAAATCAACTTGCTGCCTTTGATGTCGCCGCCGCGCGGAGTTTGCGATTGTGGGGTTGGAGGTGTATGAAGAGGGGTGACAACAAGTTTCGCCTCTTCAGTCACGAAGTTGCTGGGCTTATTGTATTCTGCAATCCCACCTGCCGACTTTGACTGACATGGGCTAGACCTCTGAGGCGGAGATGACCCTGCATTAGTGAGGGGTGTTAGAGTGTCAATCTGTAATTCCTTCAACTGCGCAAGGCTAGATTGGGCAAGCGTTGAGCTCAGAATTGATGACCCCGTACTTGTTGTGTCCAGATTGATCCTCCCGGTTTCTCTGGATTGCGTCTTCTCTTGGCCCGTATGTATCGTTGTTATCGGAAATTCGAGTGTGCTGCTGTTCGTTGAGATATTGGCTATGGTGTTTTCCGGAGATGGCAGTTGCCCATCTTTTGGCTCGCTCCCAGGGCGATCTTTGATTAGGGAATGATCCCGTGGTGCTTTGATTCTCCTTTGTTGAAGAACAGATGGAGCGGTGGGGAAAAAGTCCGCATAGCCGGCTGAAGTGCGTGACATAATGAGAGAAGGCTTACAAGCCGAAAATTGACAAGCTGGAACCAAAACGCAGCATCCTTAACCGCAGTCTATCAACTGATGTGATGACTCACGGCCAGTGATCTTCTAATAATATAACCCAGGTTTCGCAGCTTGCCGAGAATGAGCAACGATAATCGCGTAGAAATCTTTATTCTCTGGAAAGAGAAAGAACAAGACGAAGCGCAGAGGACTTGCGAGGAGGGAGTCGGCAAAGAAGGCGCGTCGAGGGATATCAATGACAGAAGCCGTAGGTTCTCTCAAAAAAGCAGAGGATGGCAGCTGGAAATAAGGTGCCCCTACCAGGGCGATCAAACTGGTGGCCAAAAACTGCACGCAGCAAATCACGGCAAGAGCTTTGTGGGGTGAAATCTATGAAAGAGTCAACAGAATAAAGGACATGTGCACTCAATTTCAGGAAAAGAAAAGAGGTCAGTATAATACTGTGCGCACATGTCTAAAACTATTTGTCGTTTTCTTTTATGGTTCAGAGACTAAGTAGCATCATCACAGAAATGATGTACAAATTCCTCTGCAGACATCTCTAGTCTATCGGCAGGGATGGCTGACTACTCCATTTCCCCATTTTCACCGAACCACTTGCATACCTACCCAAGTACCCATACATATATTGCAATGTCCCCGTCATGCGAATTTTGCTGCGCACCCTACTAAATCTATCAATTTAAGTCAACGACCTTATAATTACCATCACTCGAAGCTGTCCAAGGAAAATGGAACTGGCGCGAAGTCCATTACCAGACATCTTCGCAATAGGGCATTGTGGTCAAATCTGGTCTTGATCGAGATTTTGATGATGTTGACATGTCCTCTCCTCTTTTAGGCATTATATCTCGGACTCATACCGCATATTCTGTTTTTTTGAACACCGCCTCAGTGTTCTGAACACCTGCTCTTCTTTTCAAATCATGCCTTTTCAGAATCCTTTGTTCTAAATGTAGTTGTCGGAATCATTGAATATCTGCTGTAATGTGCAGGTCCGGTTCAGGAGCTCAGCAGGAAATTTGGGGGGTTGGGGAGATGTGTTCAAGATATTTTCTTTAGCATGAACACTTGTTGACCTGTAGGCGACGATGCACGAGATGCGCCACACACGAGGAACCCGGAACAGCAAACCAGTGGCATGAAATGACTGTACTCTGATCAAGCCATTGTGATTAAAAACGGGCTATGTCTAGACGGAGGCAGGTAGCTCCTCCGTCCTCGCAATTGGGCTAGGACGCGTCATGGACTACTTATGTACGCTCAAAATCTATGCCTACTAGACGAGAATGACGGAAACCTTTTACCCAGAGACGTGGTGTCAAGAGCGGGCTCCATAACCTCTTCTGGAATGAGATAGGAAATAGATGGACCAACGATGCGAGGAGCCGATAGCCTACCGACGCTCAAGAAGATAGGGCCTGCCGACTCGAGCAATATACTTGTAGATCAATTTATACAGTTACATAGAAGGGACGGACTACCTAGGAGTCCTTTTTTTTATAGAATACTCTGTATGATGTACATTCAGCTTGAAATGGGGTACCTGGGCTACTTCATACAGAGTGGAGAGCTCATAATCTGAATTGAAGACGAAGAATAGGGAGCAACTTCAGAAAGGACATCTCGGATATGTTGGTACTTAAGCATGAGAGACACAAGATATTATTGGGAAAAGGGGGAAAAGTCTACCTACTGTCCAGGTGGTTGCCTACAATTTACGATTCTATCTACAGGTACTCGACCTGATAGAGTGGGACTCTTTCTCAAAAGCTTCCATTGGGCTTAAGTTTTCATCATTATCACCAAACAAAGTGTACCTAATCAATATCTGTTTCTATGGTATATAATGCCATACATACCTAGGTTCCATTGTCATTCATTTTCGTACTCTATTCTTCACCTCCCCTTCCCTCTGCCCAACAGTGCCTGCTACAGTCATTTGCTAGGGCGCATAACATTGCAGGAGAAAGTAACTTTGTAAATAAGGTCTAGGGTCTCATACAATGAAGTATAAAGTTACATATCAGGTACTAGCATATTTCAGCAATCAACCAGATCTGAACAGGACAATGATGGCATCTTCAGTTTACTTCTTTTACTATACTTGAGAATGTATAGACTGGCTGTATTAAAGACAAGTGGTTCCTATGAACCATCACTATAGAAATGGGGAGCTACCAAATATAATAGTAAACACTAAACAGTTTTATGGGGGTATTTATTAGTGCCCACTCATGTACTCTGTAGAAAAGCCAGAGCAACGTGGGACTGTGTATCATTGAATCTTAGATGTCAGAAGTTTAGAACCCACCTGTGAATGTGATTATGGAACTATATACCTGAAGGGTGGACAGTGGGATGTAGATAGATAGGTACTACCTACCCAACATAAGGAAATTAAATTGTCCATATAGTGGATGATGCATGTAAGGTTCTCTTTACCTAAGGTTGATGAATAATTGAACTATCTACTCCGTACAGGGCAAGGCATACAACAGTTGGTGGATGTATGGTCCTGTACCTTACCAATATACTGTAGTAAACCATGGAAGACATCTACCTTAATCACCCAGTGGTCCTGTAAAATAGCGGTATAAACTAGTCAATCAACAATTCATCTTGCATCATTGCCTGCAGTCATTTAGCAGGCCGAGAAAGATTTATCGATAGTTAGGCTAGCAGTTGGATTGAACACCCCTCAGTCATTATCCTCATCAGCTACCAATTTTCGTGCCTGATGAACTTTGTTGTACGGGCTCGGTAGGTAGTCTTCAACCAAGTTACAGGTGAGACATCTCAGAAAAACTGCAAGAGGCGCAGATTGTTGCCATAGATATGCTTGTTTGCCACTTTTCCTCTGATACTTAGTTTGGACAACAATAAGAACGATATTAATAGTACCGCTATGATGGAGTCGATCTGTAAAAATATGGATCTAATTATACTCCTACTAGTTTAGTTACCAAGGTAGTTTAGTCGTATCTCTCTAGTGACTAAGGTACCTTCCAGTCTTCCACAGGCAGTGAGGCAGAGCAGCGCCAGCTTCCCTAATCCCTGGTCCGATGGGTGGGGCACTTTCGCAACAAAAAACAAAACAGCTCCCCCCTCCTCCCAGATTGTTGAACTTGCTCAACCAGACAAGACACCGACTCCATCCAACTCATCCTCTGTTCTTTCCCCTTTGCCCTCTCAGCTGATCCCCTTAAAAGCCATCATCTATTCCCTTCTTCACCCAAAACACTCTTGTGCTTTTACCCCCATCCCTGAGCAAAAAACAAACAAACACAAACAGCATTCCCCCTCCCCCTCAGCAATTATCTGTCAACTCAATTGACTCTCCTGAACCTCATCCCTTAGTGAAAGGGAGTTCACTGTCTTGGACACACCGCATTTTTCAGAACTCTCCCCTCTTTTCTTCTTTTAGTCCTCCCCCCTCCTTTCTCCCTCCATCCCACCCCAGCCGATCCAATCTCCCAGCGAACCTTGTCTTGGATTTCCAAGTCTTTCCATCCTCTATCTTCTCCTCCAGTCTTATTTTGGCTTCTCGCTGATAACCATCATCCATCATGTGGTATGTCTATTGAATCTGGGTCCTCATGCCTGCTCATTTCAAACCGGATAGCTCACATACCACAGTGGAATCTTTGGCTATATCAATTACCTGGTCGAGAGAGACCGCAAATTCATCATTGACACCCTTTTGAATGGTATGTAACCCAGGTACATTTGATGCTATTCATATTCTTATTCATTTTTGTTTCGGTGATTTGCAGGACTCTCCAGACTCGAGTATCGCGGCTACGACTCGGCGGGATTTGCCATAGATGGTGACAAGAAGAATGAAGTTTGCGCTTTCAAGGAAGTCGGCAAGGTCGCAAAGCTGAAAGAACTCATTGAGGAATCGAAGCCCGATATGACGAAGACATTCGAGTCCCATGCTGGTATTGCCCATACCCGCTGGGCTACCCACGGAATGCCCTCGCGTCAAAACTGCCACCCGCACAGGTAAGTTGAATTCCGAGTCCCGGCGCGGATATCATGATACCCGGAGGGAAGTGTGTCTCGTGAGAGACTAGCTAACACAAATTCACAGATCTGACCCGAATTGGGAATTCGCAGTCGTCCACAACGGCATCATTACCAACTACAAGGAACTCAAGGCTCTTCTAGAGAGCAAGGGTTTCCGCTTTGAGACGGAAACTGACACCGAATGTATCGCAAAGCTCACGAAATATCTCTACGATCAGCAGCCTGATATTGAATTCACGGTCCTTGCAAAGGCCGTCGTGAAGGAGCTTGAGGGTGCCTTTGGTCTCCTTATTAAGTCGGCTCATTACCCTCACGAGGTAATCGCAGCTCGTAAGGGATCACCTCTTGTCATTGGCGTGAGAACCTCCAAGAAAATGAAAGTGGATTTTGTCGATGTGGAATATTCAGAAGATGGAGCTCTCCCCGCCGAACAGGCTTCTCAGAATGTCGCTATCAAGAAGTCGGCGACTGGTCTTCTTGCTCCTCCTGACAAATCACTTCTGCACCGGTCTCAGTCTCGCGCGTTCCTCTCCGATGATGGCATCCCTCAGCCAGCAGAGTTTTTTCTGTCTTCCGACCCTTCTGCGATTGTTGAGCACACGAAGAAAGTGCTTTATTTGGAAGACGATGACATCGCCCATGTGCATGAAGGTCAGCTGAACATTCACAGACTCACCAAAGATGATGGAACCTCGAATGTTCGCGCCATCCAAACCATTGAGCTTGAACTGCAAGAGATCATGAAAGGCAAATTCGATCATTTCATGCAGAAGGAAATTTTCGAGCAGCCAGAGTCGGTGGTCAACACTATGAGAGGTCGATTGGATGTCGCAAACAAACAAGTCACTCTCGGTGGGCTTCGGCAGTACATCTCCACCATTCGTCGATGCAGACGAATTATCTTCATTGCCTGTGGCACCAGCTACCACTCATGTATGGCGGTCCGCGGGGTGTTCGAAGAACTCACCGAGATACCAATCTCTGTGGAACTTGCTTCGGACTTTCTAGACAGACAGGCGCCTGTTTTCCGAGATGACACCTGCGTCTTCGTCTCTCAGTCCGGGGAAACTGCCGATTCTCTCGGCGCCCTTCGCTATTGCCTCGAACGAGGTGCATTGACTGTTGGTATTGTCAATGTTGTTGGTTCCTCTATTTCTCTGTTGACTCATTGTGGTGTGCACATCAATGCCGGCCCCGAGATTGGTGTAGCTTCCACCAAAGCGTACACTTCCCAATTTGTCGCCATGGTTATGTTCGCACTCTCCTTGAGCGAGGATCGCGCTTCCAAGCAAAAACGACGAGAGGAGATTATGGACGGCCTTGCCAAGATCTCCGGGCAGTTTCGAGAAATCCTGAAATTGAACGAACCTATCAAACAGATGTGCGCGAAGTTTTTCAAAGATCAGAAAAGCTTGCTTCTACTGGGCAGGGGTAGCCAGTTCCCGACTGCTCTCGAAGGTCAGTCAATCTCTCTGATCTGTATTATCTTTTACTCATCCCTCTTCCCTATGTACCACCGTGCGGTGTCTACTTGCTAACACATTCTATGCAGGAGCCCTTAAGATCAAGGAAATCTCCTATCTTCACTGCGAAGCGGTCATGTCAGGTGAACTGAAACACGGTGTCCTCGCCTTGGTCGATGAGAACCTACCCATCATCATGATCCTCACCCGGGACAATATCTTTTCGAAGTCTTTGAATGCCTACCAGCAAGGTACGTACAAGAATCCTTCCTTTTAAAAAGTGACTATTGGGGCCTAACTATGTGTCAGTCATCGCCCGCGGTGGTCGTCCTATCGTGATCTGCAACCATGACGACCCCGAATTCTCTTCCGCACAGACCGAGAAAATCGAGGTTCCGAGAACCGTTGATTGTCTTCAGGGTCTTCTCAATGTGATTCCACTCCAGCTTATTGCATACTGGCTGGCAGTTGCGGAGGGCCTTAACGTTGATTTCCCACGTAATCTTGCGAAGTCGGTCACTGTTGAGTAAATCGGCGGGCCGTTTAAGTCGTGATGTTTGAGGGCATCAGGTGTTAGGGAGACATTCAGATATCCTTTTTATGGGCTTCAATACGTATTCATAGTTATAAGAAGAACTACGCATATTATCACCTCTCTCCCCACTGCATTTCTGTACACGTCGCTTGATCGTAATTGGTTGTGGTCGACGACATTGTCTGATTCGAGAAGCACTAGCTTGTACTGTTACCACCCACTCTCTTTTGACTGTTCATACTGCGTCGAGCTCTTATTGCATTGAGCCGTGAAGGCGTAGTCACTAGAGCAGAATCTACCTTCGTTCATGGTTTCACCAGTATGTACGGATTATCTTCCCACCAAAGGCGGGGTGCAAGTTCCCCACATATCTCAGCATGACTGTTCTCTGTAGAATAGAGTGTCCTTTCATCTCATCCACACATCACCACCATTATTACTTCACCAATTGTCTTTCAGGATAGACCTACCAATAGAGAATCTGCGACAGATACCCTCAGATCAAAATGACATCACTGAAGGGGCCAGGAGCCTCGCAGATTTCTGATGGTGAGAGATTCATCTGTTCCCTCCTCGACTGTCTGCATGCTTATCTTTTTCCTGAAGGTTCCGGACTGCGGATTGCTATTGTCCACGCCAGGTGGAACATGGGAATTATAGGGCCTCTTCTTGAGGGAGCCAAGAAAAGCCTTCTGGCAGCCGGCGTGCTTGAAGAAAACATCACTCTTGAGACTGTCCCTGGCAGTTATGAGTTGCCATTTGCTGCCCAGCGGTAAGCCGCCATGAGGTTGAATTCAAGCCGGAGACACAGCCCGTGTCATGTCTCATTGTCGAATGGACACATCTGATGCAATTTTTTTCCCCCTTCTCTAGAATTTATGCAGCCTCACAGTTGCAAGCCGCCAAAGGATCATCTTCTGCAGCAGGTATCAGCGCGACGGATTTGCTTTCATCCTCTACCGCAGATCTGAGTAAGACAACGCCACAATCTCCTATCGCAGACGCACCCAGGCCGTTCGATGCTATCATCGCCATTGGTGTTCTCATTAAGGGAGAGACAATGCACTTCGAATACATTGCGGACGCCGTGTCGCATGGTTTGATGCGGGTTCAACTTGATACAGGCGTGCCAGTTATTTTTGGAGTGCTTACCGTTCTAACGGAGGAACAAGGCCTCGAGAGAGCCGGACTCGGCAAGAAGGGGATGCATAATCACGGCGAGGATTGGGGTAGCGCCGCCGTGGAACTTGGAATCAAGAGAAGAGATTGGGCCGAGGGCAAGGTTATTTAGAGCTGCCAATTCTATATGGGAAATTGCACGGGTATGCCAAACCTGGTCGAAGCACAGCGCGCCCTTGAGACAAAAGCAAAGTTGGAAAATATAGGTTGATATAAAACCGGTTCTACTGATTTCACTCCCGCCTTGGAAAGTTTTTTGATTGTTCTCGTACTATAGAGCAGCCGTCTCCGTTGGGTGATTCTATTCCTGCATTCGCTCACCTGAGCTTGGATCCTCCTTCGACGTCTCTTCCTCTTCCTCGTCCTCTCCCTCCAGAGCTCTCTTCGCTGCTTTCTCGGCCTCTTCGCGAAGTTCTCTAGGTACCTCTTCGTGCTTTCCCTTCGTAGGCCCGTCTAATGAGCTGATCCAGGACATTTCCAACTCAAACTCCTTGTCCTTGCTATCTTCGTGGGCGACATAGATAATTCGAGCAGCCTCTTTGATAGCGTCAAGAAGAGTCAAATTTTCGGAAGCCAAATCCAACTTCTCGAGTTCAGCTTTTGCAGCCTGTCTTCCCTTGCCGGTAGCGGCACCGTAGTAGCCCTTTATAGGCAGTCAGCATGTCGCCAAAGACCAGAAATTCCCCGAATATCTTACCCAGTACAGCCCACTTGGTTCGATCATATAAAGACCGGGACCGCCGGTCTTTGCACCCTCCACTTTACCTCCTGAACCTGAAACTGGTCCATTTCCGACTTGACCATCAACAGCCAGTTCGGCTTCGGAATCCCAGCCTCCGACGATAGCTGTAACTCCGAAGGGTCGTACACTCGAGTAGAGTGTGTATGCTTGAACATAACTGCCCAAGCGATTTGCTAAGGCGGAGACTGGGATGGGCCCCTTGTATACATTCCTCCAGGAAGAGGCTTCATCTCTAGCTCTAGAAACGAAGTGACGTCCATCTGGGACTAGCCCGGCGGAGACCTGTATAATGAAGAACTAGTTTTAGCAGGTATCCCTCGCTGGTTCTTGGGTGGAGTAAGTGTTTGGGGCCTTACAATGCCAACATGGCGATCCACTGTCGCAATTTTTCTATTCGCGCCTGGCTTCAAAAGCTTACTTGTGACAATCTTTTCAACGGCTAGGACAACTCCGTCCTTGCATCTGATGCCAATAGCTGTTCCTCCATTCTCGACGGCTTTGACTGCGTATTCAACCTGCCATTTGTGATAAGTAACTCCTGATTTGTCGGGAATGGTAAACCTAATACCTGGAAATTCCGACCGTCTGGAGAGAATACAGAATTCGACAGATCGTAGCCGGTACCGATGGACGTCTTGAGATGATTGGGTTAGCTTCTTGGACAACACAACGAAACCAGAATGAGGCGAGATCGAACCATAGCTGTTAGAATGAAGCAATGATCACCGAGAAGGGTAAGAAGCAGGGCCAGCTGAGGAGGACTGGCTAAAGTTCGATTGACTTGTTGAGCAGAAACTGATAAAGATTAGATTATTTTGCCGATGTGTCCAAATAGTTGCTCATAAGCCAAGGAGGTGGGAAGCTTGAAAGTGGTATCGTAGCTAGGTAGCTATCTTGCTGGGTATGTACCTACAGTCCTCTGTAGCTGGGGTCGCGTCACGGGGTTTCTGCCTATCAGGACCTATTATTAAGCCCTCTGTATCACATGACATTAACTTGGCACTCCGCTGTGTTCTGGGTTTATTACTTAGATTGATACTTATATAACTATGGTCGTCCATGAGTGGTCATTATGGAACTTGGTTCATGAGATTCTATCTGAAAAGCCACTTCTTTTTGTAAAACAGTTGGTTAGAAGTACCGTTCTTTCTGCTGTTTAGATTTCAAATTGGTTTCCTTCCAAAGCATTCATCATCATCAGCATCTCACCCAGTTGAGTGCCCAACCCTTTTTGTACAGGCTTTTTAGGCATCAAACCACATTCTGTCTCTTAAAAGACACTTCGCCCATGTCTCTCCTTGGTTGTTTCGACTCTTTCTCACTCTCAACTTCCTTTCAGTGGTAGGGTGTCCAGTCGAATTTGGCCGATCTATATCCTACATTACTTCTTGGCGCCCCGACTCTCATCAGCTGGATTAGGTACTTCTCCAAGGACTGAGCAACATCTGTAAATGAATGTGCTGTGTTGATTGCAATCTCATATTATCCTCTTCACCTTCTGCTTGGGTGATGAATGAGTGGCACTTCATCTTTCAGTCAATCAATTAATCAAGCTCCTTGTTTATATTTTCCGCAAGGGACTTTCTCACAATATAATGTCGTCGTCCTCCAGTTCGCATTCATGCTCCTTCTATGGGCAAGTCACTAAATGTCCTACTGCGCTCCATAAATTTAATGAAAGCTCCTGCTGTAGTGAGGTAGTTGCATTTTCCCAGTTCCTCTGTCCCCAGACTGACTTCCTGACCGTGTCACCTCTAGTGTGGCTTATTGGCGACCGAGAGAAATATCGCAATGCAACATGATCTTGCAGCACTCTTCTCCAAGCAGATGAGTATGGGTTCTGAGCAACCGAAGGACGAGGGGGGGCCCTTCCCGACTCGCAACCCGATCATGTACAGTATCACGCAGCACTACCATCACTCTTCACATGTGGCGCGTCAGGCTACAGTATCGGATTCTATGGATTTGCATTAGCGATAAGTAATGATAGGCAAACGCTCTCTCGCGAGGAATGATGGAATATGAGATACGCATCCGATAATACGTCCAAATAACATAGACCTTGCTATGATCAATCCTGGCCAGGTGTTGTCTGTGCCATGGAATGTTCCTGAATGGGCTTGTTCATCTTAATCGTGATACAAGGACACTCATTACACTCTGGACAAGTGTGCTGTTGTATCAATAAGCACTACTTTCCTAGTAGTGTTGAGATCTTGATGCCCACACCATCAGACGTTCGCTCTAATGTCAAAATTTGGATACATGACCCTCAGTTTCAATACTAAATCCCCGTGCTGTTGTCCGATGCGATTGAATTAGCTGCTGAGTTAAGAACCTGGTTATGACGTCACAAATCTGAGTTTTTGGTGTGCATGACTACCTAGTGTCTATAATACTGTGTTGTTGTTGTGTAGATAAGTAGGAGTCGCAGTGATGTCAAATTAGTTGTGGTTGAAAGAGACAAACAAAGGCCTTGTGTGAAGGGAAGTGCCTTTCAAACCATGTGGTTGCATCAACTGTGTTCTTGGCTATCTATCTAAATACCTGGAGGCTGGACCTAGCTCAGGCTGAGATTGCCTACCTGGCCCACTTGGCTTTTTACCTTATGTGGTGTCATGTCATTCTCCGTTCCCAATGTGGGGACTGGGGAGCCCTCGGGCCGAGTTTTTGTAATACTCATCCAAGCCTCTTAAGATGGTTGCAAGTTGCAACTCTGAGCATTTATATGCTTAGGCATTTTAAACCCCCAGCTTATTCAACAGTGGTTGTATCCTTATAACCCAGCATATGTATTGCAGAGATTACAGTGACTATCTGATGAACCAGATTTGTATGAATTCACTAGTTGTGATTTCAATGCTTGACAACAAGGCTACGTGAGAAGGATGCACAGAGCAGATTCAAAGAGCAAGATGTGTATGTTCCTCCTTAATTGATGCTGAACGGAGAAGGAATGACTGTTGAATTTCTTGGGTGGTAAGCAGAATCAGGAAAATATGTATCCATCACCTAAAACAAATAACTCAAAAGGCCGTCAATAGTCTGGCAACTGTTCCTCCTTCTTCTCACAGGGTTTTCTTGACTTTTCACATTTTCTCTGCTTATCCTGAATTCCACACACCCAGGTGCCCACAACCTAGTTTGATAACCAACATATTGATTGTCGTTCAACCTGCCACTGCCCAAGCCAGTGACCATTGCCAATATTGAAGAGAGTGTTGGCCGGAGATGGCGTGATAAATAAAAGAAAAAACTTCCCCCACAACATGTTACCTATATCTAGTCAACATCAGTTGAATCCTTTTCAGTCACAGATCTTGTCTAAGCAAGAGTTGCAGACAAGAGGTCCAGCAACCCAAGCAAGGGGAATGCGACCCAATGGAAGGATAGCGAAACGGCTGAGCCACAGATGATCAGATTGGCACAGATTCCCATAAAATGAGGAAAGAGAAAATGATAAAACTAACCTTGTTTACTCCAGATGCTCAAGAGCAGCCATAGCCTCCGCAAAGGCATCGGCAGAGCGCTTCACTTCCTCAGCGGCTTCAGCAGCACGCTTGACCTTGTGGCAACCCTGGCCGGGCAATTCGCACCACAGGGCGGCATCCGGGAAGGCTTCCGCAACGGCATCAGCCACAGCACTGGCCGAACGCTTGACTTCACCCGAGGCTTCGGCAGCGCGCTTGATCATGTAGCAGCCCTGGCCAGGGAGTTCACACCACTGGGCCATAGCACCTGCCTGGACAGTGGTGGCGGCGAGAGTAGCGAGGACGACGGAGAGGAGCTTCATTTTCTCTGATCAATTGCGAGGAGTGGATGGCAAGAAAAGTTTGGCTGTAAGCTTCTGAGAGATGCTCAGTTGATTCTTGAATGCGATGAGCTGATGAGTTGGGAGTCTGAATCTTGAACGAAGACAGGCGGATTTCGAGACCCTTAAATAGGTGGATGGTAGAAGAGCAATGCCGATTGCAGTTCACAGAAGCATGTACCCATCATTCAGAGGATTTTATTCACACTGTGGTAGGAAACAAGAGAAAAGAGGCAAAGTGTGTGCCTGTGAATAGACAGATGGTCTATTGACAGAAACTGCCAAGGCAGCAACTCAATGGAAGACACCATCTTAGTCCGGCATTCAAGTCGCTGCATCACTCCCAGGAGGCATAGAACTCTTTTGGGATCCCTTGTTCATCTAAGAGACCAATGCACCATCGAGGAGGAGTGAAGGTAAAGATGAATAGCTAGTGGATGTACAGTCAATAGGTCTAACAACTAATTGGTAACCGGAAAAGGTCCTCAATAGGAGGGGTTATCCTTGAAGCTTTCATTATCAATCTCAGAAGTACTGAGAGGCTTATTGACACACCCACACTGAATAAGACTGGCACTTGGAGCAAAGTAGATAACCAACTTAGCAGGTGATAAAGGACAAAAACAGGAGCTTATTGAGGTGGATGTATTGAGTAGATTGCTTTAATTGGCAGGCAAATTCACAACTGACCATTCATGAATGAGAGAACAAACAATGAATTGCTCAACCTTCGGAGCGAGGGACCAGCCTAAGTTAGATACAGCGGGCGCGGCCAAACTGGTAATAATACTACAAGTACCACTTTTTTTTTTTTAAAAAAAATTTAACATATAGAATATATTAGAAGATCCCTAAAACTCTGTGGGAGAGCAGCAAAGTGGTAGTTCTTTTGAATCATTTATTCCGCGAAAGGTATTTCTTCTATGTACTCCGTAGGTAGATACTAGGTTACGTAGTAGATAGGTACCTTAGTAGACAGAGCGCTGAAATGAATTACCTTCATCAGACTTGAAGACTACCATTTTTGGCAAGATAAACGTACTTAGGTATCGAGATAAGTAGTATGTATGATACTTTGTGTAGTATTACGTTAAGTGGTAACCTGAATACTTTGGTAATTTTTTAAAAGGCAAAAATTCGGGGGGAAAAAAAAAAGAGAGAAAAAAAGCAAAAAGAAGACAAAAAGATAAGATCGGGCCGTGTTTAGAATTCAGACCGGAACTCGTGGCATAAACGAAACTGGGTGCGCAATAATAATAATATTTACTGGGAGGAATGGAAGCCGAAACGATCCGCCCGCCGTTTTTTCCGGTGGCTATCACAGTTCAGGAGTACTTACACAGTACTTCATTACTCTGTGAGACTGTGACTAGGAGTTATTCTACATGTACTGTAAAAACCTACAATCTAGTCAATCTGTGTCTAAATAGTAAATACTACAAATACTACAGAGCATAGACTATCTCGACGTATCGACGAGGCCTTTCTGCCCCTTCCCTTGTGCCCGACGTCTTGCCGCCTGGACTAACTTGTCCTAGTCCCAAGTCTTAGTCTGGCTCTTACCTTGATCTTCTGCTGTACTAAACTACTTCGATACTATCATTGTTAGTAGTACTCTGTATTACATTGATTTACCGTAGCCTTAGGTACTCACTACCACCTAAAGTTACCTTACCTTACTACCCCGTTTCTCCTCCCATCTACACTCGCCCTCCATTTTTCCTCTCCAACACACTTTTCTTTCACCTCTTCCTCCACCAACCAACAACCCCTCTCGTTTTCTCGCCCATTTGTCTGCCACAATGTTCTCCTTGAGGACGGCGCAGCCTGCGCAGGTTAGTCGATAGCTTTCTTTATCCTGGCGCCCGTTCAATGGCTGCCATCACTCCCATTCCACCCGGGCGGTTTTCACACGTTTCCTCATGCTTGATTTTCCCCTTTGCTCCTCTTCCTTTTTGGCTGTCCAACCTACTTCCCTCCGCCCGGTGTTGAGACAGCTTCCCTGCTCCCCTAATATTTTCTTGCTGCATTCATGCTGGCCTCGCATCTCTCAACTAACATGCGTTCTCTGGTGTAGTCTTTGCTTCGCCGCGCCACTGTTGCGGGCTCTCTTCCCCGTTCGTCCATTGCGGCGAGATGTGCGTATTCCAGTCCGGTTACTCGAAAGAAGCTGCTCTTCCAGCGGACTTTGCTAACCTCGAGTGACAGCTTTTGCTACCATTCAGTCAGATATTTTCAAGCCCACCAAGTATGGCGGCAAATACACCGTTACACTGATTCCAGGTATATCTAAACCCAATAGCGTTCTCGTACTGTCTTCCTTATCGGTGTCGCTAACGCGGGACGTTCTTTTGTCTCATATAGGTGATGGTATCGGTGCTGAGGTGGCTGAATCGGTCAAGACTATCTTCAAGGCCGACAATGTCCCCATTGAGTGGGAGCAGGTAGACGTCAGCGGTGTTGATACCGGCAACAAGCACTCCGAGGAGCTCTTCAAGGAATCGATCGCCTCTCTGCGTCGCAACAAGCTGGGTCTCAAGGGTATCCTCTTTACCCCCGTGGAGCGCTCCGGTCATCAGTCGTTCAACGTCGCTCTTCGTCAGGAGCTGGATATCTTCGCCTCGATTGTTCTCATTAAGAATATCCCCGGCTACAAGACGCGCCACGAGAACGTCGATCTCTGCATTATCCGTGAAAACACTGAGGGAGAATACTCTGGTCTTGAACATCAGTCTGTGCAGGGTGTGGTTGAGTCGCTGAAAATTATCACCCGCGCCAAGTCAGAGCGGATCGCAAAGTTCGCCTTTGGATTCGCTCTCGCCAACAACAGGAAGAAGGTCACCTGTATCCACAAGGCAAACATCATGAAGCTTGCTGATGGCCTGTTCCGCAGCACCTTCCACAAGGTTGCTGAGATGTACCCCACTCTTGAGGTCAACGACATGATTGTGGACAACGCCTCCATGCAGGCCGTTTCTCGGCCTCAGCAGTTCGACGTGATGGTCATGCCCAACCTCTACGGAGGTATCCTCTCCAACGTGGGCGCCGCTCTTGTGGGCGGACCCGGTGTGGTCCCCGGTTGCAACATGGGACGGGACGTTGCGGTCTTCGAACCCGGCTGCCGCCATGTTGGTCTTGATATTAAGGGCAAGGACCAGGCCAACCCCAGTGCTATGATCCTTTCTGGTTCCATGCTTCTCCGTCACCTTGGCTTGGATGATCACGCCAACAGAATCTCCAAGGCTGTGTATGATGTCATTGGTGAAGGGTAAGTTCGCGACCTCACCACTCCCTGGTCATCTTTCTCCCAAATCTCTGCTAATCCTTGAACCCTCAGTAAAACGAGAACTCGCGATATGGGTGGTCAGGCTACCACTCACGAGTTCACCAGGGCCGTCTTGGACAAGATGGAGGCGGCTCTGTAATCTACTCGTGATACCACTCAATTCTTTCTGCGACTTTCATGATGACGAAAATGTTCCAGTATGGCATTCCTTGAAAGTCAAACTGGTTAATTGGATCTGTGATTATACATTGTATTATCTCTCGCCCGCCTACAATACACACACACACACACAAAAGACATCTACTGTATACAATCGAGACGTTAGACAAGGTTATGGAATAGGAAGTATGAAACAGAATTCTCGTTAACAAATAGGATAATTTGCAGACGACGTTCTTTCATCGTCTACAACAGGGCCTTGTGGGCCTGTTTTTTTCTTGCCTCAGTTTTCCATGGCATCAGATACCTGCTCCAGGACAGTATTAGCCAGGGATCTTCTGGAATCATTGGTCCAGCTTCAATTCCGGGATGGACACATTTCAATTTCCATGAGCGATCCGGGTATGGGACTCTGGCGTCCAAAAAAAAAGCATACCGCCACTTGGCTTTCATATTTGAGTGAAAACTTGTAGGGAAACTTCGCACGAGGTCGATCATCGGCAGGCACCGTAAAGGACTAGTGTGTTACTGTCACCTCACGAATGCATGATCTGCCAGGTTGAAGTCCTTGACCATTGCGCCGTTCTGGGCGCGATTGCTTCTTTTCACTTTGAAGATGATTTTGTAAATCTTGGTGAATTGTAGCATACAACCATTCGGAAAGCATAAGATCAAAATGCAGGTCGTCTTTTTCTTCCTGTATATTTGGAATTTGCCTTGACGACTTTTCCTTTCCTTGCCATCTGATCTTTCTTGCGTAAAATCCAGGCTTTGTCCCCCTTCTTGGGAGTCTGCACCTTGGTGCGGTCCGCCGCCTTTCTCCTAGCATCCAGGACATCGACATCACTCATGCCGTTGACAACACCAGTGATATCTCCTTGCAAACCTCCACCGCCGACAGTCAGCACGAGATAGAGCTTGCTATTCTTCGTGCCAGGGTCATCTTCTAAAATACCAGCCCCGAAGCCAGCCTTTATGGCAGCGCCACTGATCATGGTCCGTTGGGCGTCATTCTTTGGGTAGAACTGACATACTGCCCGTCCTCCGCGGCGAAGACTGGCATATAACCCCTCAAAAAATCGACGTAAACGACCTTCAGGACTCACATCGCTCGTCTCAGCATTGCACAGCCACTGAATAGCACTGATACTGATCGCTGCATCAAAGCTGCCTGGCCGGAATGGCACTCCCTGTCCGATATCGGCCAGAAGCAGGTCGCCTTCTACATCTCGTTGCAGCGCCACGTCGAGCATGCTGGGTGAAATGTCCATTCCGACCCAGACATGAGGTCCGCCTTGCTCAGGTGGTACCTGTGAGAGTATCTCGCCAGACAACCCTGAGCCACAACCGACATCAAGAATGAAAGATGGGGACCGGAGATCGAGCAGCTCGAGCGCGCGATGGGTCATATCCGACTGAATATTACGGATACGGGATGATGTTGTGTATTTTCGAGATTCAGTATCATCATAGAAGAGATCGGGGGGCCTTTTCCACAAGAGGTTCGAGAGTCAGCATCAAACTCAACTTACGGAAGAGATTTTCTCTACACTCCCAAACGCTGCGAAAAAGGGAACCCACAGAACATCTTCGGGACGCGACATGGTTGAAAGTGATTGACAGTCCCACCAAGTATGCTGGGCACGGTGAAAGAGAAGAGATTCTCACTGGACCTCGTAACTGCGCCTGATGTTTTTGCACTCCTTGAGATAGGAAATCCCTGGCAGCTGATAAAGTGACTGGCACCGAGAAGCTAGGGTTTAATAGGTGTATGAGTAGTTTTAATACTTGACGTTTTCTTATGAATTCTGACTTCTTCGGGATATATATTTTTTTTGGGGGGATTTTCCTCAATGAAGATTGGCCCGCAGCTCGGTGGGTAAAAGTGGGCTTGATACCTCAGGCATCAAGTCGACCAATCTGGTTGTAGGATGAAACCATCTGTTGTTGTTCTGTTACGCCCACCTACTCCAGAAACTCATGATATGTTGCAAAAGTCCGGGACTTGCTGAAAGAAGGACAAAGAGAACAGATAAAAGCAGCAGCTCACAATATTGACTACATTTCCTCTAAAGCTGTTTAGACTGCGTTGCGGAGCATCAACAACATCAACCACAGCAACACATCAAACAGTCTCCAGGCATCTCGACATACCGTCACAATCAGACAGGAAGCGTCGCTGCTTCGCCGCTTCACAATGTGGATCCTACCCTTAGTGGGATACCTGGGAGTCATTGTAGGATTTTCATTTCTTACTCTAGCTATAGGTGAGCAGTCTAGCCATGACAATTGCAATTGAGAATGGGTTACTATGGAATTGCAATGCAAGCCCTGGAATACTCTGGCCCGTAGTGGTCAACGACTTGACCAGTTCGGGGCAAACGACGCTCAAAACTAACCGGTTATTAGCATCGGGATTATACTATTTATCGGAGCTTGTGGAAGAGCATACAGTTTTCGCACGTCGGGTGTTGACTCGGTTGATATACAGCATCATCGTCATCCAGGTCCTCCTCTATCTTTTCGATGGATTTCCCTTTTTTCTCTCCATTTTCAGTATCGGCTCCCACATCGTGTATTCCAGCAATTTGCGACGCTTTCCGATTGTTAAATTATCCGATCCGCTGTTTCTTCTATCATGTGTGCTCGTGGGTCTAAACCACTGGTTTTGGTTTCGCCATTTCTCCCAGCCATTACCCTCGTCGCGAGCGAGCACCAACTGGCGTCAGCCATATATTGTTGATGTCGCGGATATGCCGACTTTCACAGAGGTGGCGTCTTACTTTGGGTTATGCGTGTGGCTAATTCCGTTTGCCCTCTTCGTTAGTCTGAGCGCCGGAGAAAACGTCCTGCCTAGTATGGGGTCGGAGTATGCGACAGGCGAACGCGTTCCCAGCGCTGGGTTTTCTCGCAGTGATTTACCTTCCGATGGGAAGACCAAGAACAAGGGTATGGCGAAGGCCCTGGTGGACGGTGTACGGGAGTGGGTTAGAGAAAATGGGGAGTTGATGGGTTTCTGGAGAGGAGAGAGGACAAGGAGATTCTAGAGAAAAATGTCCTTCATGATCATGAGATACCTTGGGCTATACATTAATCAGATATGTATGTCATGCCAACTCTACCGTTGTGCTAATTGCTGATATATTGTAATGACAATTCCACCATACAAATTATATTGCATGGAATATAAGGTTTAATGTTGGTCAAATGTATAGATAACTTGTTTCTATATTCCATTAGCACCATTGGAATTTGGAAAAGAAGATAGGTGGGATTGACAGATGGCAAGTCCTCGTGGTCTCAGTAACGTAGTATGCATTCATCTTTTGAGATCTCGCACTTACTTGAGGGCATCAGACGGCACTGGAAGGAAAGAAAGAGACAACTATGGTGTGGAGACTATCTGTATACAAATAAACCAGAACATGATTCGTGGCTTGCATTGAATCTTGATGGAGGATGGTTCTTCTTGAGCAATTAGCATTAACATTATGTGTTTCCCAGTAGCTCCTTTATCGTATGTACGTGTACTTTCATGGTTGTCATTCCACATTCATTACGATCGTAAGTGACCTTGGCCATACACTGATCCATGGCAAGGATATAGTGGGTGAATCAGCATGGACATCGGATCGCCAAGAAAAGGAAGATGAAGGATAGCAGAAGAACCAGGTACAAGAAAAGAACAAAGACCAAAAGGGTATTGGTAGGGGTAGGGAGACATGGTTTTTGTCTGTGGATATTCAAAGATGACATCAATTAATCCCAGTCTTTGCTTGCTTGAAGGGAAACGGAAAAGAGAGCGGCAAAAAAATTCGCCAGTGAAAAACTGGGAGGGGTAGCAAGTGATGATTGTAGCCATTGGGGGCCGTTAGACAGATGAGTCGTGATGGTTATATTCCATGAAGAGCATAGAGCTTTCTCTTCTTTTAGCCTTGGCTGAACGGGAGTTATCCGTGACGGGCAGTAGCATCCTGTTGGTAGATGGGGAAGAATTTGGCTCATCTTGATAGTACTGGTCCATCGTGTTATGGGGGGACTGCTCATATGTCGGCTGCATAGAGATAAGCCCTGTGTCATAATCATCGACGTTTCCTGCAGGTTTGCGAAACGTCGTTTGGTTGTAGGTAGGTGTTGGCAGGTCTGAAAACATTTGGTGGCGAGGAGAACGAATATCCTTGGGGATCGCAACACGGTCGACGTTCAACCCCACGAGCTCTACTTCCGTGCCTGGCGGTTCATCAAAGATGCTTTCGAAATCAGTGAGAAACATGGAGAAGACTGGCGCCGGGATGTTCAGTGTGGGCGCAAAGACAATGCCAACGTTCCTGATTGTCATCTTATTGACATCGGAATTGTTGACGATGACAATCAAAAACTGGACCAGCGCCCGTAGCAGAGTCAGGTTCGGCTTTGGAAGCCTATGAACAAGAGAATTGAAAGCTAGGATTTTCTTCTGACGGTCATTAAGTTCTGTAGAATGAGCTCCAATTAGCAAGAACTTCAGATGAGATCAGGGGGTAACAGAAGATGAGTATACGGACCAAGCACGCGTAAAAACTCTAGATGTAGCTCGCGAGTGAGAACATTTGTTGGAAGCTCCCGGAGATATTGCTTGAAGAGACTGGCAACAGCATGGACATCATAGTATTCATCACCAGCAAGAAAGTCGACATCACCTTCAGTATTGAAGCGTTCCTTGAGTGCTTTGACGACGACATTGGAACCGCTAAGCCTAAATATGCCTTCCTCTGTTGCAGCTCCCTTTGCTTGCAAGTATTCAATACAGCGATAGACGACGGCAGGCAAGTCGATATTTACCCCCTGTGGAGCGCAAAATTGTACAGCCTCTGCCAACGGTATTCCAAAAACGGGCCTGATAAAGTCTCTCTTCTCTCCTATCGTTATGCTGGGTGCTTGTGCTGTGGGAGATTCATAGCTGGCCTGAAGCTGGGAAGCGAGATCATATGATGACCTCGTGCGGAATCCCCAGATACTGCGCTTCTTCTCCTTGGTACTGGTGACGGTCTTATTGCCCCAGGCGCCTGCATCCTGAATCACCGCACCGTTTGTGGGCCCCGAGATCAGCTTAGAGGAAAACTGGACCGGTTCTGGACCGTGATTGCCATTTGCAGAATCCATAAATGCTTCTGATGGGAACATGGGAGATTTTGGTGGTTGCCTTTCAGTTGGAGCGCCGAGAACGGGTGGTTCGGCAGGAACAGCATCATCGTAGCTAAAGCCCTGCACGGTATCAATAGCGTTTGGCTCCGAGACGACCATCCCCTTGGGGGGTTTCTTGTTTCCACTGGGAAAGGATTTCGCAGCTGCCTGAGAAATCGGTTGTGCGGAGATCTGACCCTGACTTTGCGGTGATGTAGTGTCTAAGCCTTCACTATCCGAATGTCCTTCAACATGCTCTAGGAGTGCTTCAACCCACGCATCTCTTTCCTCGTCACTTTCGGCGCAGAGAACATGTCGTACGAGGGCAGAAGAGTCCTTCTTTTTCGGCTCTAATATGAGGAAGGCATGTCGGTATTGATTGTCAGAGTCGTCTTCAGCACCAGAGGAGGAGTTGGGTTGGCCAGGTGTAGTCTGTGATTGCTTGCCAATCTGAGCACTATGGATCTTGATGGTTCCAAGATGAGGGCCTCCCGGCGATTCGAAATACTTCAGTTCAGGTCCATGGAGTATGAAATACCGCGCTTTCCAGCCGCCGAAATTCTTGCCCCTTTTCGTCAAATAGCCTTCTTTCTTAGGTTTGCCATCCTGACCACGCTGTCCATCATAAGCGGCTTTACTATTGCCCTTCAATAAACTTGTTTCATCGTCTCGAGGTTCAATTGCATCTGCTGTCAGAAAGTGGCAGATCGCCAGGGCTGCTTTCTCGTCTACTGGAGTGTCGAGCAGGGTCTCAAAGTAGGTATTCAGGGCGGCACGCCTTGCGTCAATCTTTGCAGGAGAATGCCCGCTGAAGATGGATCTGTCCGGCAGTTTCATCCATAACGCAGACGATTGTCTGACTTGCTGGTCGAGCTGAGGCAAGGCGGCTATGACCTTCTCGACGCGCCAAAGCTCTAGGTTCTTTGACCGTGAAAAAATGCTCAAAGTGAAGACAGGTTCCTCTTCCGATGGCTTAGGTGCCATATAGCTGTTTCTGGAAGGTCGCAGTCGCGACGAAGAGACTTGCACTCGGATCAAAGGAAGGGCATTTGGTGGTAGAAGGAGATCTGGATAGTCTTCCGACACCAAGCCTTGATAGATTCTGGCTGGGTACAAAGATCGCTGATTTTCCATCTGTACAGTTGCGTCTATTGAAGGAATTGATCCGCTAGTGGTATCAATGTTAAGGGAACCGCTTGTGGACCTTGGAGCTCCTGGTCCAAACAGATTGGGTTGTTTAGCAATGCGAGGAGACAGAGCCAGGCCAGCGAGGCCATTTTCAGAAGACGTGGGCAGGAGAGCGAATGAGTTTGGAATTTCCCGAGGCATCCGAGGCAGGGGAGAACCTAGAGGTCGGTCTTCCGGTCTTGGACTGAGAGGCAAGCCTGGGCTCTTCGGTACCGTTATGGCGGGCTGATCACTGAATGATGGGGTGTGACCAATCCGAGGACTGTGGATAGATGCAGACACTCTTTGAGGTTCAATCATCAAGGCGCTATGCGATGTGTTTTGCCATGGTTCCAAGGGTCTCATCGAGGTCAATATGCCGTGCGAGTCTTTGCATGAAGGATTATCTTTCCCAATGGATCGTGAGGCATCTTGACCACCGTCCCCATCTTTTGTCACCGCTGCTTCACGATCTCGGTCATCTTCATCCCTCGTTTTTCGTCTTCCGCGTTCGATCGGTAGTTCGTCGACCTCTAGGATGTCTTCATACTCAGACTCTGAATCGTAGACATTCGAGTGGCCAATCGCTGAACTTTCTGTTTGCCCAAGGTTCAAGGGCGCCGGAGGGGGCTTTCGCGAAGGTTGCGGAAGCCTCCGTTGTTTGCCATCCTCAGGCCAGACGTCTTTCAAAGCCGAACTAGAGCTGGCTGAGGAGCTAGGGCTTGCAGTCGGTAGTTCTTTTTGAGAGTGCAGAGAAGGGTCAGGACTTGGAGATTTTGTCCATCCATTGGACTCGGCTCCTTTGCCTGGCTGCGACAGCTCGGTTGTCAGATTAGTGTCTAACATTGTAGGCCCGCCCGGGAAATTGAGACTTCTCGATGGTGCCCGGTTTTCCGCCCCAGAAGCAAGCACTGCATTTTTACGGAAGACTTGAATACTCGAATTTGGACTTGTTGACCTTAGCGCACTTCCGTGATCTGCTCGAGATTGTACAGTGATCTGATCGGCAGTAGACGGCACCGAGGGGATTGAATTCTGTAGCTCTCTGGCCTTCTTCTTGTATCGTTCTTTTTCCTTCAATGCACGCTCAAGGTCCTTGTTCAGCCCGAGAATGAGGGTTCTTTGTTTGTCCACCAGTCTCCAGAGCTGCGAGTTCTGAGAAGCAGCATGGTGCTTTTCTTTCAGCAGATGTATTATCACTGCCTCGGGCGAACCCGCGGTTGTTATGAGGTGTTCGATATCAGCCTGGCTCACCGCACTAGCGTCGAAAGACGACTTGTGAGGATGTGAAGCCGAGGATAGCGAGGATATGGCGGAATCGATCGATGAGGTGCGGGGCATAGCACGGTGCCCTAATGTTCGATCGCCAGGCATCGATTGCAGTGAGCCCACGAGAGAGATGGGGGATGATGTCGTAGACCGAACGGACTCCGTGCCATCGGATGGTTTGCGCGGGGTGACGTTGTTCGCAGGCGCACTCATACTTTTATCATATTGTGCAAGGTTATCCAACAATCTATCGCCGGCTAACGATCTGGTTGACTTTCGCCCGGCCGCAGTGGACGAAGCAGAAGGAGGTGTAGCGTTGGCTATCCTGTTCGTCGGAGAACAATTAGGTAGGCGAGCCGTGTTTGTTAATGATCTCGGTGATAGAGGGCTTTGTGACGAACCGAGATCGTCTTGGCGGTCTTGTCGAAGCCAGTCACCTGTGTTCAAGGGGGATGGCATAGGTTTGCGGGGGGTTACGGTGGTGGAATGGAAGGGCTGGGCATCAGATCGAGAGCCCAAATAATCACGAGGGATGAGGTTTCCTGTCAATGGTGAACGTGGAAAATCTCCATTGTTCCTTAGTTGCGGAGAGACGCAGTTCGTTGCCGGTGGCTGGTTGGTACTGGGATTGCTGTCGCTGCTGTCGCTGCTGTGCCGAAGTTGCGACATGGCTAATTAGGGAGTCGATGACCGACACTCAATCAGCTTGAGGGAAGAGGGACAGGCCAAACGACGATTCGACACTAAGGAGACCCCAACGGCACAGACGGGGCGCCTGGCGCCAGGGGTCGCAGTGTGAGGATTGAGATAATTTTCAGTTAGTGATGAATCTCATTTAATACCCATGTACCGATAGGCTTGTCTGTTGATATCATCCTGTCACTAAACGGGGCACTCTGTATCCCAAAAAGAGCTGGAGAATCCAACAGCGTCTCTGAAGAAAGATGGGGAGAGAGGCAAATCATAGAAGATGAGAAGATGAAGGTGCTGAGAAAAAGATAGCAGATTAAGATTGGATGGGATGGACAATAATCGGATAACTAGGAGCTATCTGGTTAGAATCAAATACTTATTATTATTAAGGGGTACAGCAGCCATGCTTGATCGTGGACTGTGGAGTCATTTCATGTACGAAGTATCCTGTCTATCGTATAGACTTGCATTCTATAGGGGATACCTACCTGACTACCTACCCAGTACCGAGTCCGAGATAGGCTCTAGATGGATCAGAATTCTGGGACGTTTCAGTTGATATCCCCGTGCAGCAATAATAACAGCACAGGTACTGTAGTTACCACCTAGACACTGTCTTGCGTCTACGTATGTCACTAGGTAGACTACAGAATCCACAAGCAGGTATTATACTCCTAGTGTACATAACTCTTAAATATACGTCCTCCCTATTGGTTACTGCCTCCAAGGCCATACTGGAATGATTCTTTTAGGACCTTTATAAGTCTAAAATTGTTTCTTAATAAATATTGGTATGCTTTACCTGGATAATTAGGTATAAACCAAGTTAAGCTCGCCCAAAAAGAACAACCCTTGGCGATAACTATTTACCAAACTCATCTCATGCTTTAGAGAGAATTTCACTCAAATCAAGATAGTCAAGGGACGTGTGTACTCGAGGCAACTGGCTTCAAGAGCTCCAAAGCTGCGGAGTGCTAGACATATAATTATGAAGGAGTGGGAGTGAAACTCATTGATCATATGTCGCGACGTCAACATGGCTCTATCTATTCTACAAGACCAACCGAATCAGAGTGTCGAGGGGCACTGCATGCATGATGAGGGGACTATCTCTATAACGCCCATTCCCGAATGATTCCCACCCCCAAAACCCGGTGCAACGCCATATAGATACAGGTAATAATCGAGAGAGAGAGAGAGAGAGAGAGAGAGAGAGAGAGGGGGGGGGGGGAAGAAGAAAATCATGCTATATTCCCTGCCATCCCCATAAATAGTGCCTGGGCAGCCAGTTGAAGAGACCAGAAGCCAACCTTCTTGAACCGCCGCTTGCGCGCTTGCTCGTCAACCACATCCCGCGCAAATGCATCGTACACCTGAAAAGAAAGCATGAGTATGTATGAGAGCCAATCGAATGATGGATGCTTACCGCTGCTGAAAGATCGTCCATGAGTCCGCTATCAAATGTCGTCCAGCTGCCATCGAAGTCGCCGACCCGTTTAACAAGGCGACAATTGATGGGAATAAAAGTACGCCTCGAATTGATGTAAGCAACAATGGGACGTATCAGCGCATTGTTTATGTATGAAAGGTCCCGTGTGAACAAAGGAACCACTGCTCGAACATTGTTCAACTGGAGTCGTAGATCAGTGACTAGAAAGCGCTTATCCTCGTTCGAGACTGGTTCTTCAGATCCTGTTTGACGATGCGAATTCGGACCATCGTATTGGCTCGATATGACAGTCGCTTCCAGACGATCGTACAGCCCAGCCATCACTTGCGCAAGGCTTTCATCATGATCAGCCGGGAACATGATGTCGGCAACGATATCGACAGTTCCCTCATGTATCCAAGAGAAGGGGCCTTGTACTCCCCGGTTAAGATGGTCAATATTCAACCCATCAATTCGTATCCTATTATGCTTCTTCCACGGGCTGGGTTTGCCATATTCCTCCAAGCTATGATCGATTTGTGCACCAACAAAATTGTGACTTTGCCGGGGATGGATGGTAAACAACGAATTATCGAACGAACCTGTCATCATATTTGCTGACATGAAATCGTAGAAAAGCCACTGCTTTCTCAATTGTGGAAGGTCGCAAGAAAATATGCTGACGGAGAACGGCCTGAAATTGTTCGGCTGGTACACAGTGACTAGGACGTCGGCCATTTTGAACGAGTCAATCTCGAAATCACCAGGGTTGTGTTCATGCCGGTAAGACTTTGGATCCAGCTCATCATCGGACCAATGCACGGATCTGCGGTCGACAACCCCTCTGATACCCTTGACCTCCACATCTCGTAGAGGCCCTTTACCATTAATCCACTTTGTGAATGACAAGGTGACATTAACAGTCTCAATCGATAAATCAAATTGGGTGTAGTTGGTGTCCTCCTCTTCCAATGCCGGCGGCTGATCCGATGAGGAATCAAGGCCGGACCTTCCACTAAAGGTAGCAGCTGCTGCAACGGCAGCTGCGGTTTTGGAGGAACCCTTGCTGACATGCCCTGTTCCCTGACCGGGCCGTCTGGAGACAAACACATTCTTGAAAGTGATAACGCCATCTTTCCACCTAGGAACGATAGCAGATTCGAAAACAACCTTCACTCCCGATGACTTTGTAAGGTAATTTCCTACCCATCCAGCCAAGGTTTCTATAAACATCAGTATTTGATGTATTTTCTAAATTGTGATCTACACCAGCCTTAAACATACCTTGAGCCATGACGGTGTTGATTGCAATAATCAGCAAGGAGAAGAACGTCGTCGTTCCTAGCACAATCCATACAACGTGGCCAAGCAATACCCAGGAGAATAGTGCGGTTATCTCATCGAAATTGAAAGGCCGAACGCTCCGAATCGAGAACCACTTGAACCGGACCTTGAGTCGGGACCAAAAACCATTTGCGGCAGCTAATAGCTCTTCTTTTGTAGGCCTATGCAGGTGCGACATATGGGGCAACCGATTCATCAAATGGCTTCTCGTAAATCCTTCGTAGTGTCCTCCATGAGTCGACTCCCTTGACTTCCCCTTCTCTGAGCAAACCTCACTGTCCGTATTTTTCTGATCCCGGAGAGAAGACACATCTTTTCCAGAACGCAGGGGATCACTTGAACGCTCTGTTCTTAACCCATCGTCCTTATTTGTATGTAGTCCTCTCTTCCACACATTTCCTGGTAGACGGTAAAACAATTTTCGCTCAAGTTGATAGCTCCTGCGCGAGATGAGTTTCTCTGGAGCAATGGTACATGTTGTACCGGCCTCTACTGCAGTTGGGCTGGGGGACACTCCAAGTACAAGAAAGCTACCAGAAGCGAATCGCTTGGTGATATGTCTCGTCCGCGGAGGTAATGATGATATCTTGCGCACATTTGCTCTGAAAAGGATTTTCCGGAACAAGTTCCCCGAGCTAGGTGACTCGAAAAAGAAAGAAGGCATGTGGCCTGCCCGTAGTCCACATCCAAACAAAGGATTTGCCGTTTCCCAGAAGTTGGTGTACAGCCTGCGTCCGAAGTTAATGGACATGACTGCCGTCACATCCTGAATGAGCCTTTAAACCAGCGTGGGGTAATATTGAGCTGTGATGTTATAGAAAGAAGATACCGCGTCAGAAGTAGGCCAGGCCAGTAGATCCATGAGCAAGAAGCTGTGAGATAAACATCCGTCGGAGAGCTTCTCGCCGCTGCACATGTTGAATCTTTCCATGAAATCATCCCGCACTGTACATGTTTGTTAGGTTTGCAACTAAAAATTCCGCCCACCCACATCCACATTATTTCCTTACCGCCGCCGGTAAAATTTGCGATAACGAGCCCAAAAAGTGTGAACATCAACGTCTACAATTTATTTCACAAAAGGATCCCAAATCAGCTCGAGAAAATGCCAGCACCAACAGCACTTCTTCGGGAGCCTGGTAATATCTTGCCGGCGGAGGAGCATATCAGCCCTTCAACTCTCGGTCCGTTGCATACCCTGATCGATCCATTACTTTGTGTCTAACGGTTTTTAGCGCAAGATGATGAAGTCTTGATTGATGCTCAAGTGTCCACCCAGGATGAAGCTCTTATGGCACCCGCTACTGAGTCTGCCCAGGATATGGACATGCGCATTGACGAGGAAAGTCGACCAGTATTTACACCAATCGCGGATTCCAAGACTGTTCTACGGGTTGAGACTCGAAAGGTGCCAGTCCCTCCACATCGGATGACGCCCTTAAAAGCGAATTGGCCGAAAATATATCCTCCTCTGGTCGAACACCTCAAGCTACAAGTCAGAATGAATATAAAGAATCGAGCTGTTGAACTACGTACATCCAAGTTTACCACGGACACGGGAGCGTTGCAGAAGGGCGAAGATTTTGTGAAGGCGTTCACACTTGGCTTTGATGTTGACGATGCCATTGCTTTGCTGAGGCTTGATGATCTTTACATTCGCTCATTCGAGATCCGTGATGTCAAGGCATCGCTGAATGGAGAGCATTTGAGCCGTGCCATTGGGCGAATCGCAGGAAAGGATGGAAAAACGAAATTTGCTATCGAGAACGCCAGCCGAACAAGAGTTGTACTCCAAGGTACGAAGATCACCATTTTGGGCAGATTCAAGGATTTGGGAATTGCACAGGAAGCTATCGTTTCTTTGATCCTGGGTAGTCCTCCGGTGAGTGATACAAGTCGTATTATTATCCCAGGGCAACTACTAACGCACAATAGGGTAAGGTTTATGGTAACTTGCGTAAAGTGGCGTCTCGCATGAAGGAACGTTTTTGATACCTATATGAAACCTCCGTTTTCCTTCTCTTCATTTGACGACAGCTTTACTTTTGGCATGAAATCGGCGTTCAGGGTTGTGGTAGCCAGGGTTTGAATGAGAAACATTGATTTGATGATTCAAAAAGAGATTAAGAGATAATTCCCACGCGAGAATCGTTCTTCCTGTTCGTGCTCTCATTACATGTATGGTGACTCGTCTGAGTGCAGCAGGTCCTAGAATAATGGTAACCAGCTGTAACCCTTTAATCTTTCTTCAAAGGGATGAAGATTTCTTCTATCCCACTCTCGGTAATCACCATCATCTGTAGGCCATCTCCAACCTCGATGTGTCTCTCCACAGCGCTGGTGAAAGCGTCCCGGACAAGTTGTTCGACTGTTCCCCTCGGCAACGGTTCTGCCTTCTTAGGCTCTAAAGCATGGCCTTCTCCGCTACCAGGAATATATTGGTTCTTGAAATTGACTTGGTTGTCCAAGAAGGGCATGATCAAACTCGCAGCTGACCCAGCTGCTCGGCATTGTTCTCTTTCGTATGAGCCTACTGGGTCGTAGCTGTACAGCGCTCCTTTGCCCTCCTCGTCCAATCCTGCGAGGATAGCGTGGACATAATAGGGGAAGAACCGCTTCTGGTAGAGAATTGTCGACAAGCGTTGAGCACAAGCTCGGACTGACATGGGCTTTCCATGCTGGTACTTGTACATCTTCACCACCGCATCCAGACGTTCCTTGAGTGCTTGACCATCTGCGGCGAAACCAACCACCGAGAGCAGAATACGAGCACCTTCTCCCGTCTCAGCATCACCACCGATCTTGAAGACCTTGGGGACATAGCGAGAGTTGATGTTGTAACCCGCAACCGAACGGGTGTCGCCCGCAAGAATCGCAAAATCCGAACCTGTGATGCCGAGAGTAGAACCGCCGTTGTCGGTATAACTATAACAAAGGTCAATACCATCCTTCCCGACGATTGAAATAGGTTTGATGCGTACGGATAAAAAGAATGCTCTTTAACGGGGACACTGCTCGCCTGGGAGAAAGAGTATCCAATAGCCTCAGAATGAGGATCGTGGGCCATGGACAATGCCATTTTCGGATACAGAGATGTTAAAAGTCGCAAGAAGTTGAAGATAGATATTAGTAAATTTCTGATGCAGATGAGGTACTGTTATTGCAGGTTCTCGGGTATTTATAAGTGTGGATTGTCGTTGATGGGATGTACGTACGTACTGGAGTACCTACCGTATCTTCTGACGCGATGCTGTAGCTGCCTCCTGCTTAGATAATTCAGATAGCTCCCGCCACGAGTGGCTTACAGTGGCTGATATCTAGGCGGATCATGTATCCAAAAGTTGCGCAGTACTCATTTGAATATACGAAAGACTTGTGATCACTTCAGAATTCAAGCCTCCATTCCCTGGAATTCAATCTCTTCTTTGCTAAGCAGTGTATTCTCTTCGAGATCAAGAAAACACCCGCAGCAGCTCAAGCTTTTCTGAAACTGAATACTGCATCTGGAAGAATGGCCGGCTTGCTTGGCCTTGGTGCCTATCAAAGCAGTAGCGAAGATGATGATGATGATGCTAGAACTTCTTTGCCCTACTCTAAGGTATCTACCCAACTGCATAAATATTGTGCTTTATTCACTGATTGTAGCTTCCAGCACACAGAGAAGGAAGAGTTACCTGAAACATTACAGACAACAGATGGTATAAGTCAGCCTGAATCCTCTCAATCCGAATATATCATTATCTGAGTTAGGTTTAATAACACGCGACAGTTCAATTAGATCATGGTAGCAACCAAGTACCTGTACTCAAGGATCCTGATCAAGAACTCAATGGTCCCGTTCTTGGGCCATTGCATGAAGAAGCCCAGTTCCCCACGGACAGAAATTCGAGTAACAGGCAATCATCGTCGGCTTCAGCAGCACGAGCGTTCATTCAAGATCTAACGCTTCCCCCGGTGCCTAATCTCGATATCCCCCCGTCTCCGCCGGGTTCACCTGAACCTACAGCAAATGCAAAATTCAGACATTTCCTGTCGTTGAAGAAACAGGGTACACATTTTAATGAGAAATTGGCCAACTCAACATCACTTAGGAACCCTAGTCTTCTCGAAAAATTGATGGATCATGCGGGCATTGACAGCCAAGCGCAGTACAGAACTTCCCTACCAACGGAGGTATGGGATCCTTCAAGGTTGCCAACCTGGGGCTTCAAGGAAGAATTATTGAAGTCACAAAAAGAAATCAATAGCAGATTAGAAGAGAGAAGGCGAACGGGGCAGAGAGATACAGTTGAATTCGTGTCATCAACGAACCCTGGCACTACATGACTTCTCTTGAATCGAAGATCGATAATGATTAAGCACAGGGCAAACCCAACCCTGTATGCTATAATGATAGGCGAAGGTCATGGATTGAGTGGTCAGTAGATGGGCGAGTCTAAATGGTGAGTTCCATTGAAGGTGCTCAGTATCATGGAGTTGCCCTGTATGAGTCTGGCTGGAGATTCCGGTCTTTTCACATTTATACAAGTGGATGAGAAATCTGGTCTGACAATAATCGCAATAATAAGTATAAACTCGACACCAAACTTGCAGTAATTACTTCATATTCGGAATGGTGTATCACTGTATCTGGGTAGGACAGCTCGCAAGACGCGTCTATCCATTCTGATAGGCGCGGGCGCATCTCCACCAGCCTGAGAGTGTGACACCATTAAGGTTGCTAACGTAACCAGCCTGAGCTCCGTAAGCTCTCCTGCCTAGCTAGACCTTCATTATTGCATTCCTGCAAGTTGTCCAAGTGTTCCGTCATTGTTTAACGACACATCTGGTCTTCCTCATCTGATATTTATCTTCCTATCGACTTCAACTGTACTGCCCGGATCATTGGCAAAATTCAAGCGGCTCTCTGAAGTACCCTGATCAACATGAACCATTTCCCTGAAGCATGGGGTCGAGTAAGTACATGTACCTGGCCATATCTGTCAGAATACTAACGGCTCCTTTTTGTTCTTAAAAGCCTAGAGACGATGTTTATGGCCCTTACGATGCATCCTACCTTCAGACATCCGGTCCTAAGACTCACACTCAATCGCCCGTCGTGACTGGCACTTCAGTAGTAGCGGTCAAGTTCAACGGAGGAGTTGCGATTGCTGCTGATAATCTGGGTACGTTGAATGAAAAGCCTGCTTTATGTACGATGTATCTGACTCCTTGCCACTTCCCATAGCATCGTATGGCTCCCTTGCTCGTTTCTCCAATGTCAAACGTCTCCGCGTATTTGGCGAGTCCGCCGTGATCGGTTTCAGTGGTGATGTGTCTGATATGCAATATATCGATCGCCTTTTGGAGTCCATCGACATCAGAGAAAACTACTCGACTCATGGCAATATGCTGAATGCAAAGAATCTCCATACCTACCTATCCAAGGTCTTCTACAAACGTCGCTCCGAATTCAACCCCCTTTGGAATCAGGTCCTTGTTGCTGGATTCGACGGCGACGAACAACCTTTTCTGAGCTCTGCAGATCTGTTAGGAACAACATTTTCAGCCCCTCACTTGGCCACCGGGTTTGGTGCTCATCTTGCAGTCCCAATCCTTCGTCGTTTGTTTCCTGAGGAACGGCCTATCGAGGAAATCACCAAAGAAGAGGCGGTAGATGCACTCAGAGAATGTCTCAAGGTCTTGTGGTACAGAGACGCTCGGAGTCTGGATAAATTTTCATTGGCAGTGATCAGCAAAGACGGCGTGGAGTTGCACGAGGACCAGAAGATTGAGAATCAAAGCTGGGCGTTTGCCGAGACCATCAGAGGATACGGAGCCCAGGTTAATTAGTTCCCAGCCATGAATCTATCTGTACAGCCTCATTTGGTAGAATAGATTCCACGGTCTCAGAAGGCCGACCAAAGAAATCTGTCGCCGGAGACGGTTTTAGCAGCTGATTGGAAGATATCTATTGAGGTTATGATGAATTATGCCATGTACCCATTACTATATCCTTTCTTTTCTTTTCTAGGCCGGTATATCAATCTGTTGCAATTTTTCCTTGGCTCCTTAAAGTTTAGCAACGGGCTTGTCAAAGACCACCTGGTTCACGCACGATCCCACTCCTTCCAGAGAAACCTCAACCTGGTCGCCGTCCTTGAGCCAGAGGGCGGGTTTCCTACCCATCCCAACGCCCTGCGGTCTGTCATTGCACGAATGGTAAGCTTCACACATGCCGAGGCCACTTCGAAATGTCCATTATCCAAAAGCAGCAAAAGAATCAACTTACGTTCCAGTGAAGATCAAATCCCCCGGCAACAATGTGGTGCCCTGGGACAAGAAAGCCACAATCTTTGCGACGTGGAATATCATGTCCTTGGTTGAGGATGACTGGACTGTCTTACCATTGAGCTTGGTAGTGATGTTTAACGAGTTTGGATCGCGGATCAATTGCGATGACACAATTCCTGGGCCAAAGGGAGCCCAACCATCGAAGCCTTTACCTAGTCCCCACTGTCCGCCACCACGCTTGATCTGCCAATCTCGATGAGAGACATCGTTACCCACAGCATATCCAAGTACGTAGTCCAACGCTCGGCTCTCGCTGACGTCCCTAGCTTCCTTGCCGATGACGATAACAAGCTCGCACTCGTAGTCCAGACCCTCGCCTTCCTGTGCCATAGTAGAGACGGGGATGTCGTCCACGGGACCTGCAATGGAAGTGACCGGTTTGTAGAACAGCACGGGATACTTGGGTGTAGGAAGATTGGACTCTTTGGCGTGCTGTTCGTAATTCAACCCCAGACAGCGTACGGTCCTGATATCCTTCCTCGCCAAGGGAGCAAGCAGCATCTTGATCTCGGAAACCTGGTCTGTGACACTATGTTGCCCGAAGATATCTCCCTGGATCACCCTGGCTTTTTTCACTTTGGCAATGTCGCTGGTGCCAGCGGGAAGAATAGCGTCACCATAGTAGACATGGCCATCTTTGGCAAGAAATCGGACCAGTCGCTGCGAGGGCGATACAAATCAGCATAGTGACCAATTGATTTTACGACAGTGATGGACATGACTGATGGAACGAAACAGATTTTGGATGCCAATGGTGAGGAGATATGCAGCACACTTACAGAAAATGGAGACATATTGATAGGTAAGTAGCAGGACAATAAAATGAGTATAGACAGTCGTAGAGGGTATTCGTTATGAGGTGCCTTATATAGAGGTACAGGTGATGCTTACAGATTGGATTTACTACTACTCCGTGAGCCGCTCCATACAAATAGTAGTACAATTGCACCATAATGCACTTTTCATATATAATCATTCGGCCGGGACAGGAGCTAGCCGCTTTCCCCCAATCCCCAGACTGGCGGGCCCGGAGTTTGGCCTAGCTGGGATATACCGTCGCGGAGGTCTGTTGGAATTTGGAGTTATGCCACCTGTGCCTGTGACTGTGAGAGCTCAGCTTAATGTATTTGACTCGGTATTGGCCGGAAAGAAAGCACATGCGGTTACGAGACTTGCGAAGAGTCCAATGTCCAAACAGATCGCAACCTGAAGATGTCTACCACTACCTACTTTGTCTTATCAACCATTCCCATCTTCATCGGCATTCCCCCGAGTACTGCGGAGTAGCATTGAGAAACAAGAATAGAGATGCTAAACCTCATTTGGAAGAACTCGAAGAGCTCGGCTGAGTAACCGTGGTCCATCCCGATATCGACGCAATATGGAAGTCCGGCAATTAATTCGACCTCGGGTTTACATTTTTGAAAATTAGATACTGGACTGCAGATTCCTATCCTGCTGAGGGCGAATCCACGTCAACTGATCATGGCCCGTCTATCTGGTCTTCAGCGAGAAGTCTTGTCACTGTATCGAAAGTGCTTAAGGGAGGTCGGAAAAAAGCCTGCTGTAAGCTTCCTCCAAAGTTGTGGTGATATTGATACCAAAGACTTGAGCCGGCTCACATATTTCTCCATGACATCTCTTGGCTGATTAAAATCGAACCGACGCTGTAGGAAACGAGGAGTAACTTCAAGGCGTACGCAAGGTGTGTCAATTTCGGTTTCTGCATCTTTCCACAAAAAGAGAACTCCATTGTCTCTTGACGACGATCAATGTGCTGACTCTTCCATAGAGCAGAATTTCAGAAGCATAGGTCCCTTAGCAAGAAAGATTTCAACGCGATAGAATATCTGTTGCGCAAGGGAAACAGACAATTGGAGATCTACTCATCCCCGGCGATACGAAGCATCCGGTGATCGCTGGATCGCCGCACGGCGCACACTTCCAGCTTTCCTCAGCTGTTGACTTGACACATTTCTAAATGAGAGATCTGGCCATTCATGAGCGAGTCTTCAATGGGTGTTTTAATGAAACCCAACTGATGGCGTCCTGTGCTGATGGGATTATTGACTTCCCACGAAGAAGATCACGTGATATCCCCGAAGTCATCGAAGGTTCCGGTTCTTTCCAAAAATCATTAACAAACCTCCTGATTATCGAAGCATCAAGAGCTGTTCAGAGATCTCATCTCGTCGATTCCAGAAACAACCCGTATATGCCGTTGTTTGTTGAGTAATGATACCATGGATATACTAGGATATTCTAGAAGATCATATCAGGAATTTAAAACCACATCCAGGAACTCGTTCCTATGCATTCACTTCTCAGATTCCCCAGACACACAATCAGTCAAAGAACCAAGCAAGATAGTTTAGTTTACCATCCAGGCTCCTTCAACTCTCTTAACACCAATCCTCTACTACTCCTTGCCAATTTTTACCAATCAAGATGCCTTTCTCGCACTTGTCAAGTGACTTGGCTCCCTTGTTCCACCTCTTGGACGACTACGATACCCATCGCTCCTATCGCCCCAAGAGCAAAGTGACTCCCGTCCGCACATTTACACCAAAGTTCGATGTGTGCGAGCTCAAGGACGGATACCGACTTGACGGAGAACTTCCCGGGGTTAATCAGAGTGACATCGAAATTGAGTTCAGCGATCCCCAGACTCTTGTGATCAAAGGCCGCGTGGAGCGCAACTACAGCAAAACCAACTCCGAGATCACCGACGACAGCTCGTCGTCAAAGTCTCGTCAACCCACAGTCGAAGACGACACCGAGGACGGGGATGCTTCATCCACCACCAGCTCCCCCGCTGAGCCTTCTGAGCGCGCCGTCGCCCAATCCCACTGTCAGCCCGCGTTCAAGTTCTGGGCCTCCGAGCGCTCAATTGGCGAGTTTCAGAGAGTCTTCTCCTTCCCAGCCAGAGTGGACCAGGAAGGCGTCAAGGCAAATTTGAGAAACGGAATCCTCTCGATCGTCGTTCCGAAAGAGCCCGCCCCGAAGCTGAAGAAGATTCGCATCGAATAAAGGTCATACGCAGCAGCTCACGACTCTTGTCTTTGTTCTTCACTGCGGTTGTCCTCGTCCAACATCCTTGGCTGGCCTAACGATGATATGCAATGATTGACATGCTGTGGTTGTTTCAACTTTCTCATGGATTATGTTCGCAGCGGCACTGTTTCTTACTCGGGATTCTTCTGATTTAACTGGTTTACTGGTTGGTAACACGTGGGATGTATAATACTAATTGCTATGACCTCGACACGGAACAATTCATATGATGATATTACTCTATTCCTGAAATGGCTGTAGTCGTACCAAGATTATCCTGCAACACGAGGGTTCTCCCTATACAAAATATCCCTTTAGACATCCTAAATCCACCTAAACTAATCAAGTAGTATTTGTCTTGTGTAACAAGATGTATGAGCCTCTCAGGACATGATTACACATGTTGCAAGTACATATAGATAGATACCTGATCCCCACTGACAACAAATAGTGTCGATCTGGGATCAAATTGCGCATGTTAGGTATCAAACACGGCTGGCTGAAGGGTACGTGGGACATGAATCCCTTACTTCGAGCAGAGTGAGCAGAGTGAGCAGAATTATGGACAGAGGTAAAATAGGATTTTCCTAAGGCCCGTATCGTCTTTCCCTTCATCAAAACAGGTGGCTTACCGTTTCATTCTCTTTTCTTCTCTGCAGTCATTTTGATGGGCGCAGCGGCACACTTGATGCGCTGTGTTGTTGACACGTCTGAGTGCATGCCCGTGTTGATGTATCCGGCTGGAGCGAGGTCTCGAGCATGGATGTTCGCCCCTCATGCAATGCATGGAAACGTCTCGCTAGAATTATGCATTCTTGGGAGATCTTGAGGTCTAGGGGGACCTTTTTAGCCGATCTGCGTCACATACAGGAAGATTCAGTGCATGGAACTTTAATTCATAGAGCAACTCATACTACATATCATGCTTCATACTATTCGTACATCATCAACAGGTTATTTTTCTTAGATAAGTCCGTTCAAACATGAGGAACAGCGTACTTCACCGCTATATCACAGCTTTCCATATAAAAAAAAAAATAAAAAGAAAGGAAAAAGAAAATTCCCAAGATGGGGAGGGTATCGTCAGAAGGTCACAGAGCAGTAGATCTCTCAAGGATCTGTCAACCATAATTTTGCTCTTCATACAATGAAGAGTGAGAGGGAGAAAAAAAAAATCAGTAAAGGCAGGAATAGGATGAACATAATGGGAGAAAGGAAAACATAAAAAATCTTGCACAATGTGGACTGGGATCCATAGGATATGTATGACCTATATAGGTTGAAAGAAATGAATGAAGATAAATGACCATAGGGCGTTAATAGAAGTAGATGAAAAAAGGAACAAGGAATGGAGAAATAATAGCAGATTACCACCATGATATCAAAGGGTATTGAACTCCCAAGAACATAGAAAATTGGTCCGACGTATGCAGGAAATAAAGAATGGAAAAAATGAAAGAGGTAGTCGAACTGGCTCCGATTGCCAAAGTCATCATTCAGAAGATCAAGGAAATCCATCAAAGGAATATAGATGGTATAGCATAATGCATTCACCGGCTCAAAAATGAATGGGTAAATGACTCAAAGAGTCATTTGAACAACACAGGCGAGTTTGCCAGGTGGAAGTCTGGCCGTTTCTGGGCTTGCAGTTTTGTCATCTTGCGATGCTGGAACTCAATGCTCCGGTTTCGGGTTCTACCGCGTGCTGGTTCCATCCCAGAACTTTTCTCATCGTAGCTTTCCTGATCCTCAAACTTCTGAGGGATGGGAAATGCTGGTAGTGGGGGAGCCTCGATCCCCGGCCGCTGGGACCACACTCTGGCTGATGTCTTTTTGTATGGACGCGAAGCACGACCTTTTTTGGAGTTGAAGCTGTTCTGTGCAATGTTGGTTTCTGATGCGGACTTGAGAAGCCCGCTCATTTGTTGGCCCTCCTCTGTTCGGCGTATGGGAGAGCAATGCGTGTGATCTGTAGCAGGATGGTTGTCCCGCAACTGCGCACAGTATTGAGGTTGATAAATGAACCTTGCGGGTGGGTAAGGACCAGAGTTTGATAAACTTCTTATGCGGCCATTGTAGATAATCTGCTGGGGTTCATGGCACAGTGTACTTGTACTCTGCGGCCAACCATTCTGTTCAGTCACGAAACTCGTCCTGGAACCTTGAAGACTGAGATGGCGATGCATGGGAAGCTGGGTTCCAACTTCGCAAGAGTCATTTTTGGAGATGTTCCCGAATGTGGACCAGCGATAGTCAGACGATTGACGGGTTGACCCTTGTGAATCAGTAGAGGCGCGAGAACGGCCGTCTTGCAGCGAGCGAACTGATGTCGCAGAACTATAGCCACTATCTGCTTTTTTGTGTAACCTTGCTGGTCTTGCTGCGAAGGAACTTTCTGCAATAAATTCCATTCGCTGGTGGTCAAAGGCTTCTTCCTCATCCAGGACCGATATGCCCTCATCCTCGAGGAACAGAGATGAGTGCTGACCAGAGTGAAGAGTAGTTGTAGGTGACTTCTCAAATGAGAAAGGACTTGCGGGAACGTCTTCGTATTCTCTCAATTCAGAAAGAGGTGAAATCCTTAAGAAGGATCCGGAAGGCTTCTTCGCTGAATTTCTGGCTGAGGCATTTTGTAAATGCGCCACATCTCCACAGCGAGAGTGCATTGACATATCTTCCGCTGCTTTCGAGACTCGATCCTGGGTGATTCCATCTTGATTGGCGCGATGGAGATGCCGTGAGTCTGTGGTCTGCACAAAGCCGTCTTTGATCTCTGGGCTTGTAGTCTGATCAATCTGAGATCGATCACTTGGGCACGGTGATACAGAACCATTCACAACTCGTAAAGATCCAAGCTTTAGATTACCCAGGTGTGTATACTCCGATTCGGTGGGAGTAGGTGGGCGAAGCTGGGTGGTGGAAGGCGCCCAAACGCCATCGTTCACATTGGTGAGTGGCGATTGAGGGTATAAGTGAGAATAACCAGGAGGCTGAAAATGAGACTCGTGTTCCTGGTCAATTGGAGGCGGAATCCTTTGTGTTGCACTTCTTGTAGACCGTCTAGTCGCAACACCGGGTCGTGTAAGAAGCGAACGCCGGCGCATCAGGGAGAATCCTTGATTATCCACCATAAAATGTGTGTTGGAGGAGGTTGCGTCTTCGAGGGCCTGGTCATGCATCGTGCCCGCGGCCTTGGTAGGAAGCGAATGCAGTGAGTAGGATCTCACCGGCTCGTCGGATCGAAGCTGTGTCGAATGGTGGTAACTGTGGAGTGTTGCTGTGCGGAGTGGCGTCTGCCTAGAGGGTCGGAATGACGCACGTCTGTTCGGGATTGTTGAAGCATTGAAGTTCGAACCCGGAGACTGAGGTAATGATTCGTCTGTCTCTTCGATGACAATCGAGCTTGTTCTGGTCCCTTTCGCAATGCTCCATGGTACTTCAGACTGGGCCGAAGCGGACGGGAGTGATCGCGACCTCTGCGCGTGATAGTCATTGCTCGGAGGACTGATTGGAATCGTGGTTCCGGTCCAGGGGTTTTGCCAGGTAGGGGATTCGGCCGCAACCGCCGCAGCCGCACGGGGCGAACTGGAGGTCGTAGAGCTTATGACGGTTTTGCTGGTTGGGGGTTTTGAAAGACGATTGGCGCGCCGGCGCTCATCCTTGCTCTGAATTGAATGGAAGCTCCCCATGACTTGCTGGTCGTGAGAAAGCGTATAGGCCGAGAAATGCTTCTCAGAATTCAATAACGGCGCATAAAAGACATGGATAATTTCGGTTGGAAAGGGTCAGGCAATGGTTTGATGGGGTTCAAGACAGCTTGTCCCAGGAAGCTGGGTAGCTTTTGGAGATAAATATCGATTTGGAGACGATCGAGCCAAAGCGATGTCGTAATCGTGACAGCAAATAAAGAGAACTGGATTCTCCAACACCGATCGTCCCTGATCTCCACAGCTCAGAGCTGTCAGGGAAGCCTAAAACGACAACCAACCAAGCTAGCAACAAGCCAGTAAGCCAGCAACACTGGGGGCGCGATGGAGTCCCTCAGTCAATTTCGTCGCCGGGGATACAATGGCTTGATCTGGAAGCCGTCGCCGTTATATGCTTTAGCAATTTGGCGCCAGGCCGGGTTCAAGTGTCGATCCAAATCTGGGCCCACTGCGATCGATTGATCACCAGGTTTCGGCTGTCAAAGAAAGAAGGACAACGATGAAGGCTAAACAAATATTTATAGGGGGGGGGGGGGCTCGAATTGCGCGTGTCAAGAAGACACGACCGCCCGACTCTCGAGGTACAGAGACGCACAGATGCGACCAAGAAAACAAGATCCAAGCCGAGCTATCCGACAAAAAGAGAAGAATCCTGAAACTATTCGAGTGTGAGGCAGGGAACAGGGTATCAGTCAATCAACCAAAGCAGAGCAATTCATCAACAAGGACCAGATCCAGAATACTTTTTGTACACGGAGGACCCCTTGTGTGTCAAAAAATAAAAACAAGCAAACGAAACAGACAAAGGACACCGGGGAGAAAAGCAGAGAACAATTGCCCTGCAATGATTGGGAATTAGGTAGTTGACAATGGGGGAGTAGGAGGAGAGGATCTCTTAAGATCGATAGACGAGGTGGAGCAAGAGATGCACTGCCATCAGTCGCCATGAGCACAGAGGATGCAAAGAATACACAATCATGACGAATGCGTTTAGAATTTTAGACCCGGTCGAGACAGTTGTAGCAGCAGGTTGTACTTGAGAGTATCAATTAATCAATCAATCAATCAATAATAAATATTATTTATTTATTATGCGGGCCACGGATTGGCAGTACTCGCATGGAGTACTTAGAGAGTTAGTAGTTAGTTCGTTGGACCCAGTCGGAGAGCGTTGGAAAGGCACTGTCTGACAAGTGACAAGGACATTGTATGATTCGGGATTATTTGGGCTAGGTAGATACAACCTAACTAACTGGGTAGGTATAGTAAGTATGGTACTGATGGATACGGAATTGAGGTGGCTTTCCCTGTAACCAAGGGCAAGCAAAGTATCGTGGGATTTTCATCAATTTCCAGGGAAAAGTCCGAGGTGGAGGGGAATTTGATACTGGACGAGATTTAGTCTCAAGGTTGTTGGGGATGGAGAAACACGACATCATCGCCGGACGCGGACGGACAATAGAGACTACTGGAGGCTGAGAGGCTGAGAGCACTTGAGTATCTGAGCCTTCTTGACTTCTGAGGCTTCTAAGTTCTGAGGCTTCAAGAGGCTTCAAGAGGCGGCCATGTTATGGTACGCCTAGTCTCCTAGACTCCTAGTCCTATGGACAGGGGAGTGGATCCTTGGTAACGACTATCAAGTATCAAGAACATCCAGTTTGTTCTGATCGAATCAGAATCATGCACCTCTCACTAGTTCTCCGGTACCTTGATAGGTAGGTAGGGGCTTTTAGCCCTTTACTTGCTTAGAGCCTACTAGGACTCTTGGGACTTGGGACTTGGGACTCTCTGAAAGTTGGAACTGGCGGTTATTGTTCTCTACCAAGTCTTGTTGAGTGGACACTGGATTTTCTGAAAACTGGAGGACTGAGAGAGTTCGGCCAACACTGTCACCCAGTTACTATTACCTATGATCTTAGAGGTGATAAAAACATATCTCTACCTTACTTAGTAGTAGTATGTATCTGTATCCGTACGATGTAGTTGAGTTGCCGCAAACAGCAGCGCAGGTTGACTGACTCAGCTCATAGTCCATCAGTCCAATCATCTCGTCAAACCCATCACACAATTACCTAGGTACTTCCATAGACAATACCTATGTAACTACTTCCGGTGTGCTAAGTACTTGCTATCTACGTAGTAGTAAGTAGCATTAGATAGTACTTTACTAGGTAGATACATCCTTGAGATGATCATCCCATACTCCATAGCCAATTATTTCTACCCCATGAGATAGATCACTAGGTACTAAGTTGGCTGCTTCATGTACCAACCAAAACTTATCTCATTCAACACTTACCGCTCTTGAAGATTCCCTAATCCGGAGTTTACAGTACTCACATACGCGCTTCTTGAAAAACTCTGGTGATCTCGCTTGAGACATACGGCCCAAGTCCACCCATCTGCAAACAATAATAAGCTTTCTAGATACCTATCGACTGAGGTAGGGATCGGCCTGAAGCTCTGAACGCGTCCTAGCCAACCGAGTCGGTGTACCCGACAGCTGGAATTCGCGCTGCAACGTACTAGTGTAAGAGAACTCCTGCAATCGTCCTGGCTCGGCATACAGGTAACCTCCCTGGTGGTAAGGTACCACATCGGGATACACCGCGTCCTCTCTGCCAGCTTGTCAGCTGAATGGCGATATCCTCCAGCTTGGCCACCCTGTCGGCCTTTCCTTTTCTCACCCTCGAGGAATTCTGGAGCGCCTGTTGCGCTTTGTCGAGTCGACTTGATGGAATCGCCGACCCTGCCCGTCTGGGCTACTCCTCCATCAGGCTTATGCAGCAGGTAAGGACTGTCTCTCTGTGAGGATGATGCTGAGCGCGGATCGACCTATCTTCAAAGAGAGAACCCGAACGTGATCCCTTTTTTTTTTTTTTTTTTTTTTTTTTTTTTTTTTTGGGAAAAAACAAAGCTCTCTTCTAACCTCATCATTTTTGCCGGCTCTCTCTTGCATATTAGGCTACAGGTGGCGGTCTCAAATTCTCCCGGACTCTTCAAGACACCAGTGCTGAACAGACGAACAATGTTCTACCAGGAATAAACGTCTCTGAAGAACCGGAATTGAGCGAAGATGATCCTGTTCGTCGAGATTGTACTCCTATTTTCTATCTGTGCGATGATCTGACAGGCGAACTTAGGAAGCTCTGGTTCGTACACTCAATCTCAATTCCAGCCTACAGGTAGAATATGATATCCTTCTGTCCCCTGTATATCGCGTCCCCGTTCTATACTTCATAATCCGATCGGACAACCCTCCACAGCCGCTAGGAATAGACTCAGTCTATCAACATTTGGTACCGGACCAATTTAGGAAGCAAATGCAAAGTGTGGGTGTCATGGGTGGTATTAGTCTCGGCGTATGTGCAGGCGCTTTCACAGAACAAATCGTCGCAGAGCTCACAATTCCGTAGTATCATCCTGAATCTGGTGGTCCGGCTTTTTTTGTGCACCCGTGCAACACTGCAGATGCCATGACGCAGATTGCAGGGTGGCGGAAGGTCACTCCCGAGATGTACCTCCTCATCTGGCTCGGCTTGGTAGGCAATTGCCTCGGTCTTCATCTGCCGTACGAAATTTTCGCAAGCGCGGGTGCTCAAGACTTCTCAGGGCAATGATCAAGAGCAGGTTTGGAGCAGATAGCGTTTTTGGGTGGTTCCTTGAGCCCTACTCCCGGACCCTCGGCCTGACCGCAAGTGAAACATGCGTTTAATCTTCATCAGATGAGGCTTCCATAGGGACATCGCTATCCTCGTCCATGGGTGCCTCCTCTTCGTCGCTCTCTTCCTCACGGGGTCGCTTGATCCCATGGGCTGCTGGGACCTCGCCGTTAACCTCTCCCGTAGGTTTCGAGGGCAATGCCGTGGATCCAGGCGGACCGCTGAAGATCGATTTCTGGAGATCCGTGGAGGCATTGCCAGCCTGGGCAGCAGCTGTTGTCGGGGCGTTATAAGTCCCTCGTAATCTGGCAATGACATCCGAAGAGCCTTTGGCATAGACGATTTTCTAAAACCCCGATTCGTTAGCAACAAACGGCAACATGATCTCAAGTGGAACTCTCACCATCTCCTTTCCAAAAAAATCAAACCCTTGTAGCGCGCGCATCGCCTGTGTGCTTGCTTGGACATCCTTGAAGACAATGTGTGCTTGACCACGCATTTTCTCTGTCTTCATAGCCACCACATCCAGGACAGTGCCGTAGGTGGAGAAAAGTGTATACAGCGAAAGTCGTAAGTCATACTTGCGAAGCTTGTCAGGGAGGTTTGTACAGTAAAGCCTATCTTTCCTGTCAGAAGATGCGAATCGCAAGAGGAGTAGGGGTTCTCTAAGACTAACGTTTGATTTGGTAAACCAGCAGGGAGAGATTTGCTTTGGTTAACACCACGCGCAGGAATCGCTTTTGTAGACATTGTTCAATAAGCCTAGAAGAACTGACGCAAGGAATGCAAGAAAAGTATTCACAAGACGAGGCTATGAGAGGACTCGTGATGGAATATCTTGAGCGCGTTCTGTTGCATCGACACCATTCGCTCGCCTTTTTCCACCTAGCTCTTCCAAATCACGTGAACTATTACCTAATGGTTCCGCCCGCGTCATCGGCCCAAGCCCCCTGGTCCTGCTCGGGGTTGAGCTCCCATCTAGACAGACATAAATCAACTATCTACAACGAGCCCAGGCCCCTCATACAACCAGAAATTCAAACTTATACGACAGTAGAGAGCTCCTCCTGTCATTCTTTATAAGATGGCTGCCCCTGAAGTCCATCATTTGTTTCACAGCCCAATTGCGGACCACTCCTTTTCCAGCGACCGGAACACTCTTGCTGTTGCACGGGAGAACAATGTCGAGCTTTATCAGCGGTCAGGCAACAAGTTTTCCTTGACCGACGAACTCAAGGGTCATGAGAAGATTGTAACAAGCGTTGATATTGCTCCCAACAGCGGTCGCATTGTCACTTGCTCGCAGGGTATACCACATCTACACCCCGCATCCAATTGAACTATAGCAGCGGCTGACCGAGCCTTCCGATTACAGACCGTAATGCCTACGTTTGGGAGCATACTCCGTCAGGCTGGAAACCCACTTTGGTTCTTCTTCGTATCAACAGAGCTGCGACATTTGTGCGCTGGTCACCTTCGGAGCAAAAGTTTGCCGTCGGCTCCGGAGCCCGTGTCATCGCAGTATGTTACTTCGAGGAGGAGAACGACTGGTGGATCTCGAAGCACTTGAAGAAGCCCATTCGAAGCACCATCACAACTCTCGCCTGGCATCCGAACTCTGTTTTGCTGGCCGCCGGATCGACAGACTCTCACGCCAGAGTGTTCTCTAGCTTCATCAAGGGAGTCGACACTCGTCCGGAGCCAAGTGCCTGGGGAGAACGTCTCCCGTTCAACACAATTTGTGGAGAGTACCTTAATGACTCGGCCGGATGGATTCAGGGCGTCTGTTTTTCCCCAAGTGGAAACGCTCTTGCTTTCACTGCCCATGATAGCAGTGTCACCGTTATTTACCCCAGTGCCCCCGAACAGCCTCCTCGGGCTATGTTGAATATCACTACTCGTCTTCTGCCGTTCAATAGCTTGATTTGGAATGGAGAGAATGAGATCATTGCGGCCGGTCATGTAAGTCCCCAACGAACGATTCCCGCCGCAGAAAACAAACGCATTGTGTGCTAACTCTCAAAAGGATTGCGAGCCATTCCGCTTCCGTGGTGATGAGAATGGATGGGAACTGACAGGAGCTATTGAGAGCAAGACAGGAGGAGGTGCCGGCAGCGTGCGAGAGGAATCTGCCCTCAACATGTTCCGTCAAATGGACCTCAAGGGTCAGGCTCAGGCGGACACGCAGCTCAAGACTGTCCACCAGAACACCATTAACACGATCAGGGTCTACGAAGAGGCTGATGGCGCTGTCAGCAAGTTTAGTAGTAAGTTATGCAGACTCTTCTAACGTGGTGATACCGTGCTATAGAAGACTAACAATTATGCCATAGCGAGCGGTGTTGATGGTCGTGTCGTTGTCTGGGCCATCTAGGCTTGGTGAACTGACTCGGGCTAACTCAACTATAAGGCTGAATAATACTCCGTATCTGCACCTTGCCCACTTCTCCGTGATCAAAGTCTGGCACTCTGATCAACTGCACAATGGTCACATAGAAATGTTCTTGAACATAATTGATTACACACAATTACTTGTCCAACTCACTGTAGTAGAAGATCAAAGCTCCCATTCGACCGCTCAAGTCTGTAGGACTTTACCACATCCTCAGGAACGCCCATCATTTCCCTTTTTCATGAGATAGACTTTCAAGGTCTGGATGCCTGGGTGCCTGGGGAGTGGTACGTGGCCTAGATCGGTAATCCAAGCTGTCACTAGTCCTAATTGGGGATGCAAATCACCTGACTACCCCGGATTCTTAACGTCAGTGGCTGACTGGCTCTATCACGCGTTGCATTTCCTTGTTCACCGACCCCGTGAGTCTCGGAGCATAAGGATTGCGATTATTGCAGTGCAGTGATGCAGCAAAATTCCAGCGAGGGCGCTGCCTAGTCTCCGGGCTTCAGATATCTGGTATGAAGATACCTATTCGACGATGATCTGTTCATATATCGTGTCTTCTGTTATTATTATTGCCTGCTTAATCTCTCTTGCTGTAGGCGCATATGGCTTCTCCGGCTCGGACAACCAAGCTAAACGGCACCCCTCTAGAGAACTGTTTGACTCTCTGGAGGAACTGTCGCGTATTGTTGACATCGCGTACTGTGTTGGAACCACTGGGGTCTGGGAACCGTTTGAATGTCTCAGTTATTGTAAAGAGTTTCAACGCTTTGAGCTGGTCACTGTAGGTCCACAAATCTCCAATCATCCGACGAGAGAACTCGGCATTGATTGTTTACATCGCCTCAGACATGGAATACCGGCCCTTTCCTCTCCGATTCCTGTGGCTACATAGCTTTGTCCCATCACCCATCCGCAAAGCGCATCATCGTGGCGTTCCGCGGTACCTACTCCATTGCAAACACGATCATCGATCTATCCGCTTACCCCCAGGCATACGTGCCATATAACCCCGGCGACAATCACCAGTCTGTAGTACCGCAATGTTTGAACTGCACCGTCCATTCTGGATTCCTGGCCTCGTGGGCCAACACTCGCGCCACCGTTCTCGAGAACGTGTCCGCGGCGAGGCAGCAATATCAGGATTACGACTTGATCCTGGTAGGCCACTCACTTGGGGGTGCGGTTGCTGCGCTGGCCGGTGTCGAGATGCAGCTCAGGGGCTGGGAGCCGCAGGTGACCACGTTCGGCGAGCCCAAGGTTGGGAATAAAGCGTTTGCGCGGTTCCTCGATCGAGTTTTCGGCCTGGATGTCGCGAGGCAGGGGAGAATGCTCGATGATCAAGCACTGAAGTTTCGAAAAGTCACCCATGTCAATGACCCTGTACCGCTCCTCCCACTCCAGGAATGGGGCTATGAAATGCACGCGGGGGAGATTTTCATCTCCAAGGTGGATCTCCCGCCAGCCATTGAGGACGTGGAGCTCTGCCAGGGCGATCATGACGACCGGTGTATCGCAGGAGCAGAGCAAACGATCGATGCGATGATGGACAAGGTGAATGTCATAGTTTCACAAACACAACCCCCACCCAAACGAGGAGACTCGTCTCTCCAAGCCATTTTAGCAGGTAGCGAGAGCCCCCAGGATAGTACAATCTCCGACAACAAGGGTCGCGGCAAGTCGGAAACACCGCCCAGTGTGTTCTGGAACCCCATTCCCTCCAGATACCGGCTGTGGGAGCTGTTCTTCGCCCACCGCGACTATTTCTGGCGGCTTGGACTCTGCGTCCCAGGCGGTGATCCAACGGGCTAAGGCTTGCAATCCCTGGTTCTATGACGATACACCTCAGACGGATAATGTTTCTACGTATGTCATGACAACGATTGTGTTTGTTTCGGGTTTATTTCTTGCTCATGCGACGAGGTATGGGCGATATCGAGCTGGCCCAGTCTTCCTCTGGGGGAATAGTGCTGTCTCTTCTTTTTTTTTCTCCTTTGAGCACTAAATTGCATTTTTTGATCCCTGGCTTATTCTCGTTTTCAATCATTCTCATGTATTTTATGATGATGGCGATCGGACTTCAGAGGGTCGGTCATATGAGACCACACACGTTGTGCGACGCGCTCAGTATGTTCCGCGATTTCGGGTGTATTAAGTGATATCCAGTGTCGCGTTTGACAAACAGAGATATCCAAGAGGAACGCATGGCTGATTCAAGATGTAGACTTGAGAAAATCTAAGCTCGACGCTATGAACACATGGTATATCTCAACACGATGATGGAAGAACAACAAATAACACGAGCAGTAGAGCGAAGAGAAAAAATAAAATAAAATAAAGAGACTGTCATCAACGATCATAAGACCACATCAATAGACGAAGGGGGGGAAGTTAACGATCCCTGTACCACCGACTGTCGGCACCGCTCTCATTTCCCATGCTCCAGGTTGGGCACAATGACCGGTCCGTACTTGACCACATTCCCGTAGGTTCCCTCGCCCTGCACCATGAAATCGACGGCCAGATTGAGCTTACCGCCGGCATGGCCCATGTTCTGGCCATACATGGGATTCACGGCGTCCGGGTCGTAGGCGACGATGGCGATGTAGTTGCGGCGGCCCATGAGCTTGCGGTACTCGCGCGCCTGGCCGCCGACGTCCGTCTGGAAGATCTCCATCATGTCCTCCTTGGTATCTGTGGGTTGCGAAGGGGTGGAGCGATGCCCGTTGGCGGGGACGTACAGGGGTTTGTGGCTGCTGTGGAGGAGCTTGATGATGTACGACGGGGGAGGACTGTTGACGACGGCCGACGAGATGAGCTGGTACATGGATTTGTGGTCTTTCGGGTGTGCCGGATCATGGACGAGTCCAGCGCCGCAGACGTTGACCGCGCCGGAGAGGAAAGTCATCCGGAGAGATTTCTGGTGGGCAATGCCTTGCAGGGTGCGGATCAGGTATGTCCTCTCCAGGTCCTGTGTTGTCGCATTAGCACCGAAATGTTCAACCCCGATTCAAACAGACGAATGCTCTTAAACGTACCTTAGACTCATGCGTCCATTGATCACGCAGCTCCTCGAGCAGATCGAATTCTCCAAACGGGCTCAGAATCCCACCCATGAGGCCGGACTTGCCCACAGCCCGCTTGACCGAGTCGAATCCGGAACCGACCATATCCTTCGCGCCCACCACGCCCGCCACAGAGCTGGTAACCTTGCCCAGCACATTGTACGCACCGGTGACCGCCCTCTTGCCCGTCGCGACGGTGTGTGCAATGTGCTCGGCAGTTTCCAGTCGGGGATAGATGATGGGGACCGAGAGCATCCAGATGCAATGCTGTACCGATGGAGGCAACATGGCGACCTTGGGGAAAATGCCTTGATACGTTGGTCCCGCGATGACCTGGTGTGGATTCCGTTCTGACCGGCAGTCGGCACCGACAACGACCACCGCTGGTCCGAGGAACTTGACAAAGTGCCAGCCCGTTCCAGTGATTGTGAAGAGATCCACATCCGTGCTAACGTGGCGTAGAATTTCCAGCGTCGTGTGATGCTGGAAGAGTAGGTACATCTCAATACCTAGCCGGCCAATGTTCTTGAACATGTTTGAGAACTGCATGTGCTCCGGATACGATCCGAATCCATCGAAGCTGACGAAATTAGTCTGCTGTACGGCGATCAGAAACCCACCCAGGGATACTCACATGTCGTGGTCATCAATCTGGCAAACATATGGGATCTGAGCAAACGATTCCCTTAGATACGGTTGATCGAAATGGCTGGTGTAATAATGGAAGTAGGCGTGCGAAACATCCTCCTCATGTGCTGCCGTCCACGGGGCGTTCTTGCGCGCCTCCTTGCCACTAATCCCGAGCCACTGCTTCAAGGATGGAATCTCCTTCCACATCCGGTCGGCGTAGATCTGACCTCCAAGGCACAACTGCGCATGGAACCCCCCAATCTCGCTATGTTTCTGCATGATATCCTTCCACATAAACCCGACTCCTCCAAGGCGAGACCGCTCATTCGCATTCACATTGAGCGAGAAGTCGTTCCCGGAGGTGGCAACGAAGCGCCAATTGGTCTCGTAGCGGCCAGCGATCAGGAATTCATACCGGGTGCAGCCCAAGTGCGATGTGATCGCATACGTCCATTTGGCGGGACCAGACTCCTCCATACGCAGATCGACCTCGTACTTGTAGAAAGTCCAACGCTGGTGCACCGCAATGTTCAGCGGTTTCAGTTGCCGGGGGTTGGGCGAGAGATCAAGACTTTGGTGGATATGGATTGTTGGCGGTTGTGCAGCGTCGGTCACCAGCAGAATTGAACCAAGCCAGATACCGCGCTCCAGATCCATATTTGTATACCGCAGATAAGGGCCAAAGTAAACGCCGTTCGTCGGAGCAGTCTTGTAAAGGTCAACTCCACTGCTTGGTGGCGGCCCACTGAAGACAGCCATGACGGGTGATTGCAGGCTCTCATAGCCAGGTGCCAGACCTGGAGTGAGAGGAATGCCCGGGGAGGCCAGCGGTTTCCCAAAGGCAGACAAGCCGGGAGATGCCAAGGGATGACTGCTATAAACACTTCCGACAGGCGACAGGGGAGTCTCATTCAGGTTCAGGGGTGTGGGCCCCTTGGGGAACTCCCATTGCGTTGACTGGGTAGGAAGATGAATATAGTAGTATTGCCCGGAATTCGCATCTAGATGGGCTATCCAGCCCTCGGGCAGCGGCGGCGGAGACGCAGGAGGTAAGGTGGATGATCCAGCCAACGCGGCGGCTTGGGCGTTCTGAATAGAGACTGGTAAGTGCCCGACCGGAGTGCTGTTCTGTGGGGATTGCCCAGCCGAGGACTGCTGGCGAGGATCATTGGCAAATGCTGGATGATCCTGTGGCGAGACGGCCGGAGGAGTCGCGGAGGTAGTACTAGGAGGAGCCACGCTTCCGGCACCATTGGTGGGAGGCATGGACGCCGGATGGGCGGGGGCAAGAGCTGGAGGGGCCACTGAGGTTGGCAATCGCTGCTTTTCAATTGGATAACTCTGGGGAGCGACTGGTCCAGAGACACTGGAGTACGCGGGCGGAGGCGAGGAGCTGATGCGCATTCTTTCGAGGTCCTGCTCCAGCGCGTTCAGCGGTACTCTCGGCGGTTGTTGGCTTTGCACTGGGGGAGGAAGCGCTGCTGCGGCTGGCGGGGGCGGATGGAGTGGGCTCGCAGGCGGATTCGGTGCGCCTACGGCTTCAGCACCTTGGTAAACGGTGGGTGGCCCATGAGGCTGAGAACCCGGCTGCTCCGTTGGTGTCCACGGCCGCTGGACTGGCTGGACTAGCTGGACTGGCTGCTGAAGCTGAGTTCTCGGCAGCTTGCCGGCATACGGTTCCGCCCGTCTCTGAGCCGCAGCGCTCTGCGCGTGCAGTCCTGCGAGCGTCGAAGTGCCCGCAATACCAGAAGCCGCATACCGAGCCTCGATATCAGATCCAGGTTGCTGACCAGGCCCTACGATAGGGGTTTCCGGGGGTGGAGGCGAGCCTCTCTGGGCACGGGTTGTCGAGTTGGATGCAGTCGAACTGAATCGATTGATTGCACTGTTGGGGGGCTGTAGACCCTGCGACGTCGGTGGCCTAGGTATAGTCGAGGTTGCGGATGGAGTCGAGGGTTGCGGAGGTGGCCAGTACTGTTGTCGGTAATCGGCATATGCATGACTTTCGCCCTGGACGCCATTCGATGCGGCCCCTAAAGGCGCGGGCGCACGCTGGTACATTCGGGAAAAGAGAGCATCTCGGTCGGGCGCTTCAGGACCCGGCGATTCGGGCAGTGGTTTGGGGATGCTGTTCCCCCGTCTTTCCGCCAGAGTGGCAGGCTTAGGCTCACGACCGTCCCGCGGTCGCAGAGCTGCTGGATACTCCGTCGGTCTTGTTGCGCTAGACCCCGCCGGCATCGACGGCCCGTTGTTTACGTATGAGACGGGAGATCCATGTCGCCCAGCTTCAACCGTTGGACTCGAACCGGTAGAACTCGACGAACTGCGCATGTGTGACACACGGGGACGGTCATCGGGATATGGGAGGGGCGCGGGTGAGGGAGTCTCTCGTTTATTGAACCGCAAAGGCCCAACCACAGGTGACTCTGTTGGCGGTCGATTCGAGGTATTGAGGAACAGCTCTTCCTCAGAAGGGTTATCCTGACGGGTATAGCTGGGGTTCATGGTCGTAGCAGATACACGGTGAGTATGACTATTTTCCTGCGATCTGTGTGTTCTGTGTGTTAGGAGGCGGAGCTATTCAAAAGCGAAGATACCGCTGCACAGACAGAAAGAATACGAAAAGAGAAGCGCAAAAGACCAAGAAACAAGGAAAGATAGAACCGAAGGAAGAGAAAAGGAGAGAAGGGCAACTTTACCTTCGTGCTACCGACAACGACCGGCGGATGGAATGGAGGACGATGGGCTGAAATCACGCTGCCTGGAGTAGCGCCGGCGAGATCTCGATACGATGAGGGGTAAATGGGTCGCCCAAGAGGATGCGGGGAGCCAAAGAAGAGACCAAGAAAGAGTCTCAGGCAGTCTCGAGATCAGATAGAAAGGAAGAAGACATGAGCAGATGGGACTGCGGGAACCCACTGGGAATCAACCGTGCCTCATGCTTCCAAGCTGAATGTTGTTGAAGGTTGGTGATGAGACTCCGGTCTTGTCTCTGTGATGATGGATGTCAATGGCAGAATAGCCGCCGAACAAGACACAAAACCCACTCCAACTGACTGTTATTGGCTTAGAGAAAGACATCGTCCAATCTATTTGCTAGGTGTATATCAAGGCAATATCGGAGTTTGCGCTGCTGCAACGGCTTGCACGCAGCCAAGACGGTAGCGCGTAGACAAAGGTTGTTGTCTGTAGGAGTAGGACATGTTGGACTGGCTTCAATATTCAGATTGAGAAAAATTGGAGAGGCCGAGATGGTGTTTGCCTTGTCTGTCCGGTATATTGGAGAGTGGAATGGATCAGATGGAGACTGTATATACCTCCGTACATGTATGGAGGAATGAAGTTATATATACATCTTTCTCTGGGTCGGCCCAGGGCGAATCCAACCACGGATACTATATTCTCAGATTCACAATGAATCGTAGGATCGGTTCTCATGCACAAGGTTTATCGATCCTTGGAAACGCTCTTAATATACATCGTAATCTCATGTCCAGTCATACCTATACAGCCCACAATCGCAACAAACGAAACAGAAAGAAGGAGAATAATAATAACAATAAAAAAAAGGGTATCATCCAGAATTATCAGCCGTCATCGCATCATCCAAAAGTCACCAGAGGTAGTCCGTGTGCAGCAAGAAGATCTGTCCAGTCAATACCCCATACAGGACCCCCGTCCTGAGACTGCTGCATTTGTCGCTCATAGACCACCTGGAGTATATACCGTGTCGTTGCTGCATTGCGACCGAACTCCTCTGCCTCCAGGCCCGATAGCATCTCCAGAACCATGCTCTTGACATCGCTGGAGGAGACAGTGGATCCCGCCAGAAAGAGGGGAAATGTGACAAACCGCCTTCCAATCTCTTTGCCTCGCGCCATCGTAGATTCTGCGAGGTTGAGAATGGCTATTGCGTGGTGATGAATTTCTTCTTCAGAAGCAGCCTCCCGTCCCAAGTGTTGTCCGGGCCAGAGACTAGTATGCGAGAAGAGGAGTGAGGTATGGAAAAGCAGAGACGACTATTCAATCATTTCATCAGCACCGTGAGACAGCGATTACAGTTACCAGGATGATAAAAAAGAAAAAAAACAGAAGAACTAACCTGTCGAAGGATTTCTTGGAGGGCTCTTGGCAGGGTTTCCTGCGCTTGAACCATGAACTGGGCCTCCGGAGAGCCCCAAACCCTCCAGAGCGCGTCACGAAGTTGTTCCGCCTCACTTCGTCCCTGGTCCTGCTGCGCATATGGGACAGGCATACTGACGCCTCGCGAATCCGCAGCAAGAAATCCAAATCGGGCCGCGAGCATGAAAGTGTCATGGTGTAGACGAAACAGAACCCGGAGGCGATCATCTTCTGGAGACACGCTGCGATAGCCGTCCAATCGTACAGGAAGTTGAAAGAGACCAGGCTCAGGCAAGAGATCGGAATTTTCCATCGCTGCTCGAACGAAAGACCCTGTTCCCGCTCCGCTGAGAAGAGCGTAGAGGTCCACAGTGCACACCCACCAGAGGATTGAGGGATAGCGCTCTATCCTAAACATTGCGCGTCTGAGGCTTGATATATGAAGTATTCGGGAGACGTGATGGGACCATAGATTTGAACCGTTCAGTTCGGCTACCGCAAGCTATAGACCCTCAATGTTAGCCCGGGTTTGTATAACAAGATTTCACTCATTTGATAAGAGCGAGGGAGAAATTGAAAAGTGGTGAAACCAACCTCGTACGCCAGGAGCAAGAAATGCGTCAGAAAAAGTCCATCAGATAGCAGGTCTTCGTCGCTCCGGATGCTGTTTTGTAGGGATAGAAACGCCTGGTGATAATATCGCAGGCCATCTATATTGTGGCCACCATTTTTCTGGTCGAGGCTGAGCGCAGAAATCGCCATCATCGCATGAAAGAGCTGAGAGGAAAATCCTGTTAGAGGGAGAATCATCCGGTCAGGAGACTGGGCTTACGGGAGGGAAAGTGATGGCTTCGCGATCGAAGACATCGGCGCTGAGCACATCTCCACCTGCAATATCAAATATGCCCCCAGCCGGCACTAATTGCACCCACACTAGATCACGAAAATGCGCTAGAAGCACCGCATCTTGATTCTCTGATTCCAGGGGGTCGTGCATTGGGTCGTCGTCTGTCGTATCTTGGGACGTTGCATCTAGTGTAGCCGCCGATAATGACGACTCGCACAGGTCGGATGTGGGCGAGTGAGCTGGACTTCGACATTGGGAAGACGGAGATCTTTTCGCGTCTTTGAACCGTTTGAGGATAACCACATGGGGGTCTGCAGCCTCGCGGTCATTGGTGAATTGGTCCGTTTCTGTGACACTGGACAGTGAACTTGAGAGCCTGTCTTTTGGTTCTTCCCCTGGCCCATTCTCGATGTACTCTGGGAGATGCGAAAAACTTTCAGGAACCACTACAACATGGTATGTGCCAGGTCTCGATGTCCGTGCTTTTCTCTCCCGCTCTTCATCCGAGGCAAGCAGTGGAAATGGAGGAAGTAAATCAGTCGTCGCGGTTTCGGTGGTGCTACTACTCTTCCTTCGGGGCAGAGAGTTTGCTATAAAAAGGCAATGAGCGGGTCAGTGAATGGTAACTATACCATAGTAAACAACGAGATGGGATACAAGATAGAAGACGAGGAAAAGACGAAAAAAAAAGGGGTGGGGGGGGGGGGGAAGGACGTACGGTCCCAAACAGCATTCCCAGCAGTTTGAATATCAAGCATTCGTTCTATGACTCGGGGTGTATCATCGCGAAAGGAGAGGCGCGGCCGATAATCACAGATATGGCCCAATCTGGTACATTGCTAAGGGAAGATGTCAGGTTGGGGTTGTACGAAGCTGAGATAGAAGAGACGGTATTACATTGCATTGAGGATGTCCTTCGTCGCATTTGACTGTTGAGCAGTTTGTTAGAGCCAATCTCCAAGTATGAAAAACCGCGCCGAAGAAGAGCGGGAAGTCTGAAACCACATGGGAGTGTAATACGTATAACGTACCTTTGCGACTCTAATTCAATCCAAAACACCGCAAGTCAGTTTATTCCTTGTGAACTTCAAAAAAACTTTCAGCAATAGAAGAGCTGGCTCACTCGACATGTCCTAGATGACAGTAAAAACTCGGTATCAGCGCATCGGCCCCCCCCGCAGTATTGAGAACGAATTGTGTAGGACGTACCAGCAACCAGTGCGAGATCGCGGGGGAAATCGAGACCGAGACCGTGGAATGAGAGTTGACTCCGTCAAGGGAGAGTCGAGGTTGGAATCCGACGGAATAAGATCATCCTTGGGCGCAATGATGGGGAGCACGAGAGGGCGCTTCCGCGGCGTCGAGCTTTTTTTGGGTGACATTCCCTGTTTGGACAGTATCATCTGGGGGATATGGTTCAATCGCGCTTCAGGGATCAATTGATCAGATATGCATTCGTCGCTGGACCAGGGAAAGACAGTCATCTCACAGTACCTGCTGGCCGGCGGACCCCAATGATCGGGATAATATCACTCAACAAGAAGAAGCAGGGAAGGAGATATACCGAGGACAGATGATGACAGGAAAAATCTGGGGTCAGTTGGGGCGCATGGGAGGTAATAATAAAGAAAATAAAGAAGAGGCTAAGGTGGATTGAGGCATGGTCAATTGTATATACATCGTTTCCCCATACCTATTAATGCGCTAGAGTGGGAGGGGAACAGGATGATGAAGAGAAATGGGTCTTTCTCTACGCGAGACAGAGGAGTAAGATAGTCGCATGTAGCATGATGATAGTCATCCTGGAGGCAACTGACTAGTCGAAACAGCCCGGGAACAAGAATTGAACAGTCAGTCAGTCAGTCAGTCAGTCAGTCAGTCAAGCAGTCAAGCAGTCAGAGAAGATAGACAGAATGCAGATAGATGAACTGACGAAGGCCAGAACCGGGGGGAGAGGGGACATGGACATCAGTCTAGGCTCGCCCACAGTGGCGGATATCTTAAAAGGAGAGACAGATCGGTGGCCTAAAGGCGAATAATGATACGATATGGGTATGGAAAGCTGAGGTGCAGGAATTTGATGATGGGTGATTTTTTTATTTTTTATTTTTATTTTATTTGTATTGCTCTGTTTATTTATTATATTATATTATATTATATTATATCTTATCTATTTATTGTTTGTTTCGGGGAAAGAAAAATAATTTGCAGTCTCTGATCTGATCGGTGAACGATCGAGAAATGAGTCCGGAAAGGCAGATATCATCATATCGCAACGATCGATGGGAACAATCAACAATTAGGACTGCGGATTGCCTACTGGGAATTGGAATTGGAATTGGAATTGGAATTGGAACCGCATGTGCCAACCATGTGGGATGAAGGTATTATTATTGTTGATGATGGGTCATGCAACAAGACCTAAATTTAATCACTACTAACTAGACTAAGTAGTCTAGCTCTATCAGTACCATGTCCATAGTAGAAGAAAAAAAAAACAAAAACATACAAACAAACACTAAAACTCCTCAACTATTTGCTGCAGGTCAATCAAAAAGAACACCTCAGACTTGATAGTATCGGCACTAAGGAATTACCTATTGCATTGTGGGGTATTGGTATTACAGCCTTACAGGAGAGTCCCGGAGACGTAGCCCGAAACAGGAAGAAACTCCTGGGTGCGATACATGATTGATACCGTTCGTTATCTTCCATGGGAGAATGGAACTTGGAAGATTCCATATCATATCTAGTCCTTTAAAGTACGGACGACGGAGGATCGAAAGCAATGGGGGAATAGTTAGATACTCTGTTGCTAGACCGAGACTGTATAGTCCGCTAGTGGTTATGTCCCTTGGGTCAAGGTCGAGCTATCTCCCGAGTACGACTCCGTATGAGTATCTAGTAGAACTTGGTTCGGTGATCGATTGATTTGAGAGCTTCGAACAGGGGGGCATCTTCAGTTGCCCTGCAGAGTGAGTGTAGTACCAGACGCACATGATCATGCATCCTCCAGCTCCTCAGCAGGACAGTTCATCAACAGGAGACAGGCACTGGGAATATGAATCACTACTCCTATAGATAGATAGTAGTACTTTGTCACCGATCAGTATGAACTATGAAGAATGTCTTAGCCCCCACCTGTTCTCCTCTTTCCAAAGGGTTCGGATTCCAAACGACCCCGATACCTGGATACCCTCCACAGCCCAAAGCCTCTCAGTCTCAGCCCACAAATATGTTTAGGACTGAGGCTTGCGAACTACTACGTAGTAGTAACTTAGTAAGTCTACTACTACGTACTCCGTACTCTCCCAGTCTACGGAGTAAAGTTGGCAGACTCGCACGCCTCACAGGTCCGTTCGAAGCTGTTTACCTGTAAGCTGACGGTAGGTAAAGATGGGTGGTCATTAGCTAGGTGTCACAGCATTGTACTCCAATGTGAGATCCTGCCTACCTAGACTTGATTATGGGAATGGATTAATTTCTGGCCATGCAGTGAGAGTTACTCCAGTTCTACACTGTACATACTCCGTAGTACACATGTTGATGCCAAGGGTGACTGTTATGCATTGCGGGGCTTGTATTCTTCTGCCCGTTAGGCTTAGGAGTCAGAACAGTTGGCTAATAATAAAAGGGGGGCGGGGGGGGGGGGGGGGAAGCCCCTCCGCCACGTGAGATGAGAGGAAAAGAAGCTTCAAAGGTCATCGGCGAGTCCGATGTCAGTCTTTCGGTCTTTGCAGTCGGAGGACCTTTGCTTTTGCCCTTGGACTCCTGGGATAGGTCAGAAAAAAAGGCTTACTACTGACCAACAAACCATTACTTCATAGTCTATTGAGTAGTCTGTGTATCCGCTAAGCCACGTCCATGCTGCAGAGTGATCAGGAAAAAAAACCCTCCCCCCCAAATAGGGTTGCTCAATTCCCAATACGGCGATGATTCGCTTGTTTGCACCGGAACCGGCCGTAGCCAGGTCCGACATCCTGGAATTCGACATTTCCCACCCACAAGGCTGGCTGAAAATGGACTTTGGTGGGTGGTCTGACTCTCTGATACGCGGACTGCCAACTCCGCGTATCCTCCTCAGACCAAAAGTGTTCTGCAGTACCTCCAGCAGCTAGCCAAGTCGGGTGAGCTATCTCGGCGCTAACTACAACTATATAGGCTATCGCAACTAGTCACTGGTCTGGATCAGGACAAGCTAAGGTTCGGTGATCCTTGGTCCAGAAGTAGGAGAGCAGATTTTGATTGGCGGCAAGAAAATATCTTAGGTAGTGTGCCTTCATTTACCCTGTTACTCTGTAGTCTGGGACTCTGGGTATCCATGTTTTAATCGAACCACCATGAGTCCATGTCACTTCCATGACCAAGGCACAGAGCGCGCGGCGTAAGGTACGGAGTCGATCACCGCATTCCCAATTGATCCTGATTTCAAGTTTGATTTCTGGTACCTGAATGTCAAATGACAGGGAAGGTCAGGGAAGTTTCTAACGGACCATAGGTAGTCCATAGCTTGTACTACTATACTACTACTACTTCTACCACCACCACCAACTGATTTTGTTCTATCGTTGTACTCTGTAATTATCGCGTGGCTCCCATATTCGAGCCATGTGTGAATTGCGAACTGTTAAGTTTACCTTCTAACTTTGATCTAGTGTTCGATACGGTAGGTCTGGCTATGGAAAAAGAGGGAATATTTTCCTCCTCAGATGGTCTTGTAAGTCGACAGACCAAAGTGCTCCGTGATCCGTGCTCCGTGCTGATGGACGCTACCAGGTCTAAGCGAAGTGGGTGTGGCTACCTGCATGATACTTTAAGTCAGTGCTGAGCACTCCCGTAGGCCGTAGTAGTGAAGGCGATAACAGAGTATATAATTAACCTAGTCTTCTGACTCTTCGGATCCGAATAGGCCCGCCGAAATCAATAGTCTTGTAGCTGTAGTAGATTGTAAGTACTCTGTACATCCTTAGTTTATCTCGGCGCCCTGAATAATACATACTACATAGTACATAGTGTTCCCCTCCGTCGAAAGATAAATCTGACACGACAGGTATTGATTGTTGTGGCTCTGTAAAAAAGACCTAAAATAGTCTTCACAACGAGACTCGCCTGGACCGGTCTGGATCTCCTCGGCCCGTGCCCAATTGAAGGTTAAAGTATACCTGCAAATCCTGCCAATCATGGCCTGTAGTTTTGGCATTTCGATTCCCAAGGACAAAGTTTATTGAGCCCGCTAGGACATGTCCGTATTTTGATACTACTACTACGTACTACTCACTACATAGTAAACTAAACTAACCTTACAGTAGGTACGGTATTATTCGTGGGTCACGGGTGGTCTGTGTACCTACCTACCTACCTACCTTACCTACCTACGGTATCTTATGTATTGTCATTGTGTCCTGTGGCGGAGTGCAGGGCAAACACCGGTATCATGAACCATAACCCTAACATTAGGAGGGCTCTAGTTTAGATCGATGATGTGTCTACCTTGAACCTTCCTTGATGGTTGGCCCATAGATCATCCGACCGGTGTCTAAGCCTCCGTTCATGTTCCTAGTAGATTATCAAGATACCTAGGTTCCATTCATTGTGAACTCAAACTGCACATGACTGACAGTTCTCACCTTCTCTCCATGAGTTAGTTGGAGTCGGAGCCGGAGAACCTGGACTGGAGTGGACTGGACTGATTGGTTGCCCGCATCTCCGTCCCGGGCCCGGCTGTACCATTCAGCTGGGATGAATATGATTATTGTTAAATTTAAGTAACCTACTCCGTAGTACCTAACACAGTAAGTACGGAGTACTACTAAGTACTCTCCGTAACAGGCAGATCGCATGAAACAAGGCACAGTAGAGTAGTAGACACTAGACAGTCAATACTGGATCGGAGTATAGATAGATAACTATTGATTTTCCGTGATCTCTAATTCGTTTCTCACTCCCTCGCTTAGAAGTCGAACTGCTTAGTTCCAGCGCGGTGTCCTTCTCACCGTGAGACAGAAACAATACTTCCCCCCAGTATTTGATTCAGGACCTGTTGCACCGGACCCGATCTTTCGCCGTCCCTCCATGTCTTGATCGATCGCTGCACCTGTTCGCTGATTTCCATCTCCATCGCCCGGCACATTGTGATGTATGCCGTTGCCGCTTGCGCACGTCCCATTCGGATACTTTCGATGGACACGTCTATCTCGCGGCAAAGCATTTTTTCGGCGAGCGCCGCCAATGGCCCCTGCATCTCGCGTGGCTCAAGATTCTTATCATTCTTGTCGTCGGCCGAGGAGGCCCGCTTCTCGACCCGACCAAACAACTTGCCCAGCTCCGCATAGAGTGTGGTCTGTACTTTCCGACCGCCGTGGCTGACAGCCTTGTCGATGACTGGGGCCATGTCTTCCAGGTACCTGTTCCTTGCTAAACATCAATGGTTGTTAGCACCTTTTGCCAACAGATCATGACAGGTGGCCCTGCACAAACCTTCTGTACCGGCAGACGGATTGAAACACTGTAGAAGGCATGTCACACACGCCGCCAAAGTATCCTCCAGCCCTTGCCTGATGAAAAGGTTAGGAACAATACTCTTCCGGAGAAACAAAAAGGACTGGTGGAACCCACTTGGTTTTGTGCCCGCTGCCAGCATCAATATCCATCGAGTCTGCGTCACCCTCCGTCACGTCGTCCAGCACCTGGGAGACGATGCTCAGTGCCTCGGGCATGAAATCGAGGTCGGTGCGCGCCTGCGCCACCCCACCTAAAGCGACGAGACCATGTGGACGATATGCGGCATTGTTGCGCTTTGCCTCCCTAATTGCGATCACCTGAATCAAGGTATAAGCACCCTGTCCTGGGATAATGCAGATGGGACGGAAGACTTACCTTCATCGAGTCACTGAGCTGCTTGTCCTCTTCCCACAGCTTTTGAGCTTGGCCTGCAAACTTCACAAATGCCTTGAGCACAACTTCTTTGCCGTCCCACGTCTTCCCCGCCAGTGCTCTTTCCAACACGGGCCACAGTATCCGGCACGTGGCAACGTCAAGACTGGGGTCTAGCGAGATGGTCGCGTTGGCAATACCCAGGGCCGCTGTGTGCTTGATGGCCCAGCGCGCCGATTCCAAATTTTCTACAGCGAGCCCGGCAATTTCCTTGATATACAGTGATACCGCTCGAGTGCCTCCCACATTGTCTTGCCATATCTTGTCGAATACCTCTCGGACGTGGGTGTCCGTGTCGTGCTTCGATATGAAGACAAACGGCAAGATAGTAGCCGCGAATGCCATGAACCGGTCATTCGACAGCTTGGAAGTAGAGTGTAGAATTTCGGCCGAGATGACTCTCTCATTGGCATCCTCTGCAGCAATGTACAAGCGCTTGGCATGATCAACCGTCTTCAGAACTTGGTCGTCCGAAGCCAGACGCATGAGATAACCGATGGAACTGCAGTACGATGCGCTGACGGTCTCGTTCCGATCAACAACGTACTTGCTCAGCAGCTGGATGAACCGATCCGCATAAGGGCGGAAAAGCATCGGTCGCATGCTGAGAAGGACAAGGACACGGCTGCAGCCCACTTTCGATGGGAGTCCTACTGCTGAGCGAAGGACCCCTTCAAGCTTGGCCGCAAACTCCTTCATGCTGGTATCATCCAGCATGTCTATCAGATACCGCTCGATCACTTCCATCATCGGTGACGTACGAATACTGGACAATCTCATCTTGTCAATCTCCTGTCCCGTTAACCCATATTTCTCAGCGTTGAGATGAACGTAGTTGACCGCCTGAGGTTCCAAGGAGCTCAGCGAATTGAGAAACTGCTCAATGATGCGAGGAACAAACGGACGGAGTGGTCCACCAGGGCTTTTCTTGATCATCTGGACAAGAGACCCAATAGCAAATCCCTGGACCTCTTGGACACTGGACTCCATGCCCTTGTCACTCAACAGAAAGGGAATAGCACTTGATAGCATTGTATTCGCTCGTTTGGAGTCTAGATCACTTGTTTCCAATGTGCGAACAATGGCGTTGGTAAGAGTCTGACAAAGTTTCAGTGCCGCCACACGGACAGTTTCTTTAATGTCATCCAACAGCTTGAATGATTTCGTGAAAATGTCATCCATATACATGGCGTATTTCTCTGGTTGACGCCCTTGCATCAAGTCGGCAATTGCAGCACAACTTGCCTGGCGAACTCGCCATTCTCGGCCGGCCAGCATGCTTGTCAGTAGATCATTCATGATCTCGTCAAAATGAGCATTGATCACCACCGTGGGGTCCTTAACTAGTGCAGTCCAAATGGTGTTCATCGACCTTTGTACGTTAGGGTTGGGGTCGAATCGGTAACGGAATAGCTTGGAATAGATCTTGGTATTCTTCGCTAAGTACCCGTTGACGCTTGAATCTGAGAATATGTTGCTGATGCCGAGCTTGCTGAAGGCCGCGCGGTTTGTCCAGAGGGCGTTGTTGGAAGCAAGTGACATGAAGCGGTAGACAAGCGTGGGATCTCCAGCCTCGGATGCAAGATTCATGATATCCTTGTAGGTGTTGATCGAGCTACCTTCTCCAGTCGGGAGAGCCCCGGGCTCAAAGAGTTCGGTATTCTCATGGACCTTCCCTCCAGCAAGGTTAGATTTGGTTGCAGTAAAAGAGTTTACCAAGTCCCGCACGAGATCGTCTTTCAGCGATTGATCGCCCATCTCATAGACAAGTCCTAATCCTTGCGCTCCAGTCTCCTGTACCACTTCGTCACGATCTCCAAGGATACCTGTGAACATTGCCTGGCATTTGCGTAGACGTTCTTGTATAGCTGACAGATGCCCACAATTCTTAATCAAACAAAGAAGCCATATAGCAGAAGACTTTCTCAGCGAGGGTTTGGATGCACCGCAGTCAGTTATGACTTTGTCACAGATTTTAGCGAGCATTGTGTCGGGAATCGTCGACTCAAGGATCTGTTCATCGACGTCGAACTCTTTGAGCAGCGACTTGGACCTCCAGCCAACAGCGGTGGTGCTCAATGCGTCGCCAACAGTGAAATGGACCTCCGCACTCCGAATTTCATGTAAGTCATAGAGGGCAGCGAGGAGCTCGTTGAAGAGCGAGTTATCAGTGCCCGCTCTTGAAAATGTTAGCGTCAAGAGGCCCATGGATGTGATAGCAATATCGCTCTCAGTCTTTGCATCTTGAGTCAGCTTTTCTCTAATTTTCTTCCAGCCAGCCTCAGGGAGTATTGTCGGGGACAGAACACTAGAAAGACTCAATTGTCCAAGTGCGAGTTGTGCAGAGCGTCTGAGGAGAGTGTCCCGGGCGTTTTCCACCACCTCAAAGATTGTGTTCACAAACAAGTCTACCTGCTCCTTCGGAGCCTTGTCGAATGCTTTGCGGAATGAAAGCCTGCTCAAGATGTAGGCCAAGGCAAGGATTGCGCCCCGTATCTTAAGCACGGCCTCCCCAATTGCCGTTTTCCATGCAGTCACTGAACTGGACAATTCTATAATCAATGCTGTGAGATCGTTGGCAGGGAACGCAGGATGAGATGCGAGGATTCCAATTGCTTGCGCGGCCTTGTTTTGCATTTCTTGATCATTGCTGCTAATAGGGCTTTTTAACGTGAGTGTTCGTGGGACCATCGCTCCAACTATGTCATTCGGGGCCAGGGAGCAGATATTCACAAAGTGATCTCCACATTGCTGTAGACCTTCCCGCCTGTCGCTCGTGAGGCCGGTCAAGGCACTTGTCAAGAATAATAATACGGCTTCCTTGTCGGAAGACTGCATGTAATGCTTCAGTCCACGCCGGGCTCCTTCGTCTGATGTAAGCAGAATATCCAATTTGACATCCCAATCCTGTTCAATCTCGGTGATGGTTCCGGATTTCGAGAGGGACTCCCAAAGGAGGATGTTGCGAAGAAATGCAATGGCAACCGGCAAGGCACCTCTGTAAGGTCCAGACAGCGCTTTCGGTGTCGACAACGCTGGAGCCACTGCGCTTCCACTTAATTCCGGCGTGCCTAGTAAAAAGCGCGTGGCCTCGGAGAAGGATGGGAAACTGTACCATGCCTGGCTTGCCGCATCTGTTGCTGTTGTAGCGAACCATTTTTTGTCTTTGCTGGGATTCAGCAACCTATACCAGTAAGGATGCAGTCCCTTCTTGCCTTCCTCTACAACCTCTTGATTCCTTTCCGATCCACGCGCAATGGCCATGAGGTCGATCCAGCGAGCCACAACATCGCTAAAGGGTAAAAATCGGTTGGAGAAACGCACGGCAGCGTATTGAGGTCCACGAACGACTTTGAACCCTGTGAGGTAGTCTTCATCGCCTGGATAGTTGCCCATTTGGTGCACCAAGAAAGGGCGAAGTTGCTCTTGAAATTCTTCGTTCCAACGGTCCACTGAAGAATTCAGAATACTTCCCAACGCTTGCTCGATGCTCACAAAGATCTGAGGGCTCGAATCATCGGAGCTCAAAGACGTGAAGAGCCATTTGATCAGTTCAAAATCGGAGAATGATCCCTGATCATCTCGTACCTGAAAATCGACTTTGGGAACGAGGATACCAATGCTCTCGTAGGCCAGACCTCTGAGGCTGAGGTCCGTTGCGGGTAGTCTTTGGCCACTGGCCCCGGGACTGGGCCATCCTTGAGACTGGATGAAATCTCTCAGACCTGCTATGACCTTTGGAGCTATCTGTTTGAGGTTGGACGGAGATCCCATTCGAACCACCCATGTGGTGAATGTGAAGATCTGGGTTCTCAGTTTAGAAGCCTGCAATCCCTGTGAAGATCTTGCCTCGTCTGATAGAAGGCCTTGCTCGATGATTCGAAGAACCCTGTGAGTGTCTGTGGTAGCTTGAATAGACTTTCCGAGAAAAACCAGAATCTTCAATTGTACAGGGGGTCGTGCAGGAAGTGCACCATCTGGTGTGCCGGATCCAAAGTACAGAGTATACAATTGCCGCACAACATCCGGATGTTCCAGATCAGGAATGAATCGTTTCAACATTTCCTCACCTAGATCAGTGATTCGAGAATTCGCGTCGGCCGAAGCAATAAGAGCAGGCAAGAATCGCTCCGCATCTGTGAAGGCTCCGCTAGCGAGGAATCTCAACGCTAATACTTTCGTTTCAGTGAGGTTGAGCCCGCCATTTGAAACTGGGTTCCATGTCTCATTCACAGACGCCCCTTTGTTCAGGAATGTATACTCGGTTGGTGACAGCCCAGGGCATGTGGATGCATTCTTCTCAGCAGGGTAGAGAAGAAGTAACTTCTCGAACCATGACGACAGGAACGTTGCGTCTTGGTCGGAAAGACCAAGCTTCAACTTCAACTGTGCATCCTCCTCACTGCCTTTTGGAGGCAGCCTGAGCAGAGGCAGTAGCCGTAGAACAAGGTTGAAGATAACGGCAGTTTGACTGGTAGCTGTCCCGATCTCGGAGATCCCTTGGAGCAAAGGAAGCAAGATTTCAATTCTAGCATCGGGGCCTAAGCGATCAATACCTTGCTGAAGGTAGCTCAGATCGAAATGTCGGATGAGCTGTGATTTCTGGTCTTTGAACTGCTTGATCAGAGCTGCGACAGGTAGTTGTATGGACGGCGCCTGAACTCTTGTATTGATGTGTTGACACACAGCAATGACTTTATTGCGCACTGCTAGACTCTCTGAGCCAAGCTTCAGCAACAGGGGAGCCAAGTATATCTTCAATAGACCCTCAAGCTTCTCATCCGTATCCGCGAGCGCAATCCTCAGCTCAACTTTAGATATTAGACTCAGCTCACGAGCCTCGAGACTTGTTGACGTGGCATCAGAAGCCATAGCAGGATTATATAGCGAGAAAACGGGACTTGTTGCGGTGCATTGATCAACAGAAAACAAGGAAAATATAAGCCCGATGATCAGAAAAAGACTCAAATATAAAAAGTGACTTGGACTCTCCTCGCCTTCTGTAGGCAGAGAGGAGTGCACGTCACTGCGGTCACGAAGCCATCCCGATCGGGCGCTACATCGTGATTAGTCATCAGATTGAATATGGGCAGATAGATCGACTGAGAAAGCAGTGTGAGAATATCAGATGCAGATTAGAAGCCTAGGGAAGCCAATAGAACTCTAGAAGTATAGCACTATGTTGGCATGGGAAGTCGCAAGTAGACTGAGTTTCGTTCTCACCCGAAGGAACAGGTAAGACTCGACCGGCTGGAACTACAACTACTTGGATTGCCAAACAGAAAGGAATCCAAAGGAAGACCAGCAAGAATGGTCTTATGTATTCATCTATGTACATCTATTGCATAATTTCATCAATCATTATATATCATTACCTCATGACGGAGCAGCGAATCTTCTTTTCTCTGCTGCGTCGCCTCTGAGAAATCGTGCCACCTCCTGTTCAGCACCCAGGTCTATCTTTCGGGTTGCATTGCCAAACAGGCATTGCCATAAATCATCCTTCTTCACGAGTTCGCCACCCGATGCACCTTTGGTCATCAACTTAGCCAGCGTCGCATCTTGTAACTCCAAAGAGTTGGCCGAATCGATCGCCGTTTCGGTGAGATCATCAATCACAGGCCGAGCGGCGCCCTGTGCTTCCGTCTTCTCCTTCTGGAAGATATGAGATAAGCGACGTGAGACGGATAAATCGTAGATCGATTGTTCAACAGTGTCGGAGACGAGATACATCCAAACAGTAGTAGGGCGATGCTGTCCGATTCGGTGTACACGAGCTATGGCTTGAAGCTCAATCGCAGTGTTGACAAGTGGCTCGCAAAGAAAGACGTGCGTCGCGTTGACGAGGTTCAGACCAGATGATTGCGCCTTGGCGTGAAGGAAAAAGCATTCAATCTGTGGAAGAACGATCAGTCACTCGCCATAATGTCTTGTTTGGGAGAAACACATACCGCCGGGTCACTCTTGAACCTCTCTATACCATCAGCATAATCTATACTGCTATAGCCGATTTTGAACCGGGCAAAGGCAGTACCCAAGACCTCTAGGAAAGTCTTATATTGAGAGAAAATGATTGATTTCGCGCCGGGATCATGCTCGCGTAGCCAAAGAATATGACGGGCTAAGGTATCGATCTTGGTTCCAAAAGAACCGTCCAGGTCGATGTTCTTGATCTCCTTGAGGGTGCCGGAACTGATATCAGCATAGATGAAATTATTTGAAGAGCGTCCAGGTTCTATTTTCGCGGGTGATTTCTCCTCCTGCACTACAAACTCTTCAGGTTTATAGGTGATCTGATGGAAATCGTTGACTTTCAGGCGTCTTTTGCAGGTGGGACAAGTCCGATGTTGATTCCACCATAAACGCAGGCAGTCCTTGCAATATTTATGCCCACATACGGTCAAGACACCTGTAGATCGTCAGCAAGATGAAAAAAAAATCTTGTTCTGGACTCGAAGACAACACTTACCGATCTCGAAGCTTGACTGACAGATAACACAAATCCTCGCTGATGTATCGGCCCCTGACTCGTCTCTCAGGTGAAGGAGATAACGATGTTTCGATCTGAGGGACGATATCTTTGCATCGATATCGTTCTCCTGCTTGAGCTTCGCTGCAAATAGATTTTCATCCAATGGTTTGCCGACACTCTCTTCGTCGTAAGGAGCAACAGTGTCGGAGATCTGCTGCAGTTGACGATAATATTCCAGACGGTTGTTCATTGTGTCCCGGAACATCTCTACTTCTCTCTCCAGACTCGATGAAATCTTGGTTTGCCCGGCGGCCATTTTGCCGGCATGGTGAAGGACTGAGTTGACAAGTTCTAGCTCAGCGAGCGCACGAGAGCTTCCTCCGCTTCCTTGCCACTCGAGAGAGGTCGCGAGGCTGCGAAGCTCACTGGTGATACCTCGAAGAGAACCAAGCGCAGGATCGGGTTTCAGCGCACTACGTGTATTCATAATCGAGAGAAAAAGATCTGGAGACGGTCCCTCGCCCCGCTGAGCTTGGATGATACCGGTTTTGACTTCATGGGCGATGAGGACGTTTTGTTGGCCGGTGAGAGCATCATGGCGATCCGCGAACATTGCACGTAGGGCCTCCATGTAGACATACATCTCATCCTGATGTTTTGTCGATCTCTCATATTCATTTCCCTCAAGCTCCGAGTCTTCCTCCCGGTCAATGAGCGATTGCAAAAGTAATTTAATCATAATATCTCGCCACTTATTGTACTGAGCGGCGTGCTGATTCATCACATCGCAGAATTCTTCGTATTTGTCGAATATGCGCCGGGATTCCAGTCCGTTGCTGTAAAGCTCTGGCGTCATCTTGTAGATAACCACAAACTGTTGCTTTTCCGTTTTTTCCTTGATTGCATTCATATATCGATCGACCTTACGGGAGATATCAGTCAGTATCTCCTGTCGAATCAGCTTCGCCTCCTCATATGCTTCGCTTTCTCGCTTCTGAAGAGCTTTGAACTCTTCCGAGTCAGGTGCAGTGAGCTTCGCGTCGGTCCTGATTTGATAAAATGCATTTCCAATGAAGAATATAGCGATGTGTTGAATCTCAAGTGCAGCGCGCAATCTCTGACGGTACGCGCCTACGCGAGTATTCTTGTCCCCCTCCTCGCCCTCATTATCACTCGTGTCCTCCGCCGTGTTATGGCGATTCATACCGATGGAAATAGCTCGACTCTTTGCGCGCTCAGACTCTAGTCGGGTGCGGTACTCTTTGACTAATTCAGTAGACCGTTCATAGGACTTGGTCCAAAGGTCTAGAGCCCGTTGTCGAAGCAAGGCGTTTTCTAGCAATTGACCTCGCCGAAGCTGAGACTGGACAAGAGCACGCTCTTCTGCGTGAATTAGAGCATCATTTTGATCAATCATGAGCTCAAGGACTTCAGCAACAGAACGCAGCGGACCGCCACCCAACCCCAAGACGCGACGGTTGCTTCCAGCTGGATACAGACAAGCCTGACGAAGCCTCATTAACCAACTTCGCATCTTCTCCACAACTGCTGGGTCTTCTGGATTCCAGTCGTCTTTGAGCGGTGCACCAGACAGGCCAAGGCCGCAATCTTCGGACATTTGTTCAAAAAGCTGGCCATAGTGCTGTTCTTCGACTGCAGTAAAAGGAATGGTGATAACAAATCGCTTTTGAGACGGTAAATTGAGCTCACTGCGAACACGGTCTTTGCTATGCCGGAGAGCGATGTGGTTGATAATGCCGGACAGAACGGGCTTGAACAACGCACAAAGCCTTTTCCAGACAGACCCACTATAAGGTTCATATTGCAGAAAAAGCAGAAGGCCAAGAAGGTCAGAAACATCCTTGCGGAGGGGTGTACCAGTTACTGCCCAGGCGTTTCGACGAGGAATTAGACGTGCGACCTTTGCCGCATTACTGACACCACTCTCAATCATTTGGGCTTCATCAAGACAAACTCGCCACCATGATATCCGAACCAGAGGAGTTTTTCGTGGCTCAAACCTCTTCTCGTGCCGGAGATTGCGATCCGGAGCGTTGCCGGAATAGTGGATTTCTCGTGCAAGAACATCGTAGGTCGTAAGAACCACATCTTGGTCAACAAGTAATTCAACTAACTCACGATCCGAAAGCTTTTGGTGGCGGTTAATCCCAGTATAATGGAGCACGTGAAGTGCTGGCGCGTGTAGCTGGATTTCCTGCATCCATTGCTGAAGAATCGCAGGAGGCGTGATAATCAATGTTGCACCTGAGAGTCTTTTTCCTTCATTGTCAAGGTCCAAGTCTGGTTGCACAATCCGACGATGGAGGCACATTAAGCTGATCATTTCCACAGTCTTGCCTAATCCCATCTCCTCGGCAAGAATACCACCCTTGAGATCGTTCGCCGGGGCATGCCAGTTGGAAAGATCAGATGTAACAATCATGAATAAGGAGCTCGCGTAGTATGCATTTCCCTCTGCGTCTGTGAATTGTTGGAATGAAGTTGGGAGCTGACCGCTCAGCTTGTCCTCAATAGGAAGTACTTGTCCATTGGTCTGGAGTTCCGAACCTTCGCGTTGGATCAACCATCGTACTGCTCTCCTCTGAAATGGATAGAGATGACAGTGTATCAGGTCGCATTTTATCTCCGCGGAAGAGCTGGCCGTGTCTTGAGGAACATGGACGTTGTCGTAAAAATCTCGAGGTGACCAAATAGCTTCTGGCGAATAACCCATGCCCCGCCATTTCTTGTGCTGTCGAGCAGCATGTTCCGAATCGTCTATATTGCTCTGCAGGACATATCTCGCGAAAGTTTCCGAATCACTGGGATGCAACAGCTTCTCGTTAATGATGTCCGGCGAATCCTTCCATAGTATAATTGTTTCAAGATGAAATGTCTTTCCATCAGGCGAGCAGTGTAAAGTGCACTGATAACAAGCTGTTGGAACCTTCGTATTGTAGCGGTCGGCGCACGTGAGGCGATGCGCGGATTCGAGATGCTTCCCGATTTCCAGTACCTTCTCACTGGTATTCTTCTCTTCGAATATAGGTCTTTTCTCCGACAACGATGCGATTACGAGATGAAGGCAGTCATATGGAGGAGACGCTTGCGTGGCAGAGTGACGACCCGAGGATGATGGTATAGTCTCAGCAGTTTCAAGGCAAACAGGCAGTCGGTGTGGCAAATTGGATGAATTGTTGGGATATCCCTCAATGTTGGGATTTCGATGTGCGAATTCCTGTTCAAGGTTCATCGAGTCAGTCACGCTATGCCTCGGTGGTACAGAATATGACCATACCAGGTATAAATCAAGGCGAGTCAATGGAATATATCCGTACGGTACTCCAGACTCGGATGCGCCATTAATCTGCCGAAGGCTCAGACCCTCCGATGCCAATTTCCGACGTTTCGTAGGAGGGCCATCACTTTCGAATTGCTTGCTTTGCGCGAAAGCAGTGGCTAAACTATCAGGGACGCCACCTGTGTACAGTAAGATTAGCATACAACTCTCTCTGGAAAATGCCTCAAGAGCACAAGAGAGTACCAGAATATCGAATGCGTCTCTCTACCACATTCATCCTGTACTTGTCAAGTCTATGTCGAAACGCCACGAGAAGTACAATTCTTGGGAGAAGAAGTAGGAACATAAAACGCGATAAGACAATCTTATCAGTACGCGTCACGTGACAAGCCCCAGATCCCTGATTTGCCAAGACTCGGAGTAATTCTTGGGGAACATCACGTGCTTCGTGATCAATCAACCTCGTTTGACATGTCAACAACAATACTCGGAAGCTTGGAACGGAGTACATAAGTATACTTGATTTATCTTCAATAAAGAGCTGCTGGGGGCTTAGGACTATTACACTGTAACTGAACTATAACTTCATCGTTCGTTTCCGGGTCCTCTTCCAATGATACTTCGTATGTTGTCTCTTCCGGAAGACAACACAACATTATTCTGATCCGCTTGAGATAGACCACACATGGACGGGGCATTCGTATCATCCGTGTCCAAGACAACACTGCCATTGACAGCACGGACAGTCCTCTGATAGAGTTGCCCATTATCACTCTCGAAAGTGTCACTGGTGTCTCCAGAGGATGTGGACGAACCACCTGTGACTGAACGGTAGGACGCGCTGCCTTCCTGCATCGTATGTAATCGCAAGGGTTCGGAAGTGAGAGTATAGGACGAGATACCGAGCAATGCTGTCGCCTCTATATCGAGACCTCTGCTTATTTTAGCGTCTATGGCAAGCCCTGTATCACTAATGTTGTATGTTGTGTTGACTGATAGAGGATATACAAATGTGACCTCATCTGATGAGTCCTTTGCTTCGGAATTCGTTATTGAGACCTTGCCATATGTGGTTTGATTATTCGACTGGCTCAAGCCTTGCTGATTGAGTAACCCGAAGTTGGAATATTCCAGCGATTGCTCCCAGGAGAACTGTAATGAACTGATGGCAATAGACCTCTTAACGATCACAGAATATGAAAGGGTATCATTTCCCCCAGTCTCATTTTTTATAAGATTTCGGTTGACGGCCAGGCTTGGTGCAGGTGCATATATATGAGGCGCTTTTTCAGAGGAGTTGGACTCTGCATCCTCGTCGAGGTAGACAAAGATATTTCCTGTGATGACCCAGTATGAGCCGACGTGGTCGGAGAGTGTAGCATTCCCGTCATCTTGAATATTTAGACCCGCAATTTTGATTTCAAACGAATGTTCCTGCCCATCTTTAAGAAAGGGCAAAAACGGAGATATGTCTATCTCTGGTTGTCGCAAATCAAAAGCATCAATGCCGACAATCGGGCGCCAAAAACCCGGTGCGACACCACCGGTAAAGATAACTGGGAAAGGCCAGACGACGCCGGCAAGCAACCCATCAATGTAGAGTTGGATTTCGCGGAACGGGGAATATCCGTAAAGCTCACCGACTGTGCTCTCAAAGGACTCTGTATCGCCCGAAAAAACATTGGACCACCAGAACTCCTCCGTAGATTGTCCACAGGCAGAAATGGATACAACGGCACGAGCTGCAGAATCAGGAAACTGATAGGCCGTTGTTGTATTGTCCGAAGGCACGATGAATGCGCTTGATCCATTGGATGTTGATCTGCCAGCGGATATAGGCAAGATCATATCCGCTGCGCGAACATTTCCCTGCCGAGAAAAGAAAGCAGTTAGTGTCACGTTGAAGCTCCCTGTGTAGACGTCTGAGATCAAGTTTCCAAGATCAAAGATCAGCTTCTGTTCCTCCTTCCATAAGGCGTTGTATTGTGACATCTCCTTGATGTATGTCCAGACAATTCCATTACTGGTAGGTTCAGCGGTTGATGTGCGAAACACTTCTGCATCTCCAAGATACATGATTGCCAGTCGGTCATACTGTCGACCCCTTGATGTCACAGTAATATTGATCCGTACCGTGTCAAAATCACACTGCGGCGGTTCGTAGTATCCTGTTGGTATCAAAATTAACACCACCTAGCAGACAGGGCCCGTAGTTGTCACGGACCTACAAAGGGTTTGCCATAACTAGAGGCAAATACATGATCCATAAGAAGGATTTCATGTTCGCACGCAGAATTTTCCCTTCCATAAGTGGCAACAGGTTGGTATACTTGAAATACATCCAGAACTCCAGTTGTCTTTAGAGCTGGATCAGCGATGTGACGAGCAGCGCTGAATGAATGACCGAAGGGTATATATCCAAGCCAAATCAGAGCAGCGCAAAGCAAGAATGACAAAGCCATGCCAATAGTGCACCTCGAGCTGCCTTTCTCCTTGAAGAAATGGTTAGTGGAACCCTTTGCGTGATCAGAGTATTGACGCAGCTTCCACAAAGACTTCTCTGTCAAGCCTGAGTACCTCTCGGTGTCGCTAAACAGAGTCGGTTCTGCTTCCAGGCCATGCTTTCTGGACTTTCGAACACAGACTTGACTCACTACGAGGCAAGCTACTAATACAACTGGTGAAAGTAGCGCAATCAATTGAAATTGGGATAAGCATCCTAGATGCGCACCATAATGAACGGGCTTCTTCTGCTCCATATTGCATGTGTCATAACTGGTCCGGCAAGTATGACGGGACTATAAGGACAGGAACTCCGTCGGCCTAACGTGGCCCCTCTTTCCTCTCAGCAGCGTTGCAGGTTGCTCTGAGATGAGTAAGTGCAGGGGTTACTATTAGCAGAGCATCATTCGTGAGATGGACGTGGATGCGAGTGAGTCGTAATCTGTGGTGTATCTAGTGGAAGACGGAAATGATCCAGGAGTCTGATAAGCGCAGCAAGATTCCCCCACTAAACCTGGGCCTCCATTTCTGAGCAGATAGTGTGACACATGATCATCCACAACGCCTGATTATTTGCTTTCAGAATTCGGATAACACCATAAGTGTGCACATAATTATATTTGTTGATTTAATGGTTTTGAATCATGAAAATAGCCTTTTGATTAATACAATTTTGACTTTGAAGGACATCCGCAATCTGCTATTCCTCCCAGATTCTAGTCGAAGACAACGCTCAAGCACAAAATTCTATGAAAGATGGGAAATATATGGTCCCAAGGCCGATCGAAACATCGGGCGACAGTAGCCTCTCAAGCCGTCTTGAGCAGCCAAAATCAGAAGAGGAGTATGGTGTATTGTACAAAGTTCTCTGACCCGACAAGGCAAGAATACGGTTGCCAGGCCCTTGGATGAGATTGGATGAGATCGCATTCACAGAGTGATACTTCACATAAACAAGCGCCAGGCACCAAGAATAAGAGCCGCTGTACCAGTGCACACACCCCTAGAAGACGACATAGGTTAGTATGCTTCGAATGGAGTACAAAAAGGGTAGACAATGAGGCATACATCAGCCATTGAAGAGTGGAGAACTTCACAGCCTCAACACGTTCTCGCAGTCCTGCAACTTCCTGCTCAATTCGAGTTTCAGTCTCCTTGATTCGCATTTCCTGGCTGTTCGCTTCTTCTCGGATACGCCCTTTCTCGAGGTTCAGATCTAAACGAACCGAGGCCTGCGTGCGACCAATCTCATCCCGTAAGCGTGAGTTGAGTTTCGCAAGATCCGCGGCGATTTTCTCATGCGATGAGCGAGTTAACTGGGCTTCGGTAGAATCTGCATTAAGTAGCTCGGACCGCAATTTGGCAAAATCCACTTTTTGTGTATATGCCGAACGTTCGGTATCTATAAGTTTGTCGTTAGCAACTGGAAATCAGGATATCCATGGAAACCGATCGGTCCCAACTGCATCATGGCGAATGACTCGTTCGAAGGTACGAAAACTGGCAGAACTCACCTTCCCGGAGAACCATTGTCCTTGTCAGATTTTGTATCGACTCCTGAATGACATCGTTCAAAACCCTCATCATCGCGACAGCTTGCTCTTCGCTGAACCCTTCCTCCTTGAGCCGTTGTACGAATCTCAGAGTGTCGAAATGATGCTCCCGCTGCCGAGGCGCTGAGGCATGGAACGCACGCTGCGCTGGTTTAAAAGAAGCAACATAAACGCCATTATATCGAATAGGATTGTTCGGTCCCTCGAGGGTTGGACGGTTGTCCGACGTGCTCTTCGAGATGTACCATCGTCTTGTAATGGCTGACGTTGAACCAAGATCTCGAGATGTTGAAGAGAAGAAGCGGTATGAGTGGGGAGAAAATGTCAGGGAGCGCAGCTGTTCCCCTACGGCACTCACGCCCTGTACGCGCTTTTGGCTATGAGGGAGGCGTATCGATAGAGCATGGCTCTGAGATGGAGCGACCGTAATCCAGGCGGAGGAGCCGTTCCAGGTGAGGCGAGGGAGAATGGAGCGCGGAACTTCCGTGACAGATTTTGATGGCGCCATCCTTGGTTTCTTTCAGTTTATTGACGGCTCATTGAAGAAGAAGGAATAGCAGAAGCAAGACTGCGAGATGATGGCTAGTTAGTTCTATGCTTTGATCAACCAGGGTCTGTAGGATCCCACTCATTACGCATTTGCCCGGTGCGGACATTGCCGATGACTAATATCAAGTATAACCATTGCATGGGAATAGCGCTAGTACATTTTAAGACGCAACTATAGATTCTTTGCCTCTCAGACTGGAGAAGAAAATATATGTGATAAAGGAAAAACTATCTGCATCAGCAATCAGCATTAAGAATCGTTTTTTTCATTTCATGATCAATGCTACAGTTCTCTGGTATCGCAAAAGATAGTCGCTGTGTTTTCCCATCCAAAATCAATCAAACCGGTTACGACGGATCAATTCCAAAATGAACTTCATAGCTGAAACAACTGCTTAAGCTGCTTCATGGTATCCTGAGGTCCATCCACAGAATGCCCTATTGTCCGCGAATCAGAGTAGATCTCGTAATCATTGCCTCCAAGAAAGCATTTGTCTCCAAAGAAGTGGATTGTTGTGTACTCGACGCCAGTGATACCCTTCTCAGCCTCGACGTGTCGCAAGCAATACGTCTTATCCCAGCCAGTGGGGAAAACGTCAAAGGAGATCTGACCACCAATGGAATAGCTATAAATTTGTTATCAGTCATTGCTCGGCGGCTCGGTCATACATCACTTACGTGAGGCCATAGTCAGGGAACTCCTTCTTAAGAGCATTGACCATATCCTTTCTGATGTTGTGTTCCTTATCATAGCTGATGCAAAAAGTCAGCTGATAAAGTTCTCAATGTTCTTCTTGTCTTTTGAGAGTAGGGTCCCGGCATCCATGACCAGGTGGCTGCGGGATTCTTAGAGCATCGGTTTAGACGTACGCTTCGAACTCGTTTCTCTCTTCAACACTGGCGTTTCTTCCAATTGGGCTCACATTGATCATCCCATTACGGAACTCAACAAAGGTGCCACGCTTCCTGGGCAGCTGCAGATCCGCAAAGTATCGGAGAATGAAGTTGACCAATTTCTGATATTTCTCCTCCCCAATCCACTCGATAAAGCTCGTGCTAGCGAGTGGCTTGCCCAAACGGAATGCCATCAACCCATTTTCGGGGAAACAGAAATCGAATAGAGACGTCACGTCGGTGGAGGATGTGCCGAGCTGTTCTTGCTGCTTGGCGTAGTTGGACCCGCCAACCTGCAGAGTGTGAGATTGCGAGCTTGACTGCAATAACTGGGCGAACTAACATATCCTATGGCACACTTGTGGCGCAACTGGGAAAGAAGCGTGAGCATTTCAGGGGTAACACTCTGTCAAAAGAGAACCATCAGTGTTAGCTGTGTGCAATTTGGAATATCCACCATTGATGATGAGTCTGAGAGGGAGGAATATGAGCCACCACTTACTCGTCTCGCAGGGGTCAATGTCTCGTCAACATCAAACAAACAAATGGTGTTCTTGAGCGGCCGGTCCTGCAGGGCAGGGTAAATACTCGCAGCTTCGGTAGCCATGATGCCGATTCCTCGTAGTAAGGTGTAGGCTTGGGTACAGTTCAATAGGAAAAATATAGACCTGGAATGGTTCAAAAGTTAAGAGACAAGTCAAGTATCGCGAGATCAATTGAGCTGGCGCATAAAGAACTAGTATCCAGATACCAATACAGACTAACAAGAGGACTATTTAGTTCCGCATGCGGTGAGAAGAGGGGCTATTAGTGGTGGGGTCTTAGGCTTATCGAAACAGAGTGCAGAATAGTAAGGATCTGGGCCTTGGTTCCGTTATCGATAAGACTGATAAGGTCTCATGGGTACTGTGTACGTTGATTTTCGACATAGATACACATAGGTATGTGCTGGTAGCACAATACTACCTATACACCGGAGCATGTCTACTGAGTATTTACAGTCAAAGACAGCTGTAAGCTCGTAAGCTGGAAGCACACAGAGCATGGAGTCTGTGGAGTCTAAAAGGGGTGGGATAATCCCTTGGTCTCTCATGTGGCGGTTCTTGTGACCGACTGTGAGGACCATATTGTGCTTTACTATCGCTTGTGAGAATATCTTCCAGGAGGGTATAATTAATCATTAGTTCCTAAGACTATAGTCGTTCAGAGAATATCAAGCCAATATCAAAATTCCAGTTCCTCCGACAATATGACTTAAATCGCCAAAAATCCCACAAACCATGACAGTATCCAGCCTCGAGGATAGACATTAACGACCCATAGTAGACTGAAAGACCTTGGCCGCTAGCTCGCTTAGAAGCCGAGCCCTATCAGTCTGCGGGAGCTCGAGGAAAACTTCGTAGACACTCTTGCCCTTGGCGTCTCGCACAGCACCCAGGCGGTTGCCTGCAACAGCACCTGCGAGCGCACCTGGAGCGTTGGCGACAATGAATCCGAGAGCACCACCGCTTAGGCCTCCCACGACCGACCAGAAGTGTGAAGTGGGTCTCGTACGCCGTTGCCCATCGGTATCCGTATCCTCGGCAAGGCCTTCTTCCCGCAACATCTCTTCGAAGACAGACCCGAACTGCTCAGAAGCTCGTTGTTCGTGATCTGTAGTTGATTTGCCAAAACCAAAGGCTGACCATGGGAATCCACCAGCTCCACCTTGGGGCACTTCCTCTTCTGGCTCTCCATATCCTTGGGCTGCCCGTAGGGCGTCGTATTCCCGTCGACGAGTCTGGTCAGAGAGAGTGTAATAGGCATCATTTATCTCTTGGAATCTGCGCGTGCGGGCAGGGCGCTCTGGTGAATCGGCAGGGACTCGGTCGGGGTGAGACTTGAGTGATTCTCTGTAACAAATCCGACGTTATGAAGTGTCCCGGCTACCTGTTTTCATGCACTCACCTTTTGTATGCATTTCGAATTTGTTGTTGGGTGGCACCAGGAGAGACTCCCAGGACCTTGTCTGTATTCTCATGAGCATGACTTTGACTGGCCTATTAGAACAGCAAGAGGTGTCATTACAATAGTCTGGTTGTCCTGATTTCATTCATTAGTGATGAGTCCTCATTTCAAGATAGTTCGGAGTGAAGAAAGTCTCACTGGGCATGTTGACCGTTCGAAAGGTGGAACAGAGAGAAACCGTCAGATATTTAAAGTCAGTGTTACAGATAGTAGTACTAAGTTGTTATCTCAGAGCAAAAAGCTGACACAGGCTTAATGTTCGCATTTGAAGACTTTCATGCGCTGGCACCTTGGATCCAATCCAGCCAATGACGTCAAATAGTTGATGCCTGATATCTGAGGACGCCAACAAATTCGCTGCCTCAACCCCTGAGCAGCACCCACCAATGAGGATCAGTCGTTGTTTACCAGCCACCCATTGACTCGCTACTAACGCATGTCAGTTTAGCTGATGCAAGCTGATCCTCTTCGGCTTCGTCAAATGAGACACAATTGGAATTTGCTAGACCTTCTGTCTAGCTTTCTGACAGTGTCCTTTTTCGACCTCTCGTTGTTCCGGCCTCTCAATCGCTAGCAATCTTCCCAGGGTCGCCATTTGTCGTTGTATACTTCCACTTTGCCGACGCTCCTAAGATAGTCTTCTACCTCTGAGATTGAGACCAGAACAGAAGTCTGGCGGATCCCTTTCTTGATGCCGAGTGGAGAACATCAATGCTTTGAGGCCTAGAACTGAAATTTCGTGCATCTGCATCAATTGACTCCGCACCCACTGTGAAGAGCAGAGGACCACACAGAAAACGACAGAGTGGCCGGCATTCCTTCTATAGCTCTTTTCTTTTTTTGGAACACAAGCCGACAATCGATTGAAATCTGATCTAGTATCTCTGCTTGAAGGAATACCCAAGATAGCCAGCAATCAATTGACACAATGGGTTGGTTTAATGGAAAATCGTCTTCATCTTCCCAATCTTCCCGTCGGCGCTCTCCATCTCGTCGATCTGTTTATTCGACGTCGCACTCGCGCCATTCAGCACCGTCAGTCTTTAGCCTAGGTGGCTACAGCCGAGCTGGGCGGTCAAGTCCCTCGGTCTTATCCTCGTCATCTTCGCGCCGCGCACGTCCGCGAGCCGGGTTCATCCAGCGAATTGTGCAGTCGATCAAGCGCCTGTTCCGCGACATCTACAGCTATGCGCGTCGCCACCCGGCAAAGGTGTTGCTAATGGTTGTCGTTCCACTCCTCACCAGCGGCGTGCTGCAGAAACTGCTCGCTATGATTGGTATCCGCTTACCACACAGTCTGGGTGGTAATTCTTCTAGTGGTGCGAAAGCCGGAGAGGGCGGGCTCAAGGACAACATCAATGGGCTGATGAACATTGCCAAGATGTTCATGTAATGCCGGAGCACTGGTGAAGGAATGATACATGCGGTGTTCAGCTGCAATTGCGATGAGGCTGAGTTGGACTACCGACTCAAGGAGAAGACAGGATTTGGACCTGTCCACGAACAACCATGATTATGACAATGATGATGATCTTATGTACTTGTTTTGTTCATTCATGTTTTTTGGTTTTATGATTTAGTCTAAGTTGCGCGAATACTGAGAGGCGCCTGCAGTCTCATACAATCAAATGTTTCTGTCATACTGCTGTTGGAGAGTGAGGAGCTCCCTTGCATCAGGACCTCTCTAGTAATGTGTGCAAATTGCAATACCGAGGCAGCGACTAGAGAAATTCAGGTGACAGGCAAAATCTCAATTCACATACTTCCCACCTATCTGCTCTCCCCTGTGTAATTTTGAGGGAACATGGTATGTTAACCTTGGACGATTTGTAAGTCTTGCACGGAATACTGCATACGTGAAATAGGGATTAGGTCTCTATGAGGTCGTAGCTGATTTCATTCCTTGGAATTCAACACAGTGTAACAGTATTGTGCATCTGCTGTTTTGGACTAGTAATTCTGCCATTGATCAGACGTGCTTCAGCGTTTATTGAGGCCTTCAATTCAGGGTGATATACATATATGGACTTTTTGGAAATCTATCTAGGGAGACATAACGTAGAACTGACAGTAGAGGAATAAGCTGCGAAGCCCGAATCGAGACTATGTCACAGTCCTTGGCTTGCAAATCATGACCGCTGTGACCGCTTCTTCGCACGGCGTCTGGAAGACCCGCCGTTCGAATTGACAGCGGAAGTGTTGCTATCCTCGACTTGCTCCACAATATCCACTGGCTCTTCCTCAGCCTCCAGTCCATGATCATCCGAGCTTGCAGATCCAGTCAATCTACCCACAGTCTTGTGGTAAAACCATAGCGGGAGGCGGAAGATCATTGTATCGCGAATCGTGGGACGCAGAATCTCTTCCACATCGAGCAAGAATTCCTGACGTTCACCGTCTTCAGACTCTTCTTCCAAGAAGACGTTCCCGACGGAGTCGACGATGAGCACCTTTCCATTTTCGGCGATGACACGCTTTCTCTCTCCCATCGGTTCTACCGACTCAATGGTTGGAGTGGCAGTCCCCGAGCCACGCGGGGTGGCCCTGGGACCTTTCTTGCCCTCCTTGCGGTTCTCCCGGTCCATCATGCGCTTCTGGCGACGGTTCATGGGCATCGCGACCGCTTCGCCCGCTTCAGGCGCCGGGGGCGGGGCGGGAGAATTGGCAGCATCGACACCGGGGATTCCACGGATGCCCGATTCGTCGCCCCAGGCGGCCCTTCTCGCCTGACGAATGTACCGGTCGACAAACTCCCGCTGACGCTTCCAGCTGAGCACGAGAGCAGCGTAATGTGCGCCGCCGCCGAAGACAAGGAACAAGCCCAGAAGCACCGAGCCAAGACCGGGACGGAAGCGAGAGTAGTAGTAGCCGGTGCCCTTCCACTTGGGGAAGCCGTTTCTCAGAAAGTGATCGTAGCGCTCACGGCTGGGCCCGCGCAGGATATTGGCGACAGTGTTCAGGCGCGCGGCGCGCTCGTGGGCCTCCTTGACGGCAGCAGCAATCTCGCGCTTCGAAGGGCCCTTGTTGACATGGACGCCTTGCTTGTTGGTCTTGGACTTGCTCTTGTCCTTGGAACTGTTCGCGATAAAGGATCGCTTGACCTTGTCGGGGTGCAGGAGTCTGGATTTCTTGCGGTAGGCCTTGCTCAGTTCGTCCTGATTGGCATTGGGTCGGACACCAAGGAAATCTGGTCAGGGGATGAGATATGGGTGCGCCGTGAAAGCGGGAATAGGGGAAGAGGTACCGTAGAACGTCACATTGGTGCCTTCGGAAGCAGCGACTTCATCGTTGAGACGGAAGATTTCGTAATCTGGGATTGATGCGACTTAGCTTCGTCTTTCGAAGGGGACAAAGAGCAGGATAAACAAAGACATACCTTCCTTGGTCCAAGCCGCAGCAAGAACTAGCAGGGCGGCAAAGACAAACAGCCGGAGTGCAGCAGACTTCATGATGGGCACAGAGGGGAGCGGTCAAGGCCGCAATGGCCCAGGTATATTGGATAAAGAGTCAAACAATGACTCCTGAGAGCAGAACAAGCTCAGCAGATGATCATTAAATGCAGGTGAAAGAGAAAAAAAAAAAGTTGCAATCTGGCGATATATTGACACGGCGCTTGATACTTTACTACATTGGGTAAACTACGATCTGTCCACAGTCCACACTCGCCGGGCGGTAGGTAATACGAGCGTATGAAACATACCGGGAGCAAACAGGCAGGTAATTTATCGCCTTGAGGTACTTCCAATTTCCATGCAATAATAATTTGCATGCAAATTGGAGTAGGTAGATACTAGATAGTCGACGGAGTAACCTAAGGCAGTAAGGCAGTAAGGCAATAAGGCAGTTAATTGATGCCAGATGGCTACGTGTGGTCCACTCCGCAGCGACACCGACGTGGACCAATAATGCAGACGATTATAAAGCCTTTAGAAGTTCAGGCAAGGCAAAGATGGATCTACGATGGAGAAGAGGGGTTGCAATGGGCCATCTGGATTCTGGATAGGATGAAGAGCATGGACTGGATTCATGATTAATCACAACGACAGAAAATGCTGGGGGTTGGAGCAGATGGATTTAAATGCAGGCATTTCCCTGTCTGAGGACCAAACAGTCTTTCTCATTTTACAATCTACTTGATGATACGCCTGCTCCAGGTACATCTGGAGAGGAAGACAAAAAACACCCTGTACCTCGCGCTCAAATCGTCAATATGTTACTGTTCCTTTCGTTATCTGCACTGATACCTTGATGCTCATCTGTGGTTGAGACTGGAGACCTCTTCCGCTTCCAGACCCAACTGCTACATCAGAGCTTTCTATTCCTAGGAGTCTCTTTCATCGTCAGTCTGGGAAGCAGAGTCGCAGTAACCCTCAAGCTCCTCTGGTATTTACTGGTCTCTGAATGCCCCGACTTATTATCAATCATCTTTCATCTACTCCATACAATTCCTACAACATCCTTCCTGTCTCACCTTTTCTCGCTTACGTGCTACTTTAAATTCTTCACGGTTGTGGCTGAGGTGCTAGCCTCTCAGCCTCTCCGCCTCTCCTGAAAACCAAAACCAAACCAAAAATACCGCCGAGGCCTCACTAGAACGGATCCTTTTTTTGATTATTATTATTTTAGGCTTCCTTCTATCTTCCGGCCAAATAGCCCAGTTCAACTTCTTCTGAATTGTTGCTGCCCACCCCCCTGATTCTCCATCCTCTCTGACTCTTTTTTCTCCCCCTTCCTATTCAATTCTCTTGTACTTACAATTATCTACCTCCTTCACAATGGGCCCCATTCAGATTCCCATCGACGCGATCACCTCCCGGTTCGGTGATCGCTTCAACAGCGTTCGCGCCCAATCCCTGAGCACACGCTTCGCAAATCTCAAACCTATCTCGGAATTCCTGGATATCAAGCGCATGTCGAAACCTGCGAACTTCGGCGAAGTCCAGAGTCGTGTGAACTACAACCTGTCTTATTTCTCCAGCAACTATGCCGCGGTCTTTGTGATGCTCTGTCTCTACAGCTTGCTGAGCAATCTGCGGCTACTGTTCGTCATCGTCCTGGTCACCGGAGGCCTGTATGGCATTGGTAAACTCCAGGGCCGTGATCTGGATTTGGGGTTCGCCCGTTTCACCACGTCTCAGTTGTACACTGGTCTGCTGGTTGTTGCGATTCCCACGGGTCTCATGGCGTCCCCATTCACAACCATACTCTGGCTCGTTGGAGCTACGGCTGTGACCGTGTTCGGTCACGCCTCATTTCTGGATAAACCAATCGAGAATGCTTTTTCCGAGGAGGCGGTCTAGGTGGTCGGCCGCGAGCTCCTTACGGTATGCCCCAATGGGGAAGACCACCAGGGGCACAACTGGAGAGATCAGCCAGGAGACGGGTGGCCCAGTGGACGGGCAATAGTAATGAACGTGTTGAGGAGATGGACAGTGGGGAGGAGGACGAGTATATGCGGCGAGGGGATCGCATTTTGTATGCTGAACAACGACGGGTGGGGGCACCGAGACGAAATGGGGCCTACGAGGCGCCCACTGACGATACGCGCTTAGCCGATGGTATGGACTACGACTTGTACGACGACTCCGACAGCACGGTCGCGTATGCGGTACAATTGGCGATGAAAGACGAGGAGTGGCTCGTGGACAAGGCTCTTGAACGGATCCGACGCGCGCAGATACTGGGCCAGAAGCAGGTCCGGCTGTCAAAGCGAGAAATGGAGGCCCTCGAGAGAAAACGGGTGCAAAATGACGGTGCGAAGGACGTGGGACAACGGAGCCGCGCATCCAAGGCATCATCCATCGACGGCCGGCGCTCTAGGCCGCTGGACAGTTCCACAAGTGGAGGATTAGGGAGCACAGGCGTATTGCGCAACGGATACACCGCATCCCTAGCCAACGGAAGTACCTACAACAAAAACACGTATGGCTCCGGGACGCGTGCTTCGGGTGTCTCAGCTGGTGACCAGGCTGCTGCGCTACCGCGGTCACCGAGCACCCATTCCCTACAGCCTCCGCAATCAAGTAGCCTGGTCCAGCCCTCCCTTCCCCGCGATTATCGATCAGAGTCTTTCCTGTCTGCGCCCAGCTCCCGTCCACTGACTTCCTTCCCGAATACTTCCTTTGCACGCCCCCTCTCTCGCGATCCGTCCTGGATCCCCCCGTACCAGGTACCGTACGCTACTGCGGACGTCCGTGTCGGATCGCAAAGTGCCATGGGTTCGGTGCCACATCGGTCAACCCACCGATCCGTTCTTGGCGATCGCCATCCCCTGAATCCTCAACCTGCCACCCGGACCTCTGTGGCGGGCGATTCTCACAGTGAAGGGGAGGAAGGCAGCGCATCTGACGCGGATGGCGACCGCCTGCATATTGTCGATGTGGTGCGACGCAGAGTGCCGACCGGTTCTCAACCCCGAGTTGCTGCCATGGCGAGCGGGGTCCTCAACACCAGAGCCGTTCCGTCCCGCAGTCGTCGTTTCTGAATGCATACAAAATTTCAATTCCCTCTTCAGCTCTATGCCCCTCCAAATTCTCTTTTCTTTCCTTGAATTTTTTTTTTTTTTTTGGGTGGCGATGAGGTCTCCCATGTGTTGTGGCTTTCCTGTGCCTCGTGTTGTGGGTTCTGGCAAGCAAAAAAAAAAAAACGTAACGGAGTTCATGAACAACGATAGAATTGGGGTGTCTGTTTTTTTATTTCATTTTCATTTTCATTTTCATTTTCGTTTCTTTCTCTGTCTCTTTCTTCTAACTAAGTTACATCAACTTTATAATGAGGATCTCGACATCGAGACAATAGAACTATGGTGAGCGCTAGAATCCCTGAAGCATGAGTAACGGAAGATAAGTTGAGAGATTCCGAGTCAGTTCGGTTGGTACACATGGCAGTCTAGCGATAGGCTACAACCGATGAAGAGAAGCTGCAGAGCGTGCAAGTGAGACGGCTATCAGCATAATCTGATAGTCAAGTAGACTATCTAGACCGTCCTGACGAAGATGATGGCGTAACGCGGGTGGCTGTACCTGAGCGCCGTGATACTCTTCTGCCTATTCTCTGGATAGATAGAATGAGCATGTATGTCAGAGGAGATCGGAGATATGTTGTACTCAATGCCCCTAGTCATAGTATGAGAGAGAGACAGTGGCTGTTCAAGATGACCCTTGTCGTGAAGTGCGGTGCTTATGATGATCATCTATCCTGAACACGATTGGGGAAAATCCTCAGGATTGCTCCGATGACGTCGATGCCAATCATCCCAGGCTGATGATCACAACTCTCATAAATAGTAGCAGAAATCACTTCATAGAAATGGTTCATTCCTGAGACTGTTTGATTTTGTTTTATTATTCTTCATTCGCCTTTCTCTCTTTCTCTCTTTCTTTCTTTCTTCCTTTCTCTCTCTCTCTCTCTCTCTCTCTCTCTCTTCCTCCTCCTCCTCTTCTTCTTCTTCCTCTCTGCTCCTCTCCCTTGGACTCCCGGGTTGTGTGATATCCCCAGTCAACTACACAACACCAATTCATCTTCTAGCAGGGCAAAGCATTCTCTCACACCATCTGGAATTCATTCTCCATCTGATTGGTGCTCTGTTCGAATTCATTCGACTCAATCAACTGTTAGACACTGGGGATTCATACACAGCCTCCTCCAGACGTCCAAAAACATCGCTGCCTATCCAGGAAGCACAGAGAACAGAAGAAAATCATTTTCGTCAGAGCCAAGCTTTGCACCGATTCGGCATCAACCGAGTCTGATTTTAGTGGAATCCGTAAGCCACATCCGCAGTATCCGGCGCGCCCGATCTACTACTACCATAGAACGTATGTCGTATGGTCTATGGATTTAAAAGTGTGTTGAGGGGATGCACTTACTGATCAATTCTCCTGGATAGTAAAATATCAATTATCGGTCCTCGAACCTCCCTTGATATACGTCCCATCTATCACCGTCAATTCACACCACTACCCTGGAACTACACCATGTGGATTATATCATTCTGGATCTTTCCCGTCATCTCGGCATGCATGTGGCTCGGTATGAATTTATCTATCTCGTCCGCCCGATCGGTTGCTAATTCGGCTGTCTAGCCATGCTGATTGCGATGCTGGCCAACTGGGCCGTACGCGGGACGCCGATCTATGCCAGTATGGAACAAGGTCAAACCATCGCGTACGTTTTGACTCCCATTCATATTGTTCGGTTCAAGGCTGACCAGACTCAATTGCAGATACATTTCCGATATTGGAGCGCAGGGACTGAAGCCCCTGTTTATCACTGGCAGTGTCATCACCGTGGTCTTTCTCGACCTGGCGTTCATCTCGGAGCGATGGCTGCGACATTCGGGACAGTTGGTGCCAAACAAGGGCTGGTTCGATAAAACCTGCGCAATCGCTTCCATCTTTTTCGCGATTGCAGGTGCGATGGGTTTGATCCTGCTCTCGTGCTATGATACGCTCCACCACCCGCATAAACATGACGGATTCCTGGTCATGTTCCTGTGAGTCGATTCTCTTGTGCCTCTGGACAAGCAAGTATGACTGACGAGTGTAGTGTCGGCTATCTGATCAGTGCTCTGTTGATCTGCGCGGAATATCTGCGTCTGGGCATCTTCTACCGCTCGCAGCATCGGATCCTCTTCACAAGCTTTGTCATCAAGCTTTCCTTCATCATTATCGAGATCGCTTTGGCCATCGCCTTTGGCGTCTGCGGACGAAGCGGTTCCGGCAAGAAGAATGTCGCCGCCGTCTTGGAGTGGGGTATGTTGTTTCCCTTTGATGAAGCTTCATGAATAGTACTGATAGCTCTGCAGTCATTGCTCTGGTTTTCACAGGCTACGTGCTCTCCTTTGTCGTCGATCTCCTGCCCTCTGTGCGGACTCGTCGCCATGTCCCACAAGGCGAGAAGCGCCTCGAGATGGCGCACACGACCCCCAATGCGCCTCATCCTGCCAACGAGGAGTTTGTGTACGAGGAGCCCCTCACAACAGACTCCGCCGGGCCCAATGCGAACTATTACCGTGGACAGCGTGTCGTTGGCAACTAAAACAACATTTATCATTTTCCTTGACGAACTATACGATCTATACCTTGATGATTGAGCAAATCCTCCGTTCTGCTTTGCTTTGGCACGATATGTGCTGTATAACATTGATGCATTGGGTGTGTTAGATAAAGATACCTTGATACCTTGGTCTATGATGCCTGGGATGGTGGAGTCCTGTATAGGTGCATTTGTTTGTATTCACTGCTTGTTTGTGGAAATCTAATGTGTAATCCGAACCATACATAATGCCAATCTTGTCATTACAACCCCGTCAAGCCTAGCCCGCTGTACATGCTAAGATGCGAACCATACAGATAAACGTATTAAACACGATATGAACCATCCCAACCACCACAAACAACAGAAAAAGGAAGAAAAGAAAGAAAGGGAAAATTAAGCCAGCAACCTCTGCCTGATCACCTCCTGCTTCTCTCGATCAATCCCCACCGCAACCAAATACCCTTCAACACCACCATAGCGCGCCTCCAGATGCGCCCGCATGGCCGCCGTAAACCCCGGCGGACACTTGGTTAACTCCTCATCGAGCCCCAGCATACGGATCTCCTTCATGCGCTCCTCAAACTCCACGCCCAGCTGCGCCTCGGACTTGCCATAGTCCGCCGCAATGGCCTCCTCGGACACCACGCCCAGCAACAGCAGCAGCAGCAACACCACCAGCCCCGTCCGGTCCTTGCCCTGCGTGCAATGCACGACGACCGGGTACGCCTCGGCGCGCGCCAGCAGCTCGAAGATCTCCCGCATCTCGCCCGTGCTGCTGTCCAGCGTATCCTGGCCGAGCCCGATCAGGCCTCGCGGCGCCATGACCTGCTCGCCGACGATGGTGACCGCCGCGGTGCGGTACCCGGATGCCACGAGGGCGAGGACGCGTCTCGGTCTCACTTAGTACTGTGTCTGATCTATGCAAAGAAGGGCGCGCGAGGGGGGAGGGCAAAGTCTTACATGAGATTATACCAATCCAACCGCCACAGTAGCGTCCGCTCAAACGCCTTCCCTACCAGACTGATCAGGGAGCGCTGCACGCCGGGAATCGCCATGAGATGCTCGTCCGGGGCAGCGGGGAGGGGCGACTGGTCCATACCAGCGGCCAGGGCGTCCTCCCCGCGGCGTTTGCGAGTCGCCATCTGGTGTTCCGTGCTGGGAAGCTTCATCGTCAGTCCGGTCTGCCTTTTTCAACTGACAAATGGCCAACGGGTCCCTGGGGGCAGCAAGAAAAGAAAAGAAAAGAAAAGACATATACACACGTCGAGCGGAGATCGAGCACAGTCGCGATGTGCAGTTCATCTGCTAGCCGCCGTCTATCGCGCTCTGAGGCGTCGTCTAGCTGTGGGGTGGTTAGCTGCTGACTCTTCAGGACATCGAGGACCAAACGGGGGTTAGGGGGAGAGAGAGAGGTGTAGTACATACCCTTGCGCTGCGGAACAAGACGCCTTCTTTCACAACGCTATCACATCAGAGCACGATCCGTCAATTCAGGCTCTTGACGAACAGAGGAACGAAAAGTCGCTTTGGACGTACCGAGACCCTATCGCCTGGTTGATGGAGCGGCCGACATCGCGGAAGTTGATGATGTTGTCGAAGGGCCGGTCGGGCGAGCCGAGGTCGACGCTGGATTGGCGAGGAGTCGTCATTGGAGATGCTGGAGAGATAGGATCGGGATATTGAGGATGGGATTTATGTTGGTATTGAGGACCAGACCCGGGTATCACGCATATGGACAAGATCCGATTCAAAGCAAGGGTTTATGCATGCATCGATTTCAAGGCGCTTGTAAATATAGGGCTACAGTGTATATACAATCAACGACAATAAAAGAATTGTGAATGGAGAAGAGGAAGATACTCCTGGTCGAGACTGAAAGATGGTTTGATGGATGCTAAGCGTTGGCGGATCCCAAACTGGCGGTGGAGAGGGACAAAAGCAGGGCCAAAAGGACGAAACTGACGGCTTCTGCTCCGTTTGGACTGCATCCTGGTCCACTTCTTTGTCTAGTCGCCAGACGGCCAGATCAAGTATTGCACTAGTTATTGATTGATTGATGCTTTCCTTTCATCCAAGAAATAGGCCTTCCGTTGGTGCGCTTCCTGTCAATCCACTGCACAGTGAACGCTGCCTGTTTACTCAACCATCCACACCTATACATCTCCTTCAAGTCATGGTATGATCATGCATACTGGCGCCGGTTGTCCTTCCACTGCGGTTGCAGGTAGCCCCAGTCCTGATTAAAGTCAAATCCACTGCGATACTTGCCGTACGCCACCAGCTCCACCTGATCCAACTTCGCGCCCGCATCAGTCAACGCCCACATGCTGATCGCCAGCGTGTTTTCCCCACGGTTATTAATCACGCCCGGTGGGAACGGAAAGAGACTCTGCGGTCCAATGTGGGGGAGGTAATGGCCGAACTGGTATCCGTTCATAAACACCTGGACGACCGCCTGGGTCCCGGCGGGCGCCCCCAGCTGCAGCCCGATGGGGACGTCTAGATCCCTGTCGAGCTTCAGCGTGAACGTGGTGGTATAGAAGCGGCCTTCAGCGCCAGATATCCCGTCTAACGGACTGCTCTTCGCGGCGGATCTGGGGGCCTTGTATCCGGGCAGATGCCAGCCCATGCGCTCGCCGTACAGGCCCCCCTCGTTAATGGGGCCACGTACGGGGTCGATGTTCTTCTCGCCGCCTGCATTGCCTTGGATACGCCACGAGGTAAATTTGCCTCCTCCAATCAACGTCGCACCCAGTATCCCGCGCGGATTCTGTGTTCCCTTCGGCCTGACGCTGTTCTGGTCGTGGCCCGTGTAGTCTGTGACCACGGTGAGGACGTTATCGCGATCATGGAGTAAGGAGCTGTTGAACGAGAGCACAGCAGAGGTTACGGCAAGGTCGATAGCCCCCGCAACGCCTCCCACAAACTGCCCGTTCAGCCACGCTGCCCATCCAGAGGCAACCCCGTTCTGCACCGTCACATTGGCGCCCGTGACGTTGCGTCCGTCAAATCGGCCTCGGTAGACTTTGGTGCCTGCATGGTAACCGTAGTCTCCGGAGTACAAGACAGGAAGAGAGAGCAGCGGCACGGCGTTGACGGAGGCGGTTTTGTTGCAGACAGTCCACCTGGAGTCGTCGTAGTCGGGCTGAATGTCTGGAAGAGTATCCTGCGCGCTCCACGAATCCAGCGAAGGAGGGGAGATTCTGGCATCTTCCGCTCCAGGCGCTCTGCCGACCAGACTGCCATAGGCGGTTCTTCTGCTCTTTATTGCTTTTCCGTTCCATTTCACCACCTTCACCCGTAAGTTGCCGGCATATACCCTAACTTGTCGTTAGTTTCTATCAACGATGGGGAATGCCGCGAGTTCTTACTCGAGAGAAGTAGTGTTTGCATTGTCACCTATGATCTCCACCGTATCGTGGTTGATGGTGACCCCGCGAACCAGATACGGTCCCTGGACCAGGATGTGTTCATCCGGCGCAACTTGCGGGTTCGACGTCGTCGGAGGCGCAAAGAAATTCCAAGCAGACTCCTTATCCAGGAGGTAAGCCAACACACCGTTGGAGAATTTCACTGCGGTGACGCCCTCTGCCTGCGTGTAGATGTATTGTGTGCCGTGGCTGGACACCGATGCCGTGACGTTGGTATTGCCGTATGTCTGGAAACTGAGTTTGGACCGTTCATCCTTGAACACGAATAATCCCTTTTGTCCGACATTTAGATACAAGACAAGGACATCCACGTCAAGGTTAGCGTATGTCAGGACCTCGGCCGATGAGTACAGCAGAGCTGAGCTTTTCCCAAACTGATAGTCAGTCACGATGATCTTGCTTTGACGACCATCTAGCTGGATATCCGGAATGGAAATTGCGCCTAGGCAAAGTCAGCTGCTGGGAGCAAGATAGTAAGCGCAATTACACCTTACCAGCAGAAGTGGTCACGTTGAGAGAAAACTCGGTTACGCTTCGGGATGAGCTGGTCTTGTGTGCAAGCACATAGAACCCAGCGTTCGTATCGGGGTTGTGAAGAGCCCAGGTATAGATGCTACTGTCGCTGGTGTACCCGGTACCGTTGCCTTCCATGTGCGTCTTCAGCAGATCGCTCGACACTCGGGTGAACAGGCCAATGAGCTTGGTCTGCTTCAGCTTATCCCGGATCTCCCGAGTCTCCCGCAGAGGCGCGCTGTAGTCGTAGGAGGTGTACACGACGGGTGCGGCACTATGGCCCCAGTTGGTGCCGCCGAACACCATATAAATGTTCTGCAACGTCACCCGAGAGCCAATATTGTTCTTATAGTAGACGTCGGCAAACTCTGGCGATAGTTCCGTGGCGCAGGTGTCGTAGTCATGGCCTCCCCAGGGCTGGAACCAACCTCCCTCGAACTCAGGCAGATACTCGGGCTGTGTGTAGGAGGAGTTCTGGAACCACTGGTAGTACGTCCGGACGAGATTGAACCCAGAGCTGGGATTCGTGCAGGATAGTCCACCGGGGTACGAATCCAGTCCGTAGATATTGACCGCGCCCCCGACATCATGATGGTCGGTAGACCAGCTGACGGCTCGCATGCCTTTCTCGTTATGGCTGCTCGGGACAACGATCCCTGCTTCCTGGAACACCCGCGCGATCTGCTTCATGTACACAACAAGGGTATTGTCCGCCTCGTACGACGTCTCTTGAAGCTCATTCTCATGCTGGTTCAGAATGACGGGCCCTCCATTCGTGATCTGGTTGGCGGCGATGATTTTGCCAACCTCCAAGATCCACGGCCGCCATTTCGCGTAGTATGCATCGTCGCTCGTTCTTTCGTTGCCCATCTGTCCATTCGCCGCCCACAGGGCATATCCACCGGCCGTAGTCTCGGCGTTGCAGTACGGACCTGCTCGAGCAATCACATAGATACCCGCTTCTTTCGCGTAATCGAACAGCCGCTGGATATTATGCGCCCCAGTCTCGAAGTCAAATTCTCCCTCTGAGGCGCTGTGGTAGCCCCAGAAGAAGTATACTGTATGAATTACAACCACATGCTCAGCGCCTTCAATTCTATTCTACCACGATCACAAGGCAGTAATGACAATCATACCTGAGATGGCATTGAACCCATTGGCTCGCAGTTTCTGGAAGACGTCTAGCCACATCTCCGGCACAGGAAGCCTCTGGTAGTGGAACTCCCCCGAGAAGACGAAGAGTCTCTCTCCCTTGACAGAGAGGCTGTATCGGTCCCACGTCACGTCCGTGGTCTTGCCATGGTCAGTTGCAGATACTACTCGATTACCGGCCAGGAAGCCCAGCAGAAGTAGAAAGAGGAGGCTGAGAATCCGCATGTTTGCGTCGCTTAACCAGGATTCCTGAGTCCATGTCTGCGAATTTGTATTGGACTCGAGGCAATAAAAGGGTCACGCTTGCAAAGGGTTGCTATTGCCATTCCTCGGGGCTTCGCGACAGCATTACCCCGGTGCTGGGTAGGGATTGGTGGATGTTTATTCTCAGCGTTGGAACCTTTACAGCGACTAATTGATGGCTCTGGCTCCGTTGATCCGACTAGGATGGGAGATCGTCGCGAATGATGCACGTCAATATCGAAGGCGGGGGAAGAAGGGAAGCTCTCTCGAAGGAGAATTGAGGGGGGGACAGATATTCGACCGCGTCTCTGGATGTATTGATTCCGAGGATACTTTGCTGACAGTCAGATAATCTGCCGCTCATCAAATCGGTAGGTTCTGAAATCATCGGGCAAAGATATATCTATACAGCCAATTTTAGCGAAAACGGCACCAAAATGAACAGCTAGTTGATTGTCACCTAGATAGAACATATGTACGACGGACGAACTAACATGACTAGAAGGGTCTCTTCCCCAAAAGAAACAACCTACGATTAGCCCATATTTCCTCCTATATGACCAGCGTGAATCATAGCGCCCAACACAGAAACCCCAGAGTAAAAGACCAAAGGTATAAAAAGAGTTACCAGCCAAAGAAGCAACCGACATGAACAATATAGCATCAAACATATTATGATAGAGCCAAAACATCCATCACAGATCTTCAGAGAATCGAGATCCCCGACTACCGTTGGTTGCGTACTTGCCAATGGGCGGGGGCACAGGGAGTCCCTGATCGCTAGCACTTCCTCGCAACTCATCCCTCTCGAGCGTGGGTGCTGTGGATGCTTTTCGACTCGACAGGGCGCTCTGTTCGGCCGTCTCCGAAGCGGTCCGAGATTCGTCATTTGCCTTAGAGACGCCGTTGGTCTTGTTCTCTTGTGAGTTTCCAGATAAGATTTTCATGAAGCTGGATCTCAGCCGAGAGGGTCGCCGGTCCTCACCATTGTGCTCAGCTGTGCTGCTCGACCCACGCCGTGCGGCATCATCGCTCCCGATCCTGGATCTTCCTAAATTGCCTTCGTCAACCGACATTCTCTGCTGCATCAGAACAAGATCATTACCCGTCACTGGGTGAGATCTAAGCGCCGCTGCTCGTGAGTCAGTCTCGGCCAAAGCCGCACCTCCAGCGAATCCGGTGCTTGCAGGAATTCCCCCTTCATCCTCCCTGTCTTTCAGTGATTCGGGCCCACTTCCAGTCGATCGACGGCTCACTCGGTCTTTGAACCAGGACTTGAGCTTTGACTCTTGCCTCGCAAGGGTAGGTTCTTCACTTGCTGCTCCGGAAGCTACAACTCTTTCTTCACCTTCAGTGGGTTGGGCTTGTTCGGTGTCGAATACGGGAGGCACAGTCTCTGCTGGAGGCGCAGCTGTAGCTGTAGCTGTAGCTGTACCTTGGGGTGCAGTTTCAACTTGCGGGGCGGCCTGGGAGATAGTTTCAGCTTGAGGTACAGCTTCAGCCCGAGATACGGCTTCCACTTGAGGTGCGGTTTCCGCCTGAGGGACAGATTCCATTTGAGGTGCGGTCGCCACATGAGGCACAGTTTCTGCCTGGGTCACAGCTTCAGTTTGAGTTGCAACTGCCGCTTGAGGTGCAGGTTCGACTTCGGGCGCCACAGCTCCGGTGGCTCTCTGATCAGCGGTACGAGGCTCCTCCTGCTCAGCGACAGGCCTGGTGGTATCCTCATACCGCTTCGACCTTCTCTTCCACGGCCATGGTTTTTCACCTTTTCCCTTCAGATGCTGCTTCTGCATCTCTGCTCTTCAGTTAGCATATACGCGAACAAAAGTCAAATCATCACAACGAACCTCGGTAACGCTTTTCCTCGGCAAGTGTATCAAGCTCCCGCTCGTGCCAAATAGCCTCGTACCGCTCCCTTTCTTCCTCATCCAGACGAGCTTCCAGTTCCTTGGCTCGCTGTTTCTCAGCACGATCCGACATCTCGTCGAAGGTTGGCTGTAGCCTTGAGCGCGCGAGAGCCTCCACATCGGTCATCTGGATATACTTCTCGCCACCAATGTTGACTCGATCAGGTGTCTCGTAGTATTCTCTGTCTTCGGCCACCTCACGTTGAGCGCGCTCCATTGCTGCCTCCTCCCATTCTTTCTGCATGGAGGGTGGAGGCCGACCAGTTTCATTGTAAATATTCATGTCCATATCATGCATGGTCGCATTGACGTTCCTCCTTGCAGCTTCCATGAGCGATGCGCGGTCTTGGGTTTTCCGTTCATCCACGGCGTTCAGTCTTGAGCGCAGGCTAGTCATCTGGTGTCTAATCTCCCTAGATCGCTCGGCATCGTTGGTTGTAGTATCCGAGTCAACAGACGCTCTCCGGAGGCGGAGCGACAGTCCGGGGCGGGGAGCTTGAGAATCGACGCCATAGTATTCCTGATACGACTCTTCGTGTAGCTTGGCCAGTTTCTCTGCTGCCCGCTGTTGAGCCGCTTGCTGTAAGCTGATGGCTTGCTGGAGAGCGTTGGGATCGGTTTTGGTAACAGTTCTCTGGGCTTGCATGCGGTTGTGCCCTCTTTGAGCCGCATAGAGAGCTGCACTGGGTTCTCTCGGCCGTTCCTCTTCGCGCGATGTCTCTGTAATTTCATACGTGTCACGCGACATCGAGAGAGTAGCAGCTCGCAGGGAGTTCCTCCGGTCCTTGTCCTCCAGGCCTACAAACGGTCGCTCAGTGTAGAGCTGAGCATTGGCACGCGCCAGGTGATTGATCCTGCTCGCCTCTAAGGAACTGTCAATTTTCGCAAGCGGGGCCTCCACCTCTGTTTCAGGCTTGACGCTGCCTGCCACTGAAGCGGCGTAGGGCGCCTCGCGTGTCACTGGGGGCTTGCTGGGGGCGGAATCGGCCCTTGTCCTACTCATGCGGTATGCACCTGTGGCAGCACGGATAGCCTTATCCCTGTCGAGGCTATCCCGCTGGATATCGTAGAATTCGTCTGGTGTCGTCGAAATGTCATGCTTGTAGCCGGTGACCACCGGAGGTAAACTGGTTATTGGCCTCGACTCTCTGACCGCCGACAGGGCGGCTTTGTATACCTCCGAACTAGGACGGGGTGGGGAGGCCTCGGCGACACGCCCCTCGAACACCTGATACCCTGCAGTGCCCGTCCGTGCCGGGGTCAAACTCCCGCGTCGACTCTTCGCATGCGCAAGGGCAGCTCCCGCTGACGCATGACTCAGATCGATTCGACCTGTCGCTTTTGGGTCTTCTATCAAACAAGCGCAGCGTGTCAATACCGTCCCGATCACTGTATCTATTGATTTCTTCGTTGGAGTTCGGGTAGATGTGCTCACTGAATGCTTGCGTCTCCGCCACTGCGGGCTCACGCACGGAGAGTCTCCGTTCTGGATGTGTCACATAGAGCGCAGCTGTCGCGGCTGTTTGAGGCAACGAGGTCAGTTTCCTTTCAGTGGGCTCTCCAAAAATTCTTTGGAAGAAATAGCCATCATAAAGCTCACCTTGATCCGCTAACCGGGCAGACCGGGATCGCTGGATGGACCCATCCTGGGCTCTAGAGTACTGTTGGATCGTGGCCATGATAAGATAAGTCGCAAGGAACGACGACGGAGATAGGCATTCCCGATGGAAAAGAAGACGCCCTTGGGGAAGGATGGTTTTAACGGTGGAAATGAAGAGAAAAAAACTGTAAATGATAGATGATAGCAGCAGTAATAGTGGTGACGCTGAGAAAAAGTGTGTGTCGTCTGTGACGTCGTCGGTTGCAGAGGGCAAATCCACGGATTGCTCTGAGTATGTAGTAGTTACTGCCGTGGTCTACGATCCAGCAGCGAGATATATCGACTACCTTAGACTACAGGACGTCAAGTTGAGGAAAGTCAAAGTAGCTGCAGATATCTTTATTCTTTTTTTTTTTTCTTTTTACTGATGTCATGATGGCGCTGCAGAGTCTGTTCTTCTAGAAGACGAGACCTTCTGAGGGTATCTCTTCGCTTCAACTTCCGCCGAGTCATGATTCTTGCATTCCTCGGCTTTTCCCTTCTCACTTTCCGTTTTCAACCACCATGAACATATAATTTGATCACCTCCCGCCCAGTTCCAGCACGATGGTAACTCCACAATCTTCCCTCTTGAGAGCGGCATCTAGACTCTACCCGTTCTGTTCCAGGTTCCGTCCCAGGAGCAAAGGTACTTGGCGAGATCGGGATCGGGGAATGCACGCGGTTACGCCCAGTGCTTGCTTGGCTTTATGACTTGTGTAGTATCACTCTTGGAGGTGCAGATCGTCTAAACATAGGCTGTGGATACAGAACTGGTCTAGAAAGGCTGAAAGAATACAAACTCATAGCGACCTCGCAACCATCATTGGAGTATTATGACAGGATATCTCAGAGCTAAACATCCATCTCTCATCGTAGAACGACATCAACCTCAACAAATTACCACAGATGCAGCTTCTTCAAAATATTATTACGTGTAAAATAGGAGCGGTTTCGTTTTCCGAAAATATCTAGACAGACCGAGTTAGTTGAAGATCTTGGAAAATTCGAACTTCGAAGACCTAGAACAACACGTACACATGGGAATACTCAAGAGGCAGACCCCCATCTGGATACTAGAGATGGCAAGGAATGCAGGCCGAATCCCATTCGCCACAATCCAGTCATATGCGAAGAATGTCAGGACGAAGCTGAACATGTTCTTGAAGATCAGCAAGCAGGTGAAGGCTTCGACAGCGATTTGACCTATGCGAATTAGCGGGCCTCCTTTTCATTCCACCCATACGGGGCAGAACTCACGATGGGCATCGACGATGTATAGGGCACTTGCTACAGCGCCCATAACCATCCCTATAATGACAAAGGCTATGAAGACATCTACGACAAGCCACCCGTATCGTGCGACATCTTCTGCCACGATTCCAAAGCCATAGAGACCTGCTCCGCTGAAGATCAACTGAAAGATAACAAGCAGGATCCGGAACTCAGGCTCATATGTCCCCCCATTAAGCTTGATCATGAGCTTGTTGATAGAATCGGAGAGGACTCCGGATAGTATAAGGCCCAGGATGGAGCCGATAAAGGCACCCGTGTAGAGGTACCCGGTCTGCACCTCATTGAACCACAGAGGTGGGCCTAAGAAGATAGCAGCCAGGACGACGCCGATGAAGACAGTCCATCCAATCAGAACCCCTTGAATCAAGCACGCCTACAGCTGGTCAGTCACAGTTTGAATAAGGAAGCTTCCAGACATGGTAGGCTTACCCAAAGGATCCCCGGATGAAAGAACAAAGGGAAGGGTCTCAAGAGGAGCTTGAAGAAGTTCTCATCGGTCTTGCGCCCATTGAACAGCTTCAGTGTCTCCCAGTATGTAGCTTTGCGAGGAATTTCGGGCTCCCAACGAGTACCTTCCTCACCACCAGACAACTCCCCTTGTGGCTTTTCTTGGGTCCTCGGTACGGACCGCGTCTGTGCCTCAGTAGGGTTGCTTTCTTCGGACGTTGTGTACCTGCTTAACCGCGATTGTGAATTCCACTGGCCGTCACCTTGACGGTCATCCAGGTGCTCAAAATCGGTGTTAAGATGGTCGGGGCGCCTGAAAGCCGTCTCGGGGATCAAGAAAATAGTAAGTGGCAAGGCTGCAGCGGTGAAAATAGCCACCAAGTAGAAAGTCCATTGCCAGTTGAGCGAATGCGTGATCTTGCCAACAAGGACTGGTGTCAGAAAGGCAGCGCCGAAGAGAGCCACGTTGGAAAGCGCCATCCGCTTGCCTCGTTCCTGTATGATTTCCTCAGTCAGATGACCAGCAGTGAGAGTGTTCTCGTCAACCTACATGGACGAAGAATAGATCACCAACACACGCATTGACCAGAGCTTCAAAGGGAGCGAGTGCAACGCCTTGGAAAATCCGAGCCCATAACAGGCTATCGTAATTCTTGCCGCTTCCTCCAGCCCACGCACAGCTTACAATCATCAGAATATTCCCGAGGATGAAGAGATGGCGCTTGCCCCATACGCGCGCAGTTGGTACGATAAGGATGCCAGCCACGCCGACGCCGCAGAGATGGTAGCCAGTGAGAAGGGCGACGGACGTGAAACTCCTCCCGTAATAGAGAGCAATGGTGACGGTATTGGCAGCCATCAAGGAGCTCGTTGTCGCACAGAGCACGGAAACGAAGGAGAGGGCGAATAGGATAAGATCGCGTCGCCATAATGGCCAGTTCTGGTATCTAGTCTTAGGCAACCGAATCACATTCAACGATAATGGTCAACCATATCATCACACATACTAGAGGGTCATTTGGATCGTCGCTCGGTTGTGGTACTAGAAGTACAGGAACGTCGCCTGAACGATCGTACTTGAGACGAGCATCGGTTGACGTATGGTCACCCGTGCGATCCTCGAAGATGTAGGACGTGCCTAATCAGAAGATGTTACAAGGGATGTTGTTTTGGCCCAGAACAAACCAGCTCCCGAAATGAGAACAATAGAACTCACCAGGAACATGATCAAGTACTTTGTCCTCAAGCACGCCTAAACCCATAATGGGAGAAAAGAGGAGCTAAGAAAGGGCCAGCTTCGGGGGGGGGATAGGTCGTGGGTAGAGTATGAGCGCGGACTAGAAACTTTTTGGAGGTTCGAATCTACGCGAGTCACAAATCTTCATCAAGATAAAGTACCGTGAATGACAAATGGGACCCTTGAATGGATAAGTTTTGTCCAGGTCAGGTTAAGCTAAGGTAGGAGGAGAGAACTGTCAGAATTGCCATTCAGGAACAAATGATACGACAATTCCGCCGACTGGATGAGCTTCACCAGTCACTACTAAGAAGTTAAGGTAATCACTAAGGTAATCACTCCTAACCGGGGACCTTCACGAGGAGCGGCAGGGAGAACGTTTTTACGTCACAGGAAGTGCTATCTAGAGGTACTTAAGTACTTACAAATGGATATCCAGTAACACCATTGCACAGTGGATCTGCAAGGGCAATTCCCTTCGATGGATGGGGAGCTTGCTCAGACTTCATTTGAGAGTAATCACTAATCACTCTCACTAGGAATGGAGTATCCAGAGAAAGGTCTATAGAGGTTCCTCTCTAATCGCTGGCGCCTAGATAGATACTACTGTCTACAGGCTTCAACCTATTTGAAGCTCTGGGGGCTGGAACTCGAGCAAAGATCTAAAGCGTTGCTACCTATCACTACATACGGTACCTAGGGACCTACCTACAGAGTACCTAGTATCCCTGGTATTGGGCGCGAAGTGGTGTGGTCGAAAGTCAACAATGACCGAGGACCTAACAAGGCGCTTCTACGTAAGAAACAGGGGTCTTTCCTGGACGATCTGGATCATGGGCGGGGCAACCGAAAAAATCTTGGTTAATAATCCACCAATAAAATAATTGAATGAAAATCTGGGGGCACCGAATATTGGAGTTGCAGAGCGGTAGCTGTGGGACCAGCTGAACAAAAAATGAAAAAACCATTGGCCAGGTAACTTTTAGACCTTGAACCCGTCAGTCTAGTAAATGAAGAAGGTGGGAGGGCTGCAAAGGTGACTGGCTGGGGATGATTCCTCCTTGGTCTGGTGGCTTGGTATTGGAGGGGATCGCCCTAAGGTGCTTAATAAAAAATGGAATGGTGGGATACAGCCACAATCTGTTTGTTGATTGTTCCCTCCTTATGTCGAATGTCAATCTGCTGATCCCAAAACTCATTGTGGTTCCATCCTTCATCATCAGATGTTTTTTGGAGCAAACCCTCATGAATTAGAATACTGAAAAGTGGCTAACCTAACATTCCACAATATGACTGTCTAGAGAAATGAGTTTGTTCAACTCATTTGGGGGTGGCTAGCACCTCCACGGTATCCATTCTCTGGACTTCATTAGCTATGTACCTAAGATATACTTTTGAGGATGAACCTTGATCATTTGATGGCCTCGTTTTCTGAGAGACCGTGGCGTCTAGAGCAACTAAGCTGACCACCTAGCTAGCTAGCTAGCTCGACAGGGACACAGGGTACGGGCGACTCCGTAAGGAATTGATCACTGAGTGGGCGGTTCTACAGACTTCTACGTAGTAAGTTCCAACCTAGTACTACTTCAGTCTTCAAGGCTGCTAGTAGTTAATTCTCTCTGGCACCTAGATTGTATTTGCTCAATCTCACCCAGGGTGGGGAAGCAAGGTACAACAGTAGGTAAGTACTACTGTGTATACCTGATACCCCCATGTCTGTGCCTTCCTAGCAAGATCAGTCTATGATTCATTTCCCTTCCATTCTTCTCTGCTGACTGTCTTCCATTCATTCATTCTTTCTTCCTTCTCCTCCTTCGCCTTCATCTTCCCCTTCGGCATTGTTCAATCCTGCTTGCTTCATAACTTCAATCAAGGAACCCACGAGATTTCAAAAGTCTTCAACGAAGTCAACTAAACTATTACCATGAAGGTCTTTCTCGTTCTTTTGGCCGGCGTGAGCATGGCTGCCGCCCAAGGCCTCGCCTCGCTGCCTGATTGTGCTGTAAGTTGTCCTGCTCAGTCTGCGTGTCGATGGGATTTAGCTTCCACCATTGCTTTTGGATAAGTTCAATGTGCGAGACAGTGAATTGATCAGCTAACGAACGGACTATGAAAAGCGAGACTGTGTTACTGGATCCATCCCCGCCTCCTGCAACGCGATCGATGTCAAATGCATCTGCTCCAACAAGTCTTTCATCGAGGGTATTTCCTGCTGTATTGCCGATAAATGTTCTCAAGAGCAGCAACAAAGTGGGTCCCCTAATTACTTTGTATCATCTTGTCCTACAGATGATCATTCTGTGCTCCAAACACGCGCAACCCAATCACATATGCTGATATGACCTTTTCGCAGCTGTCATCCAGTTCGCCAACCAGCTCTGCAGTGGCCAGGGTGTGACCGACCTGCCTCAGAGTGCCGCTTGCGCTACTGGAAGTCAATCCAAGACTGACACCTCTTCGGCCACGACTACTGGCAACTCCAACACCACTGCTACCGAGACTGCATCGACTGCTTCGACTGCATCGACTGCTTCGACTGCTTCGACTGCTTCTACTGCCACTCACACCGCTGCTGGAGCTGGCGGTAGCAGCAGCAGTGGTACTACCAGCAAGGGTTCTGCAACTGCTTCTGCTAGCTCTGCGGCAACCAGCACTGGCGCTGCAGCCATTACTCACAAGGATACTAGTCTCATTGCGGCGGCTGGAGCTGCGGCGGCGGCTTTTGCCTTGCTCGCATAGGAGGCTCCTGACTTTCGCAGTGGCGCAGAGGGATGCCAACAATGCGACTTTGAGCGTATCATGAGAAAATGAGGGGGTCCTGTCGGTTATGACAAATGTGGATATGTTGCAGTTACATGTCCTGCAAAGCTGTTTTCTTTTTATCTGAAAGTTCCCACTGTACTCTTACAAGTCTGCTGTACCATTACATCCGCCGTTCTTCCCTGGCTTGGGGTTGAGGATATGTTCGCGATCTGCATTCAATGCAACCGTAGGCGTCGTCTATTCCCCGCGTCCGGCGAAGCGAGTAGCTATTTCCTGCCGTTCTTCGCGGAGTGTGATGAAGATCTGCAGCTGGTCAGAAAACGGCTGCGACTCGAAAGACCAGAGACCCCAGATGTCCTAGCAAAACTTACCCAAAGCCAAAACATCATCTCCATGAACCCATATGTGAAAACAACCCGATTCTTCAGCTGGTCCAAGCCAGACAAAGCCTCTGTCGAGCTATACTCGGTACCTCTCGCAGTAACATTCACACCCCAGGCATCAGGTTTACTCTGATAGATGAAGAATGAGACGGCAAAGAATAGACAGAAGCGCACCGCGGAAAGCAAGGTCCATATTTCCGAGTACAGAGAAGCCAGACGTGCAAGGAAAGGGTTGTGTCGCATCGCGCCAGGGACAGGAACGGCAGACTCGCTCCGGGCCGCCTGGGCCATAGCGATGATTTCGTTGATCCAAGGCACTTTGGAGAGGATGATCAGGTCGACGAGAGCGTCAGCGATGAGAAGGATGCCGCACATGGCGAACGGTGACTGAGGGCGTGATAGTGTTGGGGCTGCGTCCTGTTATTGGAGTCTGTTAGCTTGGCCGACATGAGAAAGTGGCTTCCGTGTTATAAAACTGATATATAACTGATAAGATTCAGGGACAACAATCTTACAATTTGGACCATCTCGCCGACCATGAAAATGAAGTCGGATTCGGTGACGGCTTCAGGGGACTTGGTCAGGTACACGGCGAGAACGAACAGGAACAGGGCATGTGCCCGAATAAGCGTTTTGGACGACAGCAGAGCCATTCTGAGCAATTAGTACTCAGACGCGTTTGTGTAAATCAAAATCAGAAAGAAATTATGCACAGATGATAGCAATCATCGAAGGTCTTGAGATGAGCTATCGGTGCTTATCAATACAGATTCCTGGAGCTGCCGCGACTTTTTCTTCCCCCTTGTCTGGATTCTGGATCCATGTGGGGTGGGGGTTCCCGCTGTTAAGTCCGTAGAGTCCGCCCGCAAAAAACACCGATAACAATGGGAGCACCCAACGAGCATCTCGAAAGCCCAGATACGTCAACAGACCGGCCCTCTGTTGATCCTACAATCATGACACAACCCGTTTTCAACAAGGAACGACACATCAAATACTACCTCCGATGTCTCAAAACCTTCCTCCCTGCCGCATACACCTCCGGCGACTCCAACCGCATGCTCCTTGCCTTCTTCACGATCTCCGGACTCGACATTCTAGGCGTGCTAGAGAGTAAAACCACCCCCGAAGACCGAAGAGGGTATATTGACTGGATCTACCACTGCCAGGTCCCGTCGGGGGGGTTCCGCGGTTTCACAGGCACGGACTTTGGAGCTGACAAGCGCACGCCGGGGAACGAGGCGTGGGACCCGGCGAACGTCCCGTCCACTTTCTTTGCGCTGGTGCTGCTGATTATCCTCGGCGACGATCTGTCGCGGGTCAAGCGAAAACAGTGTCTTGAATGGCTGCCCAGATTACAACGGGGGGATGGCAGTTTTGGGGAGGTGCTTGGGCCGGGGGGTAAGGTTGAGGGTAGCCGTGACCTGCGGTTTTGCTGCTGTGCGGCTGGGACGCGATATATTCTACGAGGGAGGAAAGGGGGCGGTCTTGAGGGGGTCGGGGATATCGATGTGGATAAATTGGTGGAATTTATCAAGGCTTGTCAGGTTGGCACAAACCCCTCTGTACCACTGCGGTGGGAGTGTTGAATGTTGATGTTTTGGATTGCAGACGTACGATGGAGGCATGTCGGAAGCGCCGTTCTGCGAGTCGCATGGTATGTGCGCGCTGCAACTCGGACACTGGATTTGGTTGTCATTTTCTGACTGAAGATAGCCGGTCTGACCTATTGCGCTGTTGGCGCTCTCACCTTCCTTCGTCGCCTTTCGGATGATCCAAATACAGTTGCACTTCTTTCACCGGGGAGCAAAGAGTTTGAGGGATTGCTTCGGTGGCTTGTCTCGCGGCAGACAGCCGAATTGGGTGATGAGGAGGAATCGGATGACGAGGATGATGACTCTGCTGTCTCCGACCAGCGTCTGGAAAGGGCTGCGAAGAGTCTGACTCTTGCTGAGATGATCGATCAGCTTCCCGACCTTTCCATACCGTCGGAAGAGTCTCTGCTATGGGCGGGTTTCAATGGGCGATGCAATAAGGATGCCGACACGTGTTATTCCCTCTGGAATACGGGAACGCTGGTCGTAAGTTTCAACTGTCTCCATAATGATTACCGAATGCTTGTGAAGATTACTGATGTCATGAGCACTAGATGATGGACCGACTCTCTCTAATCGACGCAGGGCGTAATCGTCATTACCTTCTTGACAAGACACAGCACATTATCGGCGGCTTCGGAAAAGGTATCGGGGAGCCTCCAGGTAAGCGCTCACAGAACACTGCAAACGAGAAAGAGGGCTAACCATCGGACGAAGATCTTCTACATTCCTTCGCGGGACTAGCATCTCTAGCTTTTCAGGGAGAAGAAGGCTTGAGTAGCGTGGATCCCGCATTATGTGCCAGTCATCGGGCAGTTCAGCATATGGAAACCCTTCCCTGGTGGCAGGGAGCCTAGCGGAGCTCATGTTGTCTGCTTCCCCATTTCTCAACATCACATTGCGACTGCATTTTACCGCCATATAAGTCTAGACTGGGAAAGTCTGGATCTCAAATACCCTAGCATCGTTGAATAGCGATTCCATGATCTTTCTCTTTGAATCCCAAGGAGCAAAATCATTCAAAACCTAGCCCGTTAGAGAGAAGCTAGGGAGCCTCGGGGGAGGAAACGTTCTAGAAAAGCCGTAACTGTTAGAGCCGGCGGGAACTATCGTCAGAACTAAATCACTGGTGGATTCAGGGGCTAACAATGGGAAAGATTCACACAGTACAGTGACAACCGAGCCACACGAGCAGTTGGACTTCTTGAACCCTTTGTTTCTCGTTTTATGCTGCGATAGAGAAGTTCTCTGGATATTTAGATCCCCAGCTGAGCTGAAAGAGACCAAGTACCTACCATCTATCGAGGTCTGTGAGTCCCCTGGATGGCATCAAACGAACATTCATACCTATGGAACCCGATGATGTGGAAACGGCGCACGTTCCCACCTGCTAATGAGCATCATCACTCTGGGTTCTATAATTGGCTGGTTCGGAATGAAATAATATCAACTAACTGACTATCGACCGGTTTAATGATAGTGATAATATAATAGTTAATAGGAATAACGAGAAACCTCATCTTGTTCCTTGACCATCGACATCACCATCACCATCAACCATCGTCTCAGCTCAGTGTTGGAACCCCCCCTGTTAGTTTGGCGACTCAGATCTACAGTGTACTTATGTACAATATAGTTGCTTGGATGGACTCCAAAAGAACATAGTTATAATCATCATCACGATCAGCCTCTCACTAGATATTTTATCCTCCATATTATTCATTCTTCTCATTTTTTGTGACTGATATTACCCGCGATATTCTTTTTTTATCGTCAGATTTCCCGTAACTCTTCAGAACTCCTCCTCCTCCTCCTCCTCCTCCCCTTACTCTTTTTCTAGACTTCTTCTACCTCTCCTTCCCTTCACCTGCATCTTCATCAAATGATAATAATATATTGAAGTCACTACTAGACTGCTTAATCGTCGAGAATCCTATTCTCGAGTCGTTCCAACTTTCTTCCGTTCCTTTCCTGCAGAAAAGTTGCCGTCCCGTCTTTCACCCTCCTTTTACCTCATCCTCTCTCCTTGCACCGAAATTTCCGTCGCGGACAAGGGCACATCTCTGCTCCCTTTCTTATATCCCTTGGCGCAAAATCTTGGTTTCTCCTGCTTCTATCCAATCTCTTCTACATCGGCAATATCCCTCCCCCCCTCTCTCTCAGACATATCCGACCAGAACTAGCCCCGTTCGTCTATGCCATTCGCGATCCTTTGTTCATCTTCCGCGCCCTCGTCAATCGCAGCAGACTCCTTGTTTCGATACCCTCCGTCGTCCGCCGTTGATACCTTCCTCCCCCTTGGAGCTCGATCCTTTTCCCTGTCCTGCGGTTGGTTGGATGTCACTCTCAAACAACTTGCGATTCGGCCAGTCATTTCAACGACCCATCGTGCGCATACATCATCTCCGCAAGAAGCCTCAGTCCAGGCGGAGACGATCTCAAACACATGCCGCCGACCAGGACAAGGGCGGAGGTTCAATCCCAGAAACAAAAGGAAAAGGTGCGTTGTCGCTGGTGTCGGTAGCTTGGATACATCATAAAGATGGCCAACCTGAAGGACCTGCGTTTCCATATGGGACTCCACACCCGAACTTTATTTGTTCATTGCTTGTTGATCTCCTATCGTTTCGTCATTACTTTCCTGATACCCTTCCCTTCATCGTCACCTTTACAATGAACCGTTGTACCGCTTCTTTTATCTATGCTTTTTTGGCAAGTGTCAAAATGAATTTTTGGCTGACTGTTTGGCACTTGCGCCACGCCGTAGCAGCTCGCCCAATCATACCATGAGTTACTAGAGTAAGCACTCACTTCTATCCTCTTATCGTCTAACTACTGGAGATCGGCGGTCCTAACAGCTTCCCTTCTCTTCAGAGAATTCTCGTCGAAGGATCTTCGAAATGTAGGAAACTACACCCTCGGACGGTTGATCGGGAAAGGTTCCTTCGGCAAGGTCTACCTCGCTTCGCATAAACTCACCAATGGTTCCAAGGTATGGTTTGCTTCTACACCGTGATGGATGAAGGCGTGTTTTAAACAGGTCCATGCGCAGGTTGTTCTCAAGTCCTCCAGTAGGGAGGATACCAACCTGCCGCGCGAGATCCATCATCATCGCCAGTTTCTCCATCCGCATATCGCCCGCCTATACGAGGTCATCGTGACAGAAAAGCTGGTTTGGCTGGTACTCGAGTACTGTCCAGGTAGGGAAAATGGTTGGATGATTCAGGCGACTGTCGCTAACATGATACGGGTAGGCGACGAACTCTACAATTACCTCCTCCGCCACGGCCCCCTTCCGGTTGACAAGGTCAAAAAGATCTTCACCCAGCTTGTGGGTGCAGTCTCGTACGTTCACAGCAGGTCATGTGTCCATCGCGATCTCAAGTTGGAGAATATTCTCCTTGACAAGCACGAGAACGTCAAGCTCTGCGATTTCGGGTTTACACGAGAGTATGAGGGCAAGGCAAGCTACCTGCAAACCTTCTGCGGTACGATATGTTACAGCGCCCCCGAGATGCTCCGGGGCGAGAAATATGCCGGGGAAAAGGTGGACGTGTGGAGCCTAGGCATCATCCTCTATGCGCTTCTTGCGGGGGAGTTGCCATTTGACGAGGATGACGATCAAGTCACCAAGAAGAGGATCCTCACCGAGGAGCCCATCTTCAACAATAAGTTCCCAGAGGATGCCAAGTCACTCATCAACCTACTCTTGTCCAAGCGTCCTCTCATCCGCCCCAGCCTGGACGACATCCTGGCGCATTCCTTTCTGGCAGAGTATGCTCCGGAACAACTAGCGATTTTGAAAATTCCTCGGCCCGCGCCCTTCGCAACGCCCTTAGAGAAGACTACACTACAACGGATGAAGAGTGCCGGAGTTAATGTGGATGAAGTCATGGGAAGTGTTCTTGCCCAACGGTGTGACGCGCTCGCTGGATGGTGGGCTCTCCTGATTGAGAAGGAACAAAGAAAAGAACAGAGGAGAGAGCGTAAGCGCCGGGAACGGGAGGCCGAGGCGAAGAACATGCGCCGGCTCAGCGCTGCCAGCAGCCGATTGGAGAAAATTTCTGCTGCACTCGTCGAGGTGGATGAAGAGGGACATGCCTCTGCGGGGGCCTCGCTTCACGAACGAGGGCGGCGGGACAGGCGAAGTCTGCCTTCTCAGCTTGCTGTGCCGGAATTGCCAATGCTTCCCGAACCAGTTCCCCTACAGTCTCCTCTTGTTACCACACCCCCACCACCGCCTCCCCCAGTCGATAAAGACTCGATTCGCTCAGGCAGCTCATCCCGACCACGGCCGTTGCCGCCTCCGAAAGATAACACCAGACGTCGGCCAAGCACGCTGCACGTCAGTGCCTCCCAACCTGAGCTGGCGCAGCACAATGGTATCCTCAGACGTCGAACTGGTCGCCGTCAGTACCCGATCATCAGTCAATTGGCATCGTTGAAACATTGGTTTGTAGAGTCTGCCAAGAGAGCAAAGTCTCCTCACGGCAAAGTGGCTGGAGGATCAGGGGGTCATCGCAAGTTCTTCTCCGACAAGCTGAGCCCTGGAAAGGGCCAAGAAGCTGGAAAGAAAGCACCACAAAACTCACCAACTATCCCCCTTCCTAGCGAACTAGCGACCCCGACGCAGATCAAACGCGCATCTAACGCCAGTAGCGTGGCACCGAGCAACGCTTCCTACTCGAACAACCGTCATTCGTATCCGCGACAACCCCGACCAATAAGCACCAGCTATCCGAATCCCCGCAATTCTCTATCACCGTCCCCGATCACGCCGAGAGGTTCCTATAGACGTTCCTCTGCAGGACTGAGAGGCCGCAAGTCCACCTCTTCCTCCGTTTCCTCTATTCGAAGCATCCATCATACGCACACTCACTCTAAGGCTTCCTCGATCTCCTCCAACAGCATTGGATCTACGTCAACTCCCACCGCTCGCTCCTCTCGATCGCCACACACATCGATCAAGGTTCTGCCTACGACACCGAGTGCCTCTTCCCGATTCCCAAGCAACATACGCCTTGTGCGGAACTCAAACAATGGGTTCCGTGAACTTCCGGACGGAAGTGGACGTGGGCAATCGATGTTCAATGAAGCGGTGCCGACACCAATGCTCTATTCGCCTTCAAGCAGCCTCGTCTTTGCGCGACGAAAAAGATCCGCGTTCAGAGGTCCAATGATTCACACAGCGAATCTCATGGTGTCCGGTGGGATGGCCGCTCCGGAGTTTCCAAATGAGGGCATGGCCGTCGATCAGATCCCTGTTCCCGCGAAAGCTCGGGCTACAACTCGGAAGAGTCAGATCATCGAAGAGGAAGAGGACATGGAGGAGGAGGAGGAGGAGTTTGAGGAAGTGGAGACCTTTGACAGTCCAGACGAGGACCCTGGCTCGCCGGTGGACTCTGTGGTCAAGTCAGATGGGGATTTCAAGGCCCTTGAGAGTGCAACCAACTCATGCGGTCAAGGACGGAAGCCAGCCCTTGCCCCGGCGCCGAACCTGGACTCGAGCCCGCCTTGTCCTCCGCGGTCATCCTCGCTGAAAGTGTCCTCAGTGGAGGCAGCCGCTGCACCAACTTCGCATGACGAGAAAGACAAAACTATCATCGCGACAGCCTCCCCGAAGACTGTGATTTCCTGAAAGAGCGGTGTGCCTTTCGAGCTGGAACCTATTGACCGGGCATACACATGCCAGTTGACACTGTGATTTCTCGTTTAACATTTGTTCTTATTGTTTTACTTCTTATACCCCTTTTGCGGCAATGCGGCATCGGATTTTTCTTGACTATTTTGTATTAAGCATTTTGAATTTGGCGAAGATACGACCAGTGCATGTCTTTCCCCTTTCTCCAAAATTTCTTCTTTTTTTTTCTTTTACCTTCCTTTGGTCAAAGACCACACCCTCGATGTGGCTTATCTCTTTCATTGGGATCCCTTTTCTCGACCTCGGTCATTTTTCCGGTGCCTGTCTACTGCATCCAACCTCAGTCTCAAGGCATCTCGCATCAAAATCTTTTGTTCCCTCGTCCTGTGATATCCCTCGGCCCTGCTTGTTTCGTTTTGTTCCGTTAAAATCTGCTTCGGGCCGGTACCCGAACAGACGCCCTCGCACACGGCACTCGATCCAAGCCATACCATACAGTCATTTTGGAACGTGTCATCCCTATATATAGACCGAATAGAATCATTGTATGTTACATAATCTGAATAGATTGCCCTTGAGCAGAAGATACATTTCCATTTTAGGTAACTGTGGTCATAAGATTCATCATCCATCAGACATAAGCGTACACGTACGCCTGTCTCTACCCTCTACAGAGATATTCAACATCAACACTCAAGAAAGAAAAAGATAATATCACTTCTCCAAATGCACGCCCACCGGCTTCTCCATCCTCTCCATCCCCTCCCCCACCTCAACATCCTTCACCGCACTCCCCGCCCCCTCCGTCCAGCCAATCCGACTATCCCCAACCTTATCCACGGTGTCCCGATACGCCGGCACAAAGTTCACAGCGAGGGCATACGTCCACGCCACGACCATGAACATCGTAGGCACGATCATGGCGAAGCCGGTGCTGTCGCGCAGGTCGGCGACATGGCCCAGGATCGGGGGCACGACGGCGCCGCCGCAAACGCCGCCGACGATGAAGCCGGAGCCGCGCTTGTAGTGGCGGCCGAGGCCGCGGATGCCCAGGGCGACGATGGTGGGGAAGCAGACGGATTCGAAGAAGAGGGTGAGGAAGAGCATGACTGGGAGGGGGGTTAGCTTGGCGTTTGCCAAAAAAAAAAAAAAAAAAAAAAAAGCACAGAAAACAAGATGTGATGCTTGGGAGATGAAAACGGAAACCGGGGGGGGGATGGAGGGGAAGGGGAAAAAAGTACCGATTCCGTTTTGGTTCCTCTGCGTGGTGGACGCGGCGATGAACGCCACCGTGCCGGATAGGTAGACCAGGAAGACCCAGCGCGGGCGGATGTAGCGCATGATGATGGCGCCGAGGAAGCGGCCGACGGCGAAGGCGCCCTGCGCTCCGGCGAGGTACTTGGAGCCGGTGGAGTTCTCGGTGCCGGGCCAGGTTTCGACGGCGTAGTTGATGAAGTAGCCCGCGATGGCGACTGTGGGGAGGGGGGGGGCATTTAGTCAACAAGACACCCAGGGAGTGGAGGGAGGGAAGGGGGGGGGAAGTACCCTGGGCACCGGTATACGTGAACTGAGCCAGGGTCGCATGGAAAAGCTTGTACTGTTTCCAGAGCGGCTGCTCCAGTTCCCCGACATGCGTCTTGGCAACTTGGGAGGCCATGTCCTCGTCGGTGACTTCGGGGATATTGGAGACGAAGAAGACGCCCGCGAGGAGGAAGACGAAGATGCCGATGGCGAGGTACACCCACTGCACGCTCTTCAGGGCGGCGACATCATCGCCCGTGTCGGTGAAGAAGACGTAGGAGGCCAGCGCCGGCGCGACGCAGGTGCCGACGCCGTTGAAGGCCTGCGCGAGGTTGATTCGGATCTCGGCATATTTCGGTGGTCCGCAGACTGTTTAAGACACAGATGCGTGTTAACCATAGAGCAGCCATAGTGCAGAGGGGAGGCAACTGACCGGTGAGATACGGGTTGGCCGCTGTCTCCAGCGACCCCAGCCCCGAGCCGATGACAAACGTGGCCGCGCAGAACCCGCCGAATGATCGATTGAGACCCGCGGGCCACATGCACAGGGCCCCGATACCGTACAGGACCAGTCCGAAGATGAAGACGGCCTTGTATCCGTAGTGACGAAGGATCCAGTTGGCATAGCCTAGGGAAGCGAGTGGGTATGCCCTTTCCTCTGAGTTAGGTCACCCCGTCCGCAGCTGAGCAGTAGATTTGGCAAACGGGAGCAGAGGGCGTACCCGAAGTATGCGGCCTGGAGGCCTGAGGAACGAGTCCGGGTGATATGGAGTGTGTTCTGGAAATGCTTGTTGAGAGTATCCAGCAGCCCATAGGCGAAACCCTACCGGGGATCCTCAGCACACATTGGAATCCACCATATACGTGGCCTCTGGTCTTGCACCAACTCACCCACAGAAAGAAGAGAATCGTAACCAGAGCCAGCGGCCATAGACTCTGGCGCAAGGTCAGCGTAGCTGCGGAGGTAGTCCGCTTGTTGTCGACCCTGAACCCAGAGCGGGTTTTGAGAAACTGCACGAAGCCCATCCCAGCCGTAGGGAGAGAAAGCAATGAGTTATAAAGGCGATGAGGCGATGATGCGATGAGGGTCTGCAAGCAAACCTCTCCTTGCAAAGGGAATGCAGGGAAAAGCGAGCCAGAAGAGGTGAACAAAGAAAACGAAGGGAAGCAGACACTCTTATATACTACTCTCCCTCATCCCCTCTCACAACCCCCCATACTCGCATTCCCTCCCGTACTACCTCGCGATGAAGATGATTACTCGCTTGGTCATAGTGCATTTCTCCAGGGTCGCAGTCGGCACGTAGACAAACCAAATCCACCGGCTCGACTCATCGACGACACCCTTTCTCCTCATTTCACGCCTTAGTCTCAAACAAGTAAAAAGACGAAAAATCCCAAAGAGAAGAAGAAGAAGAAGAAAAAAAGGCCTATCAGCGCAACACGTCCATCAGCAAAATAACCCACTCCCCTCTCCACAGGGACGGAGGAAATATAACGCACTGCTGAAAAGGTGCAAACTGCAAAATGGCACATGCATCCCCAGACATTTCCCATCATCCTTCCTGTTTTCTCCGCATAAACGCTCCAGTCTGGGGAAAGGGATCGTCGGGACAAATTCCACCACTGAGACACACGACTCAGGGAGTGACGAGTGACGAGACTCGACGGAATAAGGTAGTAGACTCGTAGCACTGCAGTAGGGCTCTCTAGTCTTCTCTACTGGCTGATCAATTGGACGAGATGGCGCAATTGGCCTGAAGCGTTCTAGCTCTCTCTCGGTAGGTCGGGGTGACATTTCTGTCAAAGACCGAGATTAGGCTCGTTGTCGCTTGTCATTAACCTGTGCAGACGGGTGAGGAGTTGAGAGGGCTCCAGAAGAGCGTTGCAAGTCAATGCCATACTGAGTGAGAGCCATGAGGAACCATTTTGACAGACCACACAGATCCTAAAAGAGCCTCTATAAACCACCTCCTTATATATTCAAGCACATACGACCACAGGGTGTGGAGAACAGGGCTTCCCGTCCGCTCAGCCGTACTCAAGCCACACGCCGGCCGGTTAGTAGTTGGGTGGGTGACCACCAGCGAATCCCGGCTGTTGTATGTTTTTGTTTCTTTTTATGTTGGATTTCCCTGCGTTCATGTTGAGTAGGATGGAATTCAAACGGGTGGCCGGCTAAATTGAGAGGCTTGAGGCTTGAGGCGTGGAGTAAGTACGAAGGATTGATGACTGCGGGTGAAAAGATGTTTGGGGGGCTGAAATGATAGAAATGCCTGGCGTCCTAAAATCTGAGGCACCACAAGGCAACAACATGAAAGCAGGATATCTTCATATATATATATCCATTTATCTTTTATTACTGACAAAATCCCGGCTAAACTGGCTAATCAATCTATTGCAAGCAACTTAGTGTTTAGCCAAGTCGTTTCATCGTTTCTACACGAAAAAAAAAAAAAATCTAGTTTGATGCATAGATAGCCTCAACGGCCCGCCCAATGAATGAAAAGGTTTAGAATAACACAGGTAGTTGCACAAGAGTCAGTATCTATATCTATTCATCAACATACCCCCATGACATCCGAATCGTCATTTCATCAACCGGCCTCTACACCGTCTTGGCTTTCGACGCGTCGCCATTCTGCGGTCCTACTGCACTGGCAGGAAGGGTATACAGCTGACGCTCGACATACTTGAGCAGTTCATCAATCACCCTTGGGTATGGTCAGCAACATTCAATTTCCAATTGCGAGTCGACAAGGGACAACTTACACGACAGGGGCACTAATGGCCAAGACCGCCTTCCATTCCATCCAATCCAAAGGCAGGATGGAGAAGAGCGACTGCAGGAACGGAATGTACAGAATCGCAAAGTGAAGACTCATCGAGAGGATGATGGCATACACCAGCATCATATTCTTCCACAGAGGGAAGGTGAGGAGAGATTCGCTGGAGGACAGCGCATTCATGGCATTCAACATCTCGATGACCACGAGAATCGAGAGCGACACGGTGGATGCAGAGCGGGACAAATCATTCGTGAACATCTCACACCCGATCTCAGGGAACTGGGAGGAGCACTTGTGGAAGTGAGACTGCAAAGGTGGTGTTAGATCATGGAACCAAAGCATGATGGTTCGGAGATACGCTTACCAGCTGCCAGAAAGAGATTTGTGGTCCTTCTGGGTTGTACACGAACCACCACACATAGCCGAAAACGGTAGCAGCACCAACGTAGGTACCAATGACCATATATCGGAAGAGTAGCCAGCCGCCGACGAGAGGTTCGTCGCGCTTGCGGGGAGCACGTCTCATCACATCATGGTCCGGAGGGTTGAACGACAAAGCAGTAGCAGGCAAGCCATCGGTAACCAAGTTGACCCAGAGAAGCTGAACGGGGATCAATGCTTCGGGCATACCAAGAGCGGCGGTCAGGAAGATGGAAACAACCTCGCCAATGTTCGACGAGATCAGGTACCGAATGAACTGCTGGGTGTTGCTGTAGATGGATCTGCCCTCCTCAACGGCCACCGTGATGGTGGCAAAGTTGTCGTCAGTGAGAACCATATCAGCGGCCAGCTTCGCAACGTCCGTTCCCGTACCCATGGCTACACCAATGTCGGCCTTCTTCAGAGCAGGAGCATCGTTAACACCGTCGCCCGTCATCGCAACCACATGGCCCTGGGATTGAAGGAGATCGACGAGCTTGGACTTGTGGCTGGGCTCCGTGCGCGAAAAGAGGGACGCTCTCTTCACGGCCTCAATCTGCTCACTCTGCGAGAGGCTGTCAAACTCACGACCCGTATAGCTCTTGCCCGTGAGGTCCTCGTTCTCCCCAAAGACACCAATTTGACGGCAAATAGACTCGGCAGTGTTGCGGTTATCACCCGTGATGACAATCACGCGAATACCGGCAGCGCGGCATTTCTGGATAGAATCAGCAACCTCGGCTCGGGGAGGATCCAGCATTCCGACAAGGCCGATCAGGGTCATGTTTCTCTCCAGCTGGGCGTAATCCTCGGGGGTTTGGGCATTGTGCAGAAGCGGGTTACCCGCGATGTCGTCAACGCTAGCCAGTGCCATAATACGCAAGCCACGGTTTCCATATTCGACCACTTCGCGGGAGAGAAGATCACTGTGCTCTTTGGTGAGAGAAACGCGAGATCCACCCGGTCCCAACAGGACATAAGAGCAACGTTCGAGAATCGATTCAGGAGCACCCTTGACGAGAAGCTTCTGGACGTTGTCCTTGGTAACGAGCACGGACATACTCTTGCGATCGCGCGAAAATTCGTAGGTAGCCAGTAACGGGAGACGGGATTCATAGTAGGCACTCGAGGCGTGGAGTCGCTGGGAGGCTGGGAGGCGCAACAGCTTGTTGTTTGTCGCGGCGTCATCAGTACCGATCTTTTCAACCAAGACTCTCAGCGCGCCTTCGGTAGGTTCACCGATGCAAGAAAACACGCCACTTTTGGCGTCATGAGCGAGTGTAGCACTGTTGCAGAGAGCCATCACTTCGGCCATGTGGCGAACCGTCGATGAGGTGGCAGCGAGGTTTTGCAACACCTTTCCATTACTGGAGAGTTTACCCTCGGGAGCAAAAGTTGTGCCTTCGACATCAATTTCCTCCAGATCGTCGCCGGTTGCGTTGAGGTAAACCATCTTCTCGACGCTCATTTGGTTGGTAGTCAAGGTTCCAGTCTTGTCGGAGCAGATCACACTGCAGCTACCCAAAGTTTCCACCGAGGGCAGAGACCGAACGACGGCATTCTTGCTCGCCATCTTACGAGTACCCAGAGCCAGACAGGTGGTGATCACGACGGCCAATCCTTCCGGAATGGCAGCCACACCCAGAGAGACCGCGATCTTCAGATAGTAGATGGCACCCTTGGCCCAGCCTCCGTGGGACGGCTCATTGAAGTGTTCAACGTTGATGACCCACACGAGGATGCAGATAACAGTAATCACCTTGGCCAGCATATCACCGAAGTCATTGAGCTTCTGCTTCAACGGAGTCGGCTCCGAGATCTGAGACGTGATACTTTCGTGGATACCGCCAATAGCAGTCGATGCACCAGTCAAGACCACGATAGCCGTAGCATGACCGTTCACGACCGAGGTGCCAGAGAAGAGAATGTTGGTTTGATCTTGCTTGACAGCGTGTTCGTCCTGGATGGTGCGAGCGTCTTTGGAAACGCTCTCGCTCTCACCTGTCAGGAGGGCCTGGTCAACCCGGAAACTGTTGCTATGGATTGCCAGCACGCGGCAGTCCGCGGGGATGCGATCTCCAACCGCGACATGAATGATATCTCCGGGGACCAGGTCTTCCGCCTTAATGCGCTTGGTGACACCATTGCGAACCACCGTCGCCTCATTTGCAGAGTATTCTTGAAGAGCAGCAATCGCCTTCTCCGCGCTGCTTTCTTGCGTAACACCAACCACGGCATTGAGGATGAGGATCGTCAGAATCTGTGTTGGCGCAAACCCGATTAGCCGATTTCCTGAGCTCGCGGTTTCACAGCACATACCACAACAGGGTCAACGAAAGCAGTCCAATCGTCGCCACCTTCGAAAAGAGCCAGTACGAAGGACACGGCAGCGGAACCAAGGAGAATCAGGACAAGCTGATCCTTGAACTGTTCGAGCACAAGTTCCCAGAGAGGAGTCGGGGGATCTTCTGCGAGAGCTATCCAATTACAAGAGAGGGTGGTCAGCTTGGATCACCTTGTGCCCCGGTGAATCAATGATAAGTAATACATACCATTTGGACCAGATCTCTGCCTGGAGTCCGTCACCTGGTCTTGCGACAGGCCATCATGCTCCGAGACTTTGAAATACTCCAGCACCTCTGCTGGAGACCGAATGAAGGATCGCTCCATTGTCAATCACACCTCCGACAAATTGAGCAAAATGTCGGGTAAGAGTGAGAGGAAGAGGAAGAGAGGAAGAGAACAAGGAAAAGAGAGAAGAAGAAGAAGAAGAAGACGAAGGAGAACCAAAGAGAAGAACTAGGAGAGAACGTGGGTTATCCAGTCAGCAGCAACATGAATGCCAAGTGGCCGGATGGACTGGTAGACTAAGTTAGGTAAACTTGGAGATAGCAAAGTTGGAGCCAGGATAACAGTGCCAGTAAACTACTAGTAGTCGGTGGATGGTTTCAGAAGGTCAGGAAGGATCTAGAAAGAAGAATAATAATACTCCTTCAGAGACCAAGATCAATAAATAAATAAATACGCCCAAGACCAGAAATTTCGTCAACATACCAGAGTAGGGAAAGACCGCCGAATGAAAGCGAAGTACTTTGCTTCAACATATATATCTCTAGTCAATCCAGAAGAATTGAATCATATCTGGATCCTCGTTGATGCAGTGATCTACTAGTATGGATTTCTGGCTGCTCCAACGTGTTCTCTTTTGCTGGGCGGTGATGGGATCAATAATCATCCCCGGTAGTCCAAGCAGGAAGACCAGCCGAAAGAGCCACAGGGCTGAACTGTATCATAACCTCATGGAGTCATGGTATGTATCAAGTTATCTACCTTCCTCGTCGAATATCTCTAGTTTCCAGGTTCGAGATTATCTCTACCTGTCTGTCGATGATGAGAAGAGCATTGCATCTCAGATCAGATAAAGGTGTCACTTCTACTTCATCGCGTGGACGGAACATCAATGTAGACAGGAAGCCCTCATATGTAATTGATCTTCATAAGGACAAATTCTCACCGACTAATAATAATAATGGAGTATGAACATAACTACAAATCTCCTCGAGATGATGCTCCACCGAGAAATATTGATGCCTTGAGGGACCCGTGCGAAGGGTCCCATTTCCACATCTCCTCTTTACCGCCGTCTGTCTGTCTATCTATCTAATTATTGGCATATATTTAGGGTCAATTCAACGTCATTCGGATGACGATTGGACATGGATTGATTCCAGGAGCCTCTTAAATCCTCCGTGCTTCCCATGATAAAATAGCAAGGGTCATGCTCCAGCTTCATACTTCTTTAGCCGTCTTCGAGGGCAATTCCAAGGGCAATCTTGAGGCGAATACAAGTATATACACACAGTATTCTCCTTCGCTAATGTCCATTCCAGCGGCAACCAAATATGTATCTGCATTTGCATGATGGCGGTGTCTTCTAGTCTTCTGACTACCTATCCTACCTATCCTTCTTCCTTTCCTGCATTTTTGTGACTTGACTCCATCATGGTGCCTCTTGCTGCAGAGCCTGGAACATAAGAGATGCCTCAGGTATGATTGGGATGCCTGATTGGGAACCTGAACACATGATTATCAAACTGTTCTGTGTCCTTGCAAATTGGTATATTCCGCATACAGTTCGTTTTATGTCCCTGTAGAAGCCCAATTTTTTTTTTTTTTCTGTTCTTCTCTCTCTCTCCTTTTCCTTCCAAATCATTCGCTTGCAGCCATAATTGCTTATTCCTATTCTATTCACACAAAGAGGACGAGGCTGTGTCATTCGGGAGTTTGATAAGCAAACTCGTTGAAGTGCTACAGAGTGTAGGACAGTAGAGAGTCGCCATGTCTTCGAGTCAAGGGGGATCTCTAAAATATTGATAAGATCGGGGGGGTATAAAAGGGTTTCCTGGTTGAGAGATAACCAGGCATGTTCTGTTAAGACAACCATTATTGATTATTACCGGTATACCTATTATTATTCTCCATCTACCATACCAACTGGCCTGAGGCTCAAACCCAAACAAACCAGGCAAACAAGGTCCCTCGCTAAAGCTGGCTGGCCCGTGACTGTCACCTCACCGATCCCCCTCCCCCCCAATCACGCTCCCTTTCATGCTGGACACTTGTTGCTGGGAAGAAGCCCGTATCGTGATTACTACTACTACTCCGTACTTGACTTCTCTCTCCTCCTCTTCCTCCCTCCTCTCAAACCAGATCCAATCCATCTTCTTACCTTTGTCTTTCTCCAAATCTCTCCCCATCAACTCTTCTCTTTTTCCATTTCTCATTTTACTCTAACCTTTTAACCTCCTCCCTTTCCTTCATACCCCTTATCTTCCACCATGACTTCTGAGGTACGTTGTTCCAGCCTAACCCCTCTCTCTGTTGTTGTCCACCCTGTCACCGCTGTCATGATATCGAGGGTTCTGGGCGTTCATAACCACCCCTCCCCCTCTCGCACGTACCTTGATTTTGATTTTGATTTTGTTTTGTTCCCTGTTGCTCTCGTGACCCTGCATCTCCGAGTTTTTTTTTTTTTTATTTTTTTTTATACTAACTATTGATCCCTTATGTGTAGCGTGAGAAGTAAGAATCACCAGCATGTCAAATCCCACCAGATGACAGCAGCACTGACGTCCTTCCCCTCCCTTTTACAGCAAGACTTTCCTCGCAAGGCTCTGCGAGCAGGCCGAGCGCTACGATGGTAAGCCAGCCTCGACGGTTTGGTTCGCTGAGACCCTGGACGCTAATTTTCACTCTCTTCAGAGATGGTTACCTACATGAAGGTTGGTTGTGTTGTCATGCCTGGTAAACGAGCGATTGGACTGATCCCACTGACCCTTCGAACAGGAAGTCGCCAACGTACGTAATGCGCTCCATAAACATCGTGACAATCCTACGAGACGTAATTCGAATTTTCAATGACTAACTCTTCTGGATAGATCGGAGGCGAACTTACCGTTGATGAGCGTAACCTTCTTTCCGTCGCCTACAAGAACGTGGTTGGTACTCGCCGTGCCTCCTGGCGTATCATCTCCTCCATCGAGCAGAAGGAGGAGTCCAAGGGCTCTGAGCAGCACGTTTCCATCATCCGCGATTACCGCCAGAAGATTGAAACCGAGCTGGAGAAGGTCTGCCAGGATGTCCTCGACGTTCTGGACGAGTCTCTCATCCCCAAGGCTGAGACCGGCGAGTCCAAGGTCTTCTACTACAAGATGTAAGCGATTCCTCCATTCAACCCTCACCTGCACATTTGCGTGGACTGATCACTCTTGGGTTGACAGGAAGGGTGACTACCACCGTTATCTGGCCGAGTTCGCTTCTGGCAACAAGCGCAAGGTTGCTGCTACCGCCGCTCACGAGGCTTACAAGGTATGATAAATCTATGGGACTATGCGCGCGGCGCATGACACCTCTTGCACCCGCGTTTTGATTACCTGCTAACTCGATGAACCTTTCTATAGAACGCCACCGATGTTGCTCAGACCGACCTCACCCCTACCCACCCCATCCGCCTTGGTCTCGCTCTGAACTTCTCCGTCTTCTACTACGAGATTCTGAACTCGCCCGACCGTGCTTGCCACCTTGCCAAGCAGGCTTTCGATGATGCCATTGCTGAGCTTGACTCTCTCTCGGAGGAGAGCTACCGCGACAGCACCCTGATCATGCAGCTGCTGCGTGACAACCTGACCCTGTGGACCTCTTCCGACGGCAACGAGCCCGAGGGTGCCCCTGCTGCCAAGGAGGATAAGCCCGAGGAGGAGGCCGCCGCCGCTCCCGAGGAGAAGGGTGAGGAGGCCAAGCCTGCTCCTGCTGAGTCCTAAGGGAGGAACGCGCGGTGGTTTCCTTTGTTGTATCAAAAGCCGTGTTGTCTCCTCGGCGTGTCTATTTGGACGTTCGGATTCTGCCTGGAAGTGATTCTGCGAGTCTTTTTTTAGCTGCGTGACTGGTTTGGACCGGCACATCTTTTCCACCTGTTCGGGATCGCATGGGCCGGGCCGGCGGAGTTTGATGATATCTGGAGAGGGAGGAAAAGGGGCTGAGTGGAATTTATCTCTCTTTTATTTTGTCTCTATTCCCACCCCAGCAAGATACAATTGTCGTTTCCATTTCACCCCTTGTTTTACAGCTCTCCCGCGCTTCCTTTTTTCCCCCTCCCCCTGTCCGCAGAGTTTATTCCCCCAATAAGTACCTGCAATTGAAAGTAGTATCGCTCCATTATACGAGCTTCAGCATGAAGACTTCGGGACTAGAATAATAGAAGTGGAAGGAAGCGTGATCGTCCGTTTACATTTGATTAGATCTCCGCATTTTCTCCACTCGAGGCTGAGACTTCATGTTTGTCCACCTACCCCTTTTTGAGTTCTCTTCAAATATCAACTCTCCCGCCCCTTTTCAGATTCACGCTTGCCCTGAACGTGGGGCACGTGATGCCATTCAAGTGATCTATCGAAATTGCTTGTTGACCGGCGAAGTCCGAGCTTTTGGTTTCCAGCAAACAGGAGGCCGTAGATAGGAGACTGTGGCTGGGAAGGATCTGTATAGACTTGATGGTAGTTATGCATAATGTAGCACTCATTAGAGGACTTCGCACATGGGAGCCATGGTGAAATTGAACTCGTGGGACAATAATATCCCAAGATACGACTCCGTATATAGAAATGTATAGATCGAGAGGTCTGTATAAGAAGGAAATGAGGTCCTGTTAGCGAAAGAGATGACTGTCTGGATTAATAGAACAGTACAGAGTATGCACAGAAAAGGAAAGGATGATGTCTAAAGAGCACAAGGGGAAAAAACTAAGAAAGATAAGAAAGCGAGCAAGGAAAGTCTGTTGCTTATGGATGAATGCTAACTCCTACAAAGATATTTTCATTGGTCCCAAATCACATAAAGTCATCATCCTCCAGTCCATCATCGTCATAAGAGGTAGCATCGATCTTGTTGTCTCTGTTCGCGACGAGCGAGACCTTGGTCTTGGCCGCCTTGCTCTTCTTGCTGCCCTTGTCGGCGGCGCGCTCCTCGCGCATCTTCTCGTTGCTGACGGTGGTCAGCGCACTGGCGATCTTCTTGACATCACCGCTGTTCAGCTCCTTGACGAGCTGCTTGGTGAACTCCTGCGCCCACAGCGCATAGTGCGGCTTCTTGGAGTGCGCCGTCAGCAGCGGGATGAGGGTGGTGGTCAGGCGCGCGAACTGGTCCTTGGTCGTGGGCTTGAACAGCGGCATGGCGGACAGGTCGACGGCCTGCGTGGGGTCGGCCGAGTCGCTGATGACGATGGCCTTGGGGGCGCCGCGGTTGCGGCTGCGGTTCAGGTCGATGTCGCCGAACAGGTCCTCGGCGTGCTTGAGGTCCGAGTCCTTCTCCGTGCGGCGCAGCCGCGCCCGCTTCTCCGCCTCGTCCTCGTCCTCGTCCTCATCCTCCTCGCTGTCCGCCTCCGCGTTCTTCCGCCGCTCCGCCTTGTGCTCCTCTATCCGCTGCGCCTTGCTCTTCTTCTTCGCGGCCGCTTCGGCCTCCGCTTTGGCCTTGGCCTCTGCCGCCTTGGCCGCCTTCTCGCGCTCTACTTCCGAGTCTTCGGCCGCGTCCCACGAGTCGAGCACCTGTGTTTCATCCGGTGGCGGTTTAGCCTTCGTCCTTCTTTGCCATCTAAAAGCAGGGGCTCCCCTCTCGAGTATATGTCGAGAGGCAGAGTGCAGAATGCAGAATGCAAGAAACCCACCTCTTCATCCTCCTCGTCGTCGAACTTGCGGCGGTTCACCACAGGGGGAGGGGAAACGCTCTCCTCCTCATCGTCTAGATCATGAAACAACCAAGGTCAGCATCATTTTGTCTCCACTGCTATCCAACAACACAAAGCATGAAGCAAATAAAATAGAATAAGATAAAATAAGATATATATAAAAAAAAAAATTAAAAAATTAAAAAAAAATATTCTCAATATGCAGTATGCCTTGTACTCAGATATATCATCCTCACTTACCCCACTTCGAAGGTGTCATGGCGGATAAAAATCCTCAGAAAATCAAACGAGACGGCACAGGGTAAAAGAGTTCGCGAGTGTTCCTCCGTGGATACTCGATCGTCGATTCGGCAGGGTCTACCGTGTTCGAGCAAGGCTGATTGTCGAGGGGATAGACGACGGGGGAGTGTCTTGATTTTTTTTTTTTTCTCTGCTGAGGGTGCACAAACAAGATCTCCATCGCAATGGACTTCACAAAGGGAATCGCATAGTGGGGCATGTGAAATGGTCACGTGAATTCCTACCATTGATGCCCGATAGTCAGTCCGTGGTCGAGGAATCCGAGTGTAACACATGGAAGGAATCTCTTCCTGCTGAGCGTTCGTTGGCTGAGTTGCTGGTTTCCTACTGCGTGAGATCGACCCTAGGTATTGTGTTCTACAAGGATCAATGTCCTACGGAAGATGTAAGGTTGGGATGCATTTTTCATTAAGACACTATATAGTGTAACTGATCATATCATCATCATAACTCTTTATGGGAGATAGCATCTGTGCGACGAGGCATGGAGCTTCATATACCGTCTAACAGTGCTGTCCATTTTTTCGAAGTCCCTAGAAGGGATCCGAGTCCAATCGTCATTCTTGTTGCGGATCGGATTGGATTGAGGAACCTTGCCATGTGCTGTTTCAAGGGTTCAGAGCTGCATTTACAGGTTAACAGCGGTGCGGAACTTGTCGCCGGCGTAGACGGCGTTGTCACCGAGCTCCTCCTCGATGCGGAGGATCTGGTTGAGCTTGGCCAGACGCTCGGAACGGGCAGGGGCACCGGTCTTGATCTGGCCGGCACGCAGACCGACGGCGATGTCGGCAATGGTGACATCCTCGGTCTCACCGGAGCGGTGGGAGACCATGACACCCCAGCCGTCGGCGTAGGAGTCCTTGGCAGCCTGGATGGACTCGGTAAGGGTACCGATCTGGTTGACCTTGAGCAGAAGAGCGTTGCAGGACTTGAGCTCGATGGCCTTCTTGATACGCTCGGGGTTGGTGACAGTCAGGTCATCACCGACGATCTGGAAGTCGGAGGTCTTGTAGAAGTAGCTCCAGGCCTCCCAGTCATCCTCAGCGAAGGGGTCCTCAATGCTGACAATGGGGTACTTGGCAGCCAGGGACTTGTACAGGTCGGCCAGCTGCTCGTAGGTGAGCCACTTGGAGGAGTCGCTCTCGGGGTTCTTGAAGTCCAAGTCGTACTTCTTGGCATCGGTCTTGTAGAACTCGCTGGAGGCAACGTCCATGGCGATCTTGATCTGGCCAGTGTAGCCGGCCTGCTCAATGGCGTCGGTGATCAGGTCGAGAGCCTCCTCGGCGGTCTGAATATCAGGAGCGACACCACCCTCATCACCAACGTTACCGGCGGACTGGCCGTACTTCTTCTTGGCGAGAGTCTTGAGCTTCTGGTAGACCTCAGAACCCTGGCGGAGAGCCTCGGAGAAAGAGGGAGCGGAGCTAGGAACTCAATGTTAATTGTCTAATCCATTTGGAAACAGTTCCAGTTCGGGTTGAGACTTACTCAGGGACAATCATGAACTCCTGGAAGGCCAGACGGCCACCAGCGTGGGAGCCACCGTTCAGGACGTTCTGAAAGGGAACGGGAAGGACATAGGGCTTCTTGGTACCGGCGAGGTCGGAGATGTGAGCGTAGAGAGGGACACCCTTCTCGGCAGCACCAGCCTTGGCAACAGCCAAGCTGACACCGAGGATGGCGTTAGCACCGAGGTTGGACTTGTTGGCAGTTCCATCAAGCTTGTTCAGGAACTCGTCAACCTTGGACTGGTCCTTGACGTCGATGTTCTCCTTGATGAGAGCAGGGCCAATGGTCTCGTTGACGTTCTTGACGGCCTGGAGGACACCTGTTGAGGACATCTGACATTAGTCTCACGATCTTTTGGGAGGAAAAGGCTGTTGGGATCAGTGGGCTGATGCTTACCCTTGCCACCCCAGTGGCTCTTGTCACCGTCACGGAGCTCGTGAGCCTCGTGCTGGCCTATCTGATAGTTAGCATTGGGAGATCAGGTCACGAAGGAAACACTCTGGATTGAACGAACCGGTGGAAGCTCCCGAAGGAACAATGGCACGGTGAAGACCAGTCTCAGTGACAACGTCCACCTCAACGGTGGGGTTACCACGAGAGTCGTAGACGGAACGAGCGTGGATCTTGGAGATAGGCATTCTGATGGATCTGTTGGATGGATCAGTGGGATGGAAATCAAAAAAGAGAAAACAGGAGGACTAGGCAACTGATATATAGGAGAGAGGGAAAGGGCAGTTGCTAGGGAGAGTACTGGGTATGACTAGCAGCGGGGGGTGGGTGTAGATGTCGTTCACCGATGACCCAAAATGAATGAGTGGATGGGAGATTCGGTGACAAGACGCGCAAGTGAAGCTGATCCAATCAATTGGACATTGGACTCACATTTGTTTAGCTAGTAGTTAAGGGGAAGAGATGGTGTGACTTTTAGAATGGATTAGGATTGAGATAAACAGCCCAACTCTTGTAGATATATGTAGATAGACAGTTGATGATGAGGAAGAGACGATGGAGGGGGAGAGGGGGGGGGGTATGGTGGGGTAATACACTTACTTGGTTGATGATGATCTCAGAGGGTGAAAAACGAACAAAAAAAAAAAAAACACAAAAGCTGTGAAATTTTACAAAGTACTTACTTTGGATGAAAAAACAACAGAAGAATTAACAGTGCACAAGGCTAGAGATCAGTCAATCCTAGAATCATCCAATCTGTCCAGACGGAATCCCCGTCTACTTGTACTTTTGTAGTCATGTCAACAACTGCTTTCCCCGGGTAAAGCTCCTGGTCGAAAGCTCCGATTCTTCCCAACATTAAGGTGGGGCAATTCAATCGTCCTGCTTCTCTCGCTGGCTGAGGCCTGGTTGATGCTGTTCTCCAGCGAGATCTTCCGCTTTCCCTCGGGGACAAGGCGGATGAGGATACTGGAGGGATCTATCTAGGTACTCTCTATGTTTCTTTTGCTGTGTTCATTCAATTGTCCATAGCATAGTGTTGTAGCTATGTGTCTAGCTTGGGGGTGCCTCTATAGTAGCAAGACTTGGTCATACCATCTATTGACATGGATAGTGCTAAGGATTGTCTTACATAGATTGGTAAGTTGATCTTACGATCTACACAGTACACCTCCTTAGAGAGACCTGTTGATAACACCACTGCTAAACAGCCATTCCACCTCGGCATGGCAATGTACTAGTCTAACTCAGTAGATAATAATAGTGCACAACTGCACATCTGTCATGACGCACTGGAGATTTGTTTTGTCTGGAAACTTCCATTTGTTTGGATTGCGTAATGGCCTAAAAAGATACCGTACCAGCGGTATGGCATCCACACAAGTATTGATGCCCGAGAATTCAGGCTAATGGTGCCTTCGTGCCTTCGTGCCTTGGTGCCTTGCAGCTGATTACTTATCATGTGACTTGGCAAGTGTCGTAGTTGGGGTCAGGTGACCTGTAAGTGGTTGCTTGGTGAGCTCTCGACAGCTTGACCAAGCTACAGCAGTGAGATCAGATACGATATACCCCATAACCATCTCCTTCTTTCGCCTTGCTCTTCTGCTAGCCTTCCGAGCCAATATCCCATCTGCTTCTTTACTCATATTTCTTTGTTTCAATCCACAAACCGACAGATCCAGCGAGGATATAGTCGCCCTACCACGATGAACGGCGCAGGTGACCCCGAGAGAGACCAAGCGCTCGAAGACTACAAATCGAGCCTCCTGGAGCTTCGAGAATGGGAAGCCAAGCTCAGAAACCTTCGCTTAGGCATTAAGGATTTACAGAGAGAGTTTGATATCTCTGAGGAGAACATCAAGGCTCTGCAGAGCGTCGGTCAGATCATCGGCGAGGTGTTGAAACAGTTGGATGAGGAGAGATGTATGTGTATCTTCATTTGAAAGCGTCAGATTCTGGTGCAGGGGCCCCTCTGCGGCATACTACATCAATCTGAAGTTATTGATTGCTAACATACTACCGTGAATAGTCATCGTTAAAGCGTCGTCGGGCCCCCGATATGTCGTCGGTTGCCGCTCCAAGGTCGACAAATCCAAGCTGAAACAGGGTACTCGCGTTGCCCTCGACATGACAACACTGACGATTATGCGGATGCTTCCGCGCGAGGTCGACCCCCTCGTGTACAACATGTCTCTGGAGGATCCCGGTCAAGTCAACTTTGCCGGCATCGGTGGTTTGAATGACCAGATCCGAGAGTTACGAGAAGTGATTGAGTTGCCGTTGAAGAACCCGGAGCTGTTCCAGAGAGTTGGTATTAAGCCACCCAAGGGTGTATTACTGTACGGACCTCCTGGTACCGGGAAGACGCTGCTGGCACGAGCAGTGGCAAGTTCAATGGAAACCAATTTCCTCAAGGGTAGGCTCAAATAATGTCCTTTCCATGAGCCTCGCTAACCTTTTATTTCTCTCTAGTTGTGTCGTCCGCTATCGTTGACAAGTATATTGGTGAATCTGCACGGTTAATAAGAGAGATGTTCGGCTACGCAAAGGAGCATGAGCCTTGTATCATCTTCATGGACGAAATCGACGCTATCGGTGGTCGTCGTTTCTCTGAAGGTACGTCGGCCGACAGAGAAATCCAGAGAACACTGATGGAACTCCTGAACCAACTGGATGGGTTCGACTACCTCGGAAAGACCAAGATCATCATGGCCACCAACCGGCCGGACACCCTCGATCCTGCCCTGTTGCGTGCGGGCCGTCTGGACCGGAAGATTGAGATTCCTCTCCCCAATGAGGTTGGTCGTCTGGAAATTATCAAGATCCACTCCAGCACTGTCCAGCTGGAGGGCGATATCGACTTTGAGAGTGTCGTGAAGATGAGCGACGGTCTCAACGGAGCTGATCTCCGCAATGTCGTTACGGAAGCGTACGTCATCCCTCTATCTTCTTGTGGATTTTGACAGAGTACTGACTTTCACAGTGGTCTTTTCGCCATCAAGGACTACCGGGATGCGATCAACCAGGACGACTTCAACAAAGCCGTCCGCAAGGTCGCAGAAGCCAAGAAGCTGGAGGGCAAGCTTGAATACCAGAAACTGTAGTGTAATCAGCCATCTACTTATTGCATAACTTGATCTTTGATGAAAGACCACCTGGACTAGACCGATTCTCCACAACATTCAGAAGCTCATAGCCTGATCATTCTCCTGACTTTCAACGTCCTCGTAGCCAACTTTTCAGTCTGAGTCGTTCAATGCTTGAAATGTGGAGGAGATATCTGATTATTCTCTGTCGATTTGGAGAAGCCGCTTTCCCCACAATTGATTGAGGTTGAAGTAGTAGACCCTTAAATCAAATGATATAAAGAATACCATAGACAGCCACTCTTCTCAAATAATCGAACCCTGTTTTCTACCATCTCTTCGCCTGCAATGCCCAGAATCCGAGGGAGCAGCAAGAGTCCACGCCAAGACGCTTGCTTTCTTCCCCAGGGCAACTCAGCCAGTCACACGTACAGATCGGCCCAAGACACAGCAAGAAGTGGCCACACCTACCAGTTCCACATCCGCCTCTTATCCAGACGCTTTTAAGCAGATTAGTGCAAAGGTACGCTGGACGACCTCTAGTTGCATCCTGGTCTGTTTTGTGAAGCGGATTGCGGTTGAGCTCCACGGATCCAAGCCCATACTTGGACCGGAATGTTTATTTGGTCTGCATTTACTTGGTAAACTTGGAGCTCCGGAGCTTTGGCCGTGTTTGATTTCAGTTCGCATCGCTAACGCATTCCCTTGGATTTCATAGATTGATCTTGAACATTCATATCCGGCGTTTTTTCTACAAGTTCCTGTTTATCATCCCCGGCACATGCTCGCCTGGATCCCTTCGTCATAGGAAGATCTCTCGGACAGCTGGCACCAGCCCCTGGGAGATCAAAAGCATCCTCCTCCCTCTCCATCGCAGCGGCCATGTCTAGATCTCCGTCGCAGCGCCTTCACAACGAGAACCAGTGGCGACCGAACCGCAATCCCAATTCCAATTCCAATCCCAGCGCCAGCCCTCTGGGCGGATATGGATTGTCACAGTCCGCGGGGGCATCGAATAAACTCGGCAACTTCTTCGACCGCGACCGCGCGCTGCCGATGTACAAGGACAAGCCGTACTTTGCGCCGCGGCGCACGGCGGTGAGAAGCCGGCAGAAGAGGATCACGTATGCCGGGCTGTGTGTGTTTGTGCTGGTGTGTCTGTGGTATTACCGGTCCGGGTCCGGGTCCGGTGAACAGCGCACGCGCGCGGCGGATGTGCCTGAGACGCATAAGGGCGAGGAGCTCTGGAAGTGGGTGCAGAGCTTGGGGGAGCCGGCGGCGGAACCTGAAGGCGGGCAGGGTCAGAATGTCGACTGGAGTGCGCGGAGGGAGAAAGTCCGGGATGCGTTTATTGTCAGTTGGGATGGGTATGAGAAACATGGGTGGGGTATGTTGTTGGCATTCTTTTTTTTTTTTTTTTTTTTGTTCGGTTGCTGGGAGGGATGGATGTGCTAACGGCAGCCTGTGCGTTTAGGATACGATGAATACCGACCCGTCACCAAAGAGGCGAAACAGATGGTTTCTGGTGGTATGGGGTGGATTATCGTGGATGCGCTTGACACGTTGATGATCATGAATCTTACGTCGCAGGTGCGGCATGCTCGCAACTGGATTCACAACTCGCTACGATACGACCAGGACCACGATGTCAACACGTTCGAAACAACGATCCGGATGTTGGGCGGGCTATTGTCGGCACATTATCTGTCTACTGCTCACCCGGAGCTCGCCCCGGTTGCCAATGATGATGCGGGCGAGGATCTGTACATTGAAAAGGCAACCGACCTGGCCGAACGACTGATGGGCGCGTTCGAATCCAAAACGGGGGTGCCGTATGCGAGCATCAACCTGAATGCGTCGGCGGGTATCCCGGCGCATTCGGACGACGGGGCCTCATCCACAGCAGAGGCGACTACCCTGCAGCTCGAGTTCAAGTATCTGGCCAAGCTGACGGGCGAGGCGGAATACTGGCGGGTGGTGGAGAAGGTGATGCAAGTGGTGGATGATCAGAAGATGGAGGATGGTTTGCTCCCGATCTTCATCTACCCGGAGACTGGTCATTTCAGGGGTGACAATATCCGTCTGGGAAGCCGGGGCGATTCATACTATGGTAGGCGCCTTTGATACAGGAGGGTGAACGAGAAACTTTACTGACGATGTATTAGAGTATTTGATCAAGCAATATCTGCAGACGGCGAAACAAGAGCCCATCTACAAAGATATGTGGGACGAATCCCTGATGGGCATCCGCAAGCATCTAATTGCGTACACCAAGCATGCGCGACTAATGATTCTTGGGGAAAAGCCCGAGGGACTCGAGGGGTACCTGTCGCCCAAGATGGACCACCTGGTTTGCTTCATGCCCGGGACCATTGCCCTGGGCGCCACTGGCGGTTTACCGCTGAGCGAAGCCAGGAAATCCCCGGAGTGGAGTGTCCGGCAGGACGAAGAGATCCTGCTCGCGCGGGAGCTGATGAAGACATGCTGGGCGACGTATCTGGCGACGGCGACGGGCCTGGCGCCCGAAATCACCTACTTCAAGATGGACGATCCGCCACTGATGTTCCAGGACGTGTACCCTGACGCCACGACGACGACGACCACCACCACCGGCAGCAACCGCAAATCCCACGGCGCGGGCGACGATCTGCCGCTCAAATCTGCACCCTTGTACCCGCTGAGCGACAAGACGCTCAGATGGCGCGAGGACATTGAGATCCACACGCAGGACCGACACAACCTGCAGCGCCCGGAGACGGTGGAGTCTCTGTTCTACATGTACCGCGTGACGGGCGACGAGATGTACCGGGAGTGGGGGTGGGAGATGTTCAAGTCGTTTGTGCAGTACACGGCGGTCGTCGAGCACGACGAGGCGGCTGCCACGGGCGACGATGGCCTCGACGCACCGCAGACGACGCCGGTAGACACCAACGGCGCCGCCGCGGCCACCCCGCGCCCGTCGCGGATCACGGGGTTCACGTCGCTGAGCGACGCGAACACGATACCGCCGGTGACGCGGGATAACATGGAGAGTTTCTGGATGGCGGAGACGCTCAAGTACTTCTACCTGCTGTTCTCGGAGCGCGAGTTCATCGCGCTGGAGGACCATGTGTTCAACACGGAGGCGCATCCGTTCCCGCGATTCCGGCCGACGGGGGATCTGAAGACGGGGTGGACGCGACAGCCGCGATGAGTGTAAACAGGCAGGCCGGCAGGCAAAACGAAATGTGTACATACACTGTTAAGTTTTAGACATGAAAATGATTAAAAGCTGGAGCTGCCTGACTCTAGCCAGCGTCACATACCTATATACCATGAGTGAATCAAATCAAATCAAATCAAATCTATACATACATATATATATATATATATATAACGGAATAAGTTCTTGTTAAGCACGAGTCCGCTCCAACGCAGCCTGCACCAGCTTCTTATACCCGCCGACCGCCTCCTCGAGCGCCCCGACCGTCAGGCCCTCATTCTCGCCATGCGCGACAAAGATACTCCCGGGGCCATACAGATAGCGCTTGACGGGGCCATCGGGGCGCGGATGGAGGTGCAGATTCGGCACGTCGGTCCCGTAGTTGACGGTCGTGATCTCGAAGCCGGGGACATCGACATCCAGGTCCTGCGGCGGGTACGCCTCGAGGTGGCGCGAGAAGTCGACGACGACGGCGGGGTCGCGGTGGGTGGCGTCGGCCACGGCCGCGGCGATGATGGCGCGGGCGTCGTCGACGGAGCCGGCGGCCAGGCGCACGGCGACGTCGGCGCGGGCGGCGGCCGGCACGACGTTGGTGGCGACGCCGCCCTCGAGCACGCCGATGTTGAGGGTGGTGCGGCCGTACTTGTGGCTGGCGGGCAGGCCGCCGTGGTGGACGGGGATGTGGCCGAGGGCGTCGACGCGGCGCAGCGCGGGCAGGATGGCGGAGACGGCGGAGCGGCCCAGCCACGGGTAGCCTGAGTGGGCGGGGCGGCCGGACGCGAGCACCTCGAAGCCGAGCATGCCCTTGTGGCCGGCGACGAGGGCGAAGTCGGTGGGCTCGCCGAAGATGACGGTGTGGAAGCGGGAGGGGGCCGGGTTGAGGCGCGGGTCGTGCGAGAAGGCCTTCATGCCGTCGCCGCCGACCTCCTCGCCGACGACGAAGAGGAGGCCGAGCGGGGCGGACGGGTCGGCGTGCAGGATGTCGAGCGCGGCGAAGATCTGGGCAGCGACGGAGGCTTTGGCGTCGACGGCGCCGCGGCCGGCGATGCGGATCAACTGTCTGTCGGTGGGGCGGCTGTCGTTGCGGTGCAGCGAGTACGGGATGAAGGGCGGGACGGTGTCGAGGTGGCTGGTGAGGAGGATCTCGGGGCGGGAGTGCGCGTGGGCGCGCGGGGAGGCGAAGATGTTGACGCGGTCGCCGGCGACGGGCTGCTTGACGACGGTGAAGTTGTGCGCCTCGAGAAAGTCCGCGACGAAGGCGGCGGCGCGGGCCTCGTGGCCGCTGATGCTCTCGATGGAGACGAGGTCGCGGTGGAAGGACAGCAGCGGCGAGGCATTGATGACGTCCTCGAGGTCATTGTGTCCTGATCCCGCCGCGGGGGGGAATGGATCTTCCTCTATCCCTATCCCTATCCCTATCCCTACTTCGGAGGTGGAAGCGGATGGGATGCCTCCCAAAGGAATCTGGCCCTGCGGAGATGCGGGGTGCGGAGCAGCAACCGAGCGCAGGGCAGTGCTGAGCGAGAGTAGTAGAGTAAGCGACCTCATGGCTGGAGGCGAGGGGGGAGGTTGGTAAACTTGGTTACAGAATGCAAGTACAAGTCACAAGTCACAAGTCAACAGGACAACCAGGGTGTGAGGCGTCGAGTCTGATCAGCCTGGGGGAGTGTGATGAACAGACTGAGAGATAGCAACTGGCGTTGAAGTCATCTTCCTCAGTGATTGGAGAGGATCAGGTCACGTGAGTAGTCTTCCCGTGTCCGAAGTACGAAGGGCCACACATTATTCCGAGCAGAGTAGTATTATCATACAGACGGCAGTAGTAGGGATATAGACAGATGAACGTATATTTTTAGCAGCATATGGCCATCTTCCTTGCGTACGTTAGTAGTGCCGCAGTCCCTCTCCTGCAGAAGAACGACAGACACTCAAGAATCAAGACCTCAAGATAGCCGGTTGTCCGATGCTCCGTGGCCAGTCTGTTCAATGACCGGAAAGTAAAAAACTACTGCCAAGAGAGGCAAAGTCCATGGAAACAGCAATCGGATTTACGTCAAAGGGACATCTTCTTTTTTGCCATGAGGGCGTTACCAATCATTCTGCACCACTGGATGGTGGTATTTGGGATCCATGTGGATTGTTAATATCGGTACCAGTTGTACTCGGTTCTTTTGGGAGAATACTACGTACTCTGGTCTCTGAGTTTCAGACTGGACTCCATGCGAAGAATCCGATGGAGTACGTAGTATATGGAGTATATGGATACCTGGAGAGGAGATACTCTCCACTCTCCATAGCGAGCGACATGATTGTGCAGTATACAGTAGACAGTATACAGTCTACACATATAATTCCTCCATTATTCATGCAGGTGAGCATGATGACACGACGTACTTGGCCGCCGTCGCACAACCGGTGGGAGCTCCAGGTTGTGTGTGTGTATCTCAGACCTCAGTAGGGCAAGTCCAGTGTCAATCCCAACAAGGATGACGAAGAGAGCTCGCAGGAAGAATCATCTTGTATAACCGGGTATTCGAGTCGGAGAGAGTCTAGAGCCTAGACGACGTTGCTCTTTTGCCCGTTGAGGCTTGGTTGGTGCACAGTGGAGCTTCTTTATCCTTAGACTCCGAGTAACTACGGAGTCACTAAGTGGTCTTTTGAAATTTTTCTCCGATCTCGCTTGAATAGTAGTAGTAGTAGTATTCCTGAGTCTGTCATAGCATAGGGTTCTAGTCCGTAGGTTGAAGGTTCTAGAGACCTGCATCTCTAGTATAGCATTAGAGATCATATGATTTGACTACTGAGTATTGACTACCGAGATGAGTGCATAACGATCATCCTCTGCCTTAGAGAGAGAGAGAGAGACAGAGTTCAAGTACCGAGTACCATTCGCTGAGTATTCTAGAAAGAAAGACTACCCGGAGTTCAGGACCAGACCAGTAATACTTACGGAGTAGTACTTCCAGACCAAGTACCGGTACTTTGTGGAAGCAAACCCGTTCCATGGAATGCGCTCTACGGAACGTACGGATTGCCTTTACTTTCAGGCCAACAAGACGCGGTGATTTGCTGACACAAAAGAACGACAACAACCGATGGCGTTTTTTTTTTTTTTTTCTTTCTGACAGAAGGAAATGGTAAAGAGAATTTTGACAGATGAGGCGACCCAGTAGATAGATAGATGAATAGATAGATAGATGAATAGATAGATAGATAGATAGAACAGTGAGATAGATGATAGATACTACTGAGAAAACTCTTTGTTACTCGGACCTGACCAGTCACTCCCCTCTAGAAGTCTAGCTAGATACTACTACTCCGAGTAGATAGATACTAGATCAAAAAAGTATCACAGACATTTTCATTCCATCGGTATCTTTCCACTCTTCATCTATCTCCTCTTTCCATCCATCTCTCTCTCTCTCTCTCTCTCTCTCTCCCAACTCCAACAGCATTCACCGCGTTGTCCCGATCATCAACCTTGCTCCTATTTGCTTCTACTGAGCTGTCACCCACTCGCGCGTCGTCCACGTCTGCATTCGATCTGTCGGCCCTACCGCCTGTTCGTCGCCTTCAGGCCCCCGAAATATCCCCTGTCTGCAGTCAATCAGAGTCCTTACAAAGTCTTTTACAAATCAATCTCGCCAGATCGCGATTTCGTTTTCCCTTCGTACCTTCGTCCCTCGACGGCCTGACTCACCCGGCTCAGCTCAAATCACAGCTTCTTTCCCCTGCTGGTAGACCGCCACGCCACGTACGGACTGGACTGACTTGCCTTTTGCTCCCAACCATCATTATCGTCATCGATTGACTCTCTTAAATACAAACGACGCTCAAACACCCCTACCTCCCTCCCCAGATCATGTCAACTTATTCTCCTGCAATCCACTCCGTCTAAAATCGCGCGTCTGCACGTGAATCCATCCCCCCCCCCCACGAGCAAAACCACCCCCTCTCCGTCCAAAACAATCCTCTCCACACCAAACATCCACCCACTGACTGGTCCATCGTGTTTCCTGCAACACACGGCGTCATGCTGAAACTCTCGCAATTACTAGACGCCAAACGGCGAGAGAGTTCAGATACAAATTCCGACTTCTCGCCCCAGTCGCGCCAGCCTCCACAATCGCCTCTGTCAGCCGATTCTTCCACCCCCGTCTCGCCTGTCGTCTCCCTCTTCTCCTCCAAGAGCCATACGCGTGTCTCCAGCTCTGTCTCCTCGCTCGTCTCCTCGTCAGAAGTCAAGAATTCGCTCGACAGTTCGTCGCGCAATCAGTTGACCGGAGTGCAAGAGGAGCCCTGTCAGGCAAAGGATCTCGAGGAGGAATATTTCCGTAGGTTACATGATCCCCCCCCCCCCCCTTGGCCAGACATTTTGGACGCGTACTGACTGCGGGTAGAACATTTCGATCAAGACATGTCCGACGTCCACGATGCCTACTTTGCAACCGTCGACTACTCAGATGCCTACGACCTGACCGATGCTGGCACCGACATCCCCCATTCTCCCAAGAAAAGACGTGCAGAGAGTATTTCGGGGAAAGGGCTCTCGCGGATCAGTTCGCGCATATCCACCATCTCCAGCCGCTGGAGGTCCTCCAACAACCGTCTCGCGGATGGTCCCGATGCCATGGATACCTTTGGAACGAGCCTGCGATCCCGCACCAACTCCACCTCGTCCTTCCGCGGCAGTTCGACCATCAGTCGAGTCGATTCCATCGCCATCCCTCCCTCACCCGCCCGAACCATCTTCGAGGAGCGCCTGAGTGAGTCGGGGGCCCAGCCGATCGATATCGCCAAAGCGAACAGCCAGTATGCACCGGAGGAGGAAGCCGAACATCCCCAGGCCACCACGCCCCTGCTGCCTCCCTTTATGGGGGATGAACCATTGAGCATGACGGCTTCGCGAGTTCAATCCCCTCTGCAGTCACCGTCCGTGGCGGATGTCTCCGAGGAGTCCCTAGAAAACAGTATGACCATCTCCGACCTCCGTCTGGCAGGGATCCCGTCGCCGCCACTGTCCTCCAAGCCATCCGTGGCCTCGTTCCACCACCGCCCGCGTGCCAGCACTATGCGAACCGTGTCCGGCGAAGGACCACCGCCGTTCATGCTGACCGACCCCAAGGACGAGTGGGCCAACAAGCTCGGCCATGCCAATTTCACGGTCCAACCCGAACCGTACGTGCCCGAAGTCTACGATCTGGCTGCCTTCCGCCAATTCCGCGAGCAGTGGGATCTGGCCCAGTGCCACTTCGCCAAGCACCTGGTGCGGACGGGGGAGCACTACGGGGTGACGTCGACCATCTTCCAGCTGACCGAGGCCAAGTGGGAGTCGATCAACAGCGAGTGGAAGCGCACGTATGAGGCCATGCTCTCGCAGCTGAAGGAGATGGACGGTTCCCTCATGGGCATCATCAAGTCCCACGGAGATCCCTGCGAACAGGTCAAGATCCCTCGTCTCCATGTGGACAAGTTCCCCGAACTGGGCGATGGCGAGATTGTTGGGCCCATGAAGATTGCGCCGGCAGTGAACATCCCGACCCCTTGCCGCACCCGATCCTTGAAGCGAAGCTTTTTCAAGTTCTTTCAGGATCTCGTATCTCGATCCTGAAGCGCCTTCACCTTTGCTTTTCTTTTCTTTTCTTTTCTTTTTTTTTGCCCCCTTCCACGGATTAATGACGATTATAGAGCCAATTTCCAAGAGGTTCTGATGTACAACATCATGTAATATGGGCCTCTGGGGAGATGATTTGATTGAGCGTTGTGACGACTAATGTCTTTTGCTTTTTTTCTATTTCCTTTTTAATGACTGATGACCCGCTTGTGCCTGGCGACTACTGACTCGCAAAGGGCCATTCCATTCTCTTGTCCAACCTTTCCATATGTCCTACTTCGGCTTTGATATCAGGGACACTTCCTTGTGCGATTGTCGCGCTGTTTCCGAACGGCCCCTCGTCTGGTGGACAGCATGTTACAGTGACGGAGCAAGAAGGTGGAAGTGGAAGAGGAGGGGGGGGGACCGTGGGCGAGCATGCAGGTGTGCGGGTTTGTGCAACCCTGCGTCTGTATCTGTGTCTGCCCACACGAAATCATGATTTCCTATGGTCCGCCGTGTATTATGTATATATGTACTCAAATATACCCGCATCCAATAATGGATAGTTCCGAAAAATTCCTCTCTCGTAGCCCATCCATCATCTTTTTTTTCGAATCAACCATCCTAATCCTTGGAGGTCTGAACTCAAACCCAAAACTGGCCCCAAAGCCGCCTCGCCTCCTCATCCCCGCGAAACCGAAAATCCACCCGCACGATCTCACTAAACCCTTCGTCCAGCGTGGGTTCCCTAAACCGGCGCAGAAAATCCCCAAACGCGACTCCCGGGAGCCGCGCACGGGACTCCGGATTCTACCTCACCACCACCATCATTACCATTACCAATCCACACAAAGGCAAGGGGGGGGGAAGGAATAGAACAGAACAGAACAGAACATACCAAAGTCCGATTCGCAGCGCGCACCGCCGCATTATGTCTGCACAGGTCCGGCGGGGAGGTAAAGTACACGCAGCGGATGGGGATGTGCATGTCGCGAGCCAGCGAGATCCATTCTGCGCGCGTGCCGGCGTCTGCGTTGGTGTTATCTATTTTCCCTCCCCGTTCCTGACGTTTAGCTCTTCTGCGGGTCTATTGATGTAATACTGTAGGGGTGTGGGGGGAAGGGTATTACTCACCGACGACGACGGACGAGCCGGCCGCGAGTGTCTCGCGTGCGACTTTGAGGCATTTCTGTCTCTGAGGAGGTGGGTACATTGCTGGTTAGCTTGCGTTGGGTTCCAACGCGGGGACGGGAAAAGGGGGGAGGTACGGTTTTGAGGAGATCTTGGTTCACGCGCTCGTAGCCCAGCGGCTGCAGGTGTGTCCAGTAGAAGGTTGATTTGCCGGCGGCGGGGCTGCCGCAGAAGAGGATGAGTTCGAGGGGGTGGACGCGGGAGAAGGGCGGGGGAGGTTCTTGTTTGTTGTTAGTTGGTTTTGTCTACTTCGTGGGTTGAAGAAGATGCAGGAGGAGGAGGAGGAGGAGGAGGAGGAGGAGGAGGATGAAGTACCATCGGTTGATAAATCCGCGAGATACGTAGATGGGTCGAACACCTCGCCGACGGCGGGCTCAGGGGCCGCGTCGAGGAAGAACTCCTCCGGTGTCTTGAAAGGGATGCCCACGTTGGCGGCAAAGCGGCTTCCCTCGTGCCGTAGCCACCGTCAGCAACGCTGTAACAAACCAAGCACCGCTCTTCTACTCCGAGACAGTGTATTCAACATACCGATCAACCGTCGAATGATCCCCCGGGCGCCCCGCCGCATCGCCCACATAGAACGACTCGTCCAGGGCCACACCGTACACATCCAAATCCCAGTCCTCGACGAACTCGCGCCACATGCCCGTGCGCGGCTTGCGGTGCTCGTCGTCCTCGGTAGCTGCGTAGACGCTGACGGGGATGTCGAGCTGGCGCATCACGGCAGCCGCGCGCTCCTTAAAGTTCGTGAGGCTTTTGGAGTCGGAGCGGCCCTTGCTGAGGGATTGGGTGAGGCTGATTCGTTTCTGGTTGGTGATGATCACGACGTGGTAGCTGTGGGTATATCAGATATGAGAGTAAATTAAGCAAGAGAAGGGGTGGGTACCCGCTCGCGCTCAGCGCCTTGAGCTTCGTCGGAACGTTGGGACTGAACCATTTCCAGTCTGACGAGTCGCGCGGGAAGGTATTCCCCGATGCTGTGACGACGAGGGTGGAGTCCTGTGATTCGCATCAGTCATACAGCTTGCAACAGGGGGTGAGCCAACAAGGAAAAGAGAAGTACAAGATCAAAAGCGGCCACTTTGGCCATTTCCTTCTTCGCGCGCGGCGGCTCGCTGTCCGGCGAGTACTTGCCGATGACCAGGCTGTACACGATGCGCCATGTAATCTTCTCCGGCTTTTTCTGCGACAGGGGTGTGAAGAACGTTGCCACGGATTTCTCTACATCACTAAAGATGAGAATGTTGCTTGAGAAGAGTAGGTGCAGATACAGTACTTACTTGTCACGGATGACTCGACTTTGCGTCTGATTGGGGGAGGTGAGATGGCCCGGGTTGGGGATATTGCTCTCTTGGAACCGCCGGCCACCATGATGCGGATCTGTCTGAAGGAAATCTTGATGTTGAAGATGGAGCTCAAGATGGGGGGTTATACCCGATATAGGGCGGGAGATATCGAGTAGTGGTCAGCGCCAGACTATGGCTCTAAACGATGGATACGGTCGACTCGGCTGAGTATACGATAATGGTATTCTAGAAAAGACAAAAGGAAGAAGAGATATCTAACTGCAGTGTTGCGCTGATGAAGCTGTGTTAGTTGATTGATAGTATGGATGAGGTTGACGCGCCAATACGCGAATCGGATTCACGAAGTCACATGTCTAGATAGGTTCAATGCCTGAGGCAGACAACCTGGAGCAGCACCAGCAAGGCAATAGACTATCATTACGTTTGGTCCACATAAACTAACACGTAAACGCTTTGGATTATTTCAGGACGAGTTTAGGCACTAAGCAGCCATGTCGGGGTATATTGCTAGGATATCAACGAAACCAAAGTCATCAGAAGTACTACTTCGCTCGCGTATCCAGCGACAGCCGATCCGCCATTTCCAGGCGGACGGCCGATTTGAGCTGTTCTCGAAGCCCAAAGAGATGCTGCGAGGCAATCTTCATGGTCTCCTGGCTGGCACCGTCCTGCACGGTGATGGCGGCCTGGAGGACATAGCTTCCGCTCCGCTCGAGCGGGGTCATTTCAGGGAGAGCGGGAAGCTGCCGCCGCGGCTCCTGAGACTCGGTGGGATAGTGCAGGACGCGATGGAGGAAGATGACGATATCGTGAAGGATGAAGATATCGCCTTCCACAGCGTACTCGGTCACGAAGCTAATCAGTCAATACCTTGCATTTTGAAAGGGACCAAAAAAAAAAAAAATAAGAAGAGGTGAAGACGAACTTGTAACCCCAGGCATTCATAGGAACCATGATATCGCCTCGAGGCAGACTCGCACTGGCCATCAGCCGTGCCGTGACCGCAGAGCGAGTGCCCGCCTCAGGGATATCTCGAAACTCCAGCTTCCAGGGCTGGTCGTCGTAGTCATAGCGATGCGGCCGGGTAGACGGTTTCTCATCCACACCAGCGCTCACACCCACACCCATGCCGGACATCTGCGCGTCCTGGTCGCCGACGGACACAGTCGGGGCGGGGGCACCGAAGTCCGCAGCAGCGACGGGGCCCACGACCTGCGTGTAGAACATGCCGCCATTGAGCATCTTGTTCAGGCGCTGCATCTCTGCGCCCTGCACATCCTGGCTAGCACCGACGCGGACATTGACCAGGCCGGGCTTACGGTAGGCTTTGAAGATCAGTCGTCGTTCGAAGCGGTGCTGGGGTTGCATGGCGGTCAAACCGGCCAGCTGCTGTAAGAGTTCATGATGCTGATGAGCTGGGACTGAGGCGAAGAGGAGCAGCTCATGCATGATCAAAAGGAGAGATAAGGGCCGTGGGCGGTCGAATCAGAATGGTGATTGCTTGGGGATTTCTGGTGATATCACGGGATTTCAGGACAAGAGTTTAGGTATGGGAAAATTGGTATTATTGGTACGGGATTGGTATGGATACAGATTACAAGAGCAGTTGATAGTACCTACCTCGTACTGTGTAGACACACTAGGGTCACAGCCTGAGCCTGGAGGTACGGTTGGAGGACTACAGAAGAGTCCTCGGGGCTCGGACAGAGTCGGAGGGCCGGGACGGAATGCACTGAATTGGGGAATTCGGCCTGGGTGCCTTGCAGCCTGAAAAGTGATGATCTTTTTATCTTTTATCTGGACTTCGGGGGTTTCGGTGTCCGTCTCGGCCCCGGATCAACCATGGTTCCGTTATCATAGGAAAAAAAGTGGTTTGTAATATAGGCAACTAAGAGTTTCTGATATGATGCTTGGCAGCTGACGTGTATGATGTAGGCAATAATCATAATTGACCAGAAAGACTCAATACTACTGGCAGTCTGGCACATGCATTAATCATATTTTCCCCCACCCCCGCCTGGTCGGAGAATGTGATACAATCATACTGGAAGTTACAACATACAACCATTCTGGACTTATCTAAGAGTAGAGGGGATGTTGCGAGTGACCACGTACCCCATCTGTTATACTCCGGACCGAGAGTCTAGAGTCTAGACGGAGTCCGAGGAGCTAAGGATGATGCTTGTATCAGTACTACTGTCGTATCCCTGTCAATAGCTGTCGTTCTTCCTGTTCTTCAGTCTTCCATTTCCGAGATGAGGGGAAAGTTAGGCCGCAGTGGATGATGGAGTCGTTATCTTGGCACTTTAGGACTAGATAACTGACTGCTTACAGTCTAAGTGTCGACTAACTACCGGATTGCGCCTTACGGGCTTACAGCCTGATGTCGTGACTGGTGAGGAGATTGAGGAGAAGCCAGGATGATCAACTACTATTGATTACTCTGTAGAATTAAAGAATGTAGCGGACGCAGGCACGAGAATTGGAGAACACTAAAGACTAAACACTAAGAAATTAGGTAGGGAACTAGAGTCATGCTGGGTACTGACTAGACTCACCGGGATGCAGCGTTAGGAAGGATGTGGAATGGAGGCAATCAGTCTGGGGAAGATGTCGGAAGAGGATCAAAGTTTATTGGGCCATCATCGCATTGACCGTCGACGTCTGTCCAATCCATGAGGCTTGGATCAGTCTCTACAGTCTACAACACCTCCAAGGGACACGAATGGAGATGCGGAGTTGGAGAAGCTCAAGCAGCATCTGATGCTCGGACGCGGATGCAGACTCTCAGACATGGGTTGATCTTCTCTATCGAGTAGTATCTACCGACTACGGTTCTTCATCCCGAGTCCCTCCATCTGGGGTTGATCATCCTGTGGAGGAATCTCAAGAAGAATCCAAGCACGAGAAGAGGACGGAGCAGGTACTCGTCCTTGTTGCTTTGCTTGTGCTTTGTACCTGTACTTGCAGTTGACACGAATATAGTACATGCTGGAGTCTGTAAAGTAGTAGGTGTATACTCCGTAGAGTACCAGCTACAAGCAAGACAGGAAATCAAGATTCAAGAGAATAAGTCGGAATTACAGACAGTAGAGCCCGTGTTTTCATTATCTGATAGACTAGTTGTACTGACTTATACACTTATACTACTCCGGACAAACCACACACCACCCTCCCCGAGCTTATCATTGAGACCCTCGCTTGGATAAATTTCATATCATAATATAATATCTTTGGAATCCCCCCCCCCTCTGTCTGCCTCTCTTATTATTCTTCCCTCCTCACACACACACACACACACACTCTCTCTCTCTCTCTCTTCTCATTCTCTCAATCTTCTTCACTTCTCAATCATCTCAATACTCTCAATAACTACTCCTCCCACATCTCCTCCACAGCAGGCTCCAGTCACAGCCTTGTCATACTAGCTCTCTCTGCTATTCTCAAATAGGGCTACCTCGGACCGATCGGACAGTACCGGATCTGGCGAATTTCTCTCACGCAATTCTCGTCTCCCACCATTGCAACTGATATACCCGCGTCTTCGTCTTCGTGTCGACTCGTAATCGTTCCTCCTTTCCAAATTCTTCGCCCTCCATACAACCAATCCACCCATTCAAAATGCGTGCCACTGTTGCTCTGCGAAACGCTGCTCGCACTCCTCTCATCCGCTTCGTCGGTCGCCGTTCGGTGCCTAGTATGTGCTCTCCCCGTCCACTTTTTTTTTTTTCTTACTCCCCATGGTCATCTTTCATCCGGTGAACTAATCGCGTCTCTGTTCTCTCCCCCCCCCTATAGAATCGATTGATCACACTCCTCGCGCTCATCCTGCTTCTCCCTCGGGCATTCTGCCCGACTCCTTCGCCGCCTACCGCATCAAGGCTCAGCAACACGGTCCTCTCGGTCGCGCATCTTTCTCCCAGGATTCAGTCGGTCGCTCGGCCGGAGCTTCCCTCGGCCCTGTCCAGCCCGCCCAAGGCGAATTTTTCGACCGTGCTGATCTTCCCGCCCGCTTCCACCGTTTGAAGTGGACTGAGGCCGAGATGGAGGCCATTGAGACTGGCGGCGCCAGCCTATTCGCTTAAATGAAGATGCTACGGACATAGATGCTTGTATGAGACGATGTCACGATTCATACGCAAGCTCATGTCGAGCGACAATTCTCTTTGCGGAGTGATCTTTCTATCGAACGGCAACTCGAGAACGGAGGAAGTGGTCTTCCATTGACCGGTCGGAGGTCATGGGAAATCGTAAACAGTCTGCGGTCCACGACGACTCCCAACCGGAGTCGCAGGGTCAATGTTTGAAGGACATCGCCTTCCAGGTCAGCAGCACTACTTCCCGTGCTGGTGATGGGGTTTTCAAACAGCGCGACTCCCCATCACCTCCGACAAATGGCCCGCATCGGGCTATTTCTTATTCTTCATTTTCATTTTTCATTTTCTTTTCTTTCAATCCTATTCGTCAATTCCTTTGGATGGCGCTGGTGGTTTGCTGGTCACGGCACTTAGCGGTTACAAGTTGGTTATTATTCTCGGGCGCGTTTCAACACCATGGGGTTTTCTTTCGATGTTTGACTGGGGGGATTGTCAAGGTCCACAAACATCTGTACATACATGATGGGTTCTATTCTTCCTCTCAAAAGTCTGCTCAATTGGTCAGACTGACTGTTCGTCAGGAGGTTCGAATACCTTCCCGCTGGCTATTGTTTACCACAGGAGGTTCTCAACGATGACACAATGCTTTCTGAAGATCAATATATTTCTCATCCACGTTCTCCACCTGTCATTGCCATGACGGTTTGTAGATTGGTTGACTAGTACCAAGCTCTAAGCTCCTGTAGACTGTAGTTCACGGCGTACTTAGCTCTCCGCCCAGACTGGGGTCGTCGCACGTGTCCCAGTCGTATAGTCAACCGCCATCTCGAACATGTCAAACATCACTCGTCCATCTATCATCCGGCCACCCTCACCCCAAACTTGGGGAATCGCATTTAGTCTAACCATTCTGGTCTGCTGTGGCATATGAAATCTTGACCAACCCCAAAGAGTTTGCCTAAGCCAAGAGCCAGAAGAATGGTTTCAAGCAATGCAAAGGCCACCATCACCTTTACCGAAGTAGATGAGACCAACCATCCGACGGCGACGTACATCTACTCCGAGAGTCAAGAACCTTCTTCCAGTTCAGATGACAAGATCGCCAGGAGGGGGAGGGTGGATGTATTAGTAAGTAGCCGAGCCCACCTTAAGAACTGAATGTCTACATCTGGTCGTCACCCTCAACATCTATATGCATAACACTATTGACATGAAACTAGCATCCTTCTTCTGCCCCCTCCTCGCCACGGTCTCTAAAGACTCTCGTCGACCTGCTCGTCGACGTCTTCCTTCCATCTGGATACCCACACAGTGTCACTGATGACTATCTTCCGTGAACCCATCTCTCACCATGACTATGCGACTGAGAATCTATGGCTAATTGTATGCAGATACCAAATCTTTGTACCTCTCCCCCCAAGCACATAACTGGCAAACCAGCATCGGTCAAGCTGATCCCACGCACAGGACTCCCTCCAAGCATTCTGCAGCTCCATCGCTGGTCTCCTATCCTCTAGGGCCGTCCTCCAAGGCGAGTTTACTTCCATCTCGCAACCCCACAACCCACTAACAACCCCCTAGGCGTCGGGGTCGGCAACGCCGATGCCACCCCAACATCAGCCCTGCTCCTGCACATCCTGCAGGACACTTCTGGGCGGATCGCCACGATCCTCTTCGCCCACCGCGTCGGGACCGCCCTCGAGCCCGAGTGTAAGATGTACCGCCTCGCGGCCGATGTGTTCAACGACCTCGCCATGATCCTGGATTGCCTGTCGCCGATGATCCCGGCGGGCGTCAGCCGCATCACCGTGCTCAGCACGGCTGGTGTGTTGAGGGCACTGTGTGGAGTGGCCGGGGGAAGCTCCAAGGCGAGTCTGAGCGCGCATTTTGCGCGCGGGGGGAACCTCGCCGAGGTCAATGCCGTGAGTTGAAGCCAAACAACCGCTAGCAGGCGTAAACAAGAGCGAGAAGACTGACATGCAGGGCTTGCAGAAAGACTCTTCTCAGGAAACAATTATCTCCCTCGTCGGGATGCTGGTAGCCCTCCCCTGGTCCCAGCCCCCAGCCCTTCTCACTCGCTTGCCCCAGAAAAAAAAAAAAAGTACTCACTGCGTTCCATGTATACGTATAGGTCGGCTCCCTCGTCGTCTCACACGTCACCGGCTTCGCCGCAACCTGGCTCAGCCTCCTCTTCCTCCTCGCCGCCCATCTAGCCATGAACTATGCCGCCGTGCGCGCCGTCCAAATGACCAGCCTCAACCGACAGCGCGCCAACATCGTCTTCTCAACCCTCCTCGACTCCGACCCAGCCTTCACCCTCGCCCCGGATCCCCAATCCAACACAGCCTCCCTCCCCCTCCCCCTCCCCAACCCGCCAACCCCAGCCCAAGTCTCTTACCACGAAACCATCTTCGAGCGAGATGGCCTCCTCGCCTGGAAGCCAATATCAGTGTCCTCAACGCCATTGCCAACCCTCAAGCTGGGCTACGCCCATATCGGCGTCTCGCTGACCCGCTTCCTGCGTCTCAAATCCAGCAGTAGCAGCAGAAGCAGAAGCAGCCCACCCCCGCTCACCCTCCTCGCAACCCTCTTCGCAGACGAAGAATACATCCTCTTCATAACCCAGGCATCATCGAGACCAACATCGGCACCAACCTACCACGCCGGCATTCTGCTCAAGAGGTCTTGCGGCGCGCGCGCGCAGCTCAAGGCGTGGGCGCATGCGTTGCTTGCGGCGCGGGTTCTTTCTTCGTCTGCGTCTGCGTCTGCGTTTTCATCGTTGGATTCGGGAGAAGAAAGAGAAGGAGAAGGAGAAGGGCGGCTGTTGGGGGTTGTTGCGGATACGCTGCGGTTTTTGAATCGCGGGGACCGGTTTGGGGAGTACCTCCGTGTGCTTGAGGCCGCCGGGTGGGATCTTGATATAGCTGCGTTGGAGACGAGGTCGGGGCGGAGGATTGCGGTTGATATGTAGCGTATTTGTCCTTGTACTGTAGATAGATGGTCGTGGATAGCCGAGTGGTACTATTAACCCCGTGCTTGGATACTCGGAAGAGGAGGAAGTAATGTGCAGAGGCAGTTTATTGGGTATCTATATACATGCCAGAAAAGGTGTCGGACATGTAAAGCTCTATCAGAGGCTAAACATGTCGAGAAACCTCCCAGGGAAATGAGTCCATGCATCCATCATCAATCAGTCGTCAATCGAGCCAGGGCCGGAATGGGGCGCCATTCCTCGGCCTCGCCTTCAATCTCGCCCACAAGCAAACCCAACGCCCAAGGACAGAGTCGCCTCCCGTCCTGTTTTGCAAATAACCCAAAGTCTATAAAGTGTTTTTTCCTTGAACCGCACAAGAAGAGGAAAGATGCTCGCTCGCCCGCTTGGCCTCACACATGAAAATAACAAGAAAAAAAAAAAAAGAGAAAACGCCTGCTAGAAAATGCATCCGAAAGAAACATATGCCATGCGTCACACCGTTCACTCATATCCAAACAATCCAAATGCGAAACAATCGCTAGTATGCATGCCGCTGAAGAGTATGCCAATCAAGCCGTGTCTATCAAATGATGCAGCGTAAGAAACGTAATAAATAACAGCCAGAGATATGACTCTTCGGTGTCGAAAGAGTGACTATCATCCAGGAGTTTGAAGTTGTCCCAAAGTTGGAACTATCGTATGCCGTAGGAACACAGCGCATTTATTCATCCATGCTGGAGAATCGCATATGCTGACTCCCCGAGCTTCCGTTGGCAGATCGCTTCTTGAACCCCAACTTCATCCCCATCTTCTTCCAAGGGTTCTCGGTACGATGCTTCGGGCTATGCCCCAACGGCATGTAGGGTTCGCTCGAGGGAGGTGTGGTGGGAGGAGTCATGGGCTCCCCGGCGGATTGCGAACTGCCCGAATCATCGGTCAGCGCGGCTGAGCCAGATTCGCCGCTCGTGCTAGAAGTCGGACCGGAAGATCGGTTGCTGGATTTACCGATGGAGGTAACGGCATTCAGCGAAAAATTGGTGCGGCTCGAGTGACCCGATGGTGGGCCTGACGAGATCGGAGATCCCAACTCCCTTGAAGATTTAGGAGAGAGCCGCTTGCCCTTCGAACGAACCCTCTTGACCGCATGCTCATCGAGATTCGAGTGTGATACTACTGTGACATCCTCATCGTTGGGAAACAACGGCTCGGAGAGTGGAAGGACATGAGCGGACGAGGCATGAGCGTTGAGAAAGGGAATGAATATCGACTCCTCCATTAAATCGTGAACCAACTTCACTGCAGCGTCGAGTGTCTCTGGCGGCGGTGGGGTGTGCGCATTCGCTTGTCGCAGAATCTCCTCGCGAACTTCGCTGGACACATTGATTTCACGGGGAGCCCCGGCGATGACGTATGCGGTCAACAAGCGCTGCCAGAGCATGCGCAGATGTTGGCTCTCGGGGCAATCGGTCACGATGGGGGACTCTTGCAACCGGTGAGTGAGAGAATCGTACGTCTCGCGATACCGCTTGGCCTCGAGGGTAAATTCGAGAGTTTCGAGACAATGGTTTTGGGAGAGATACGCCATAAACGCGCTGAGGGTGTAGGGCGCAGGTGCCGTGTTCGCCAGCACCTCGTCGAGTGTTGGTCGCATGGGACAGAACGCGCCCGGGGCATTTAAACTCAGCGGGCGCGAGCCAGACGATTCCATGTCCTCGTCTGACTCGCTATCCGACGAGGACGACGTCGGCGAGAGTTCGGGGGTCGAGGTGGGGGAGTTGTTCCAGAAGAATAGAGGAGGATATAAAGACCTCTTCTTGAGCATCGCGTATAGCATGCGGCGCCCTTATCGTTCGTGTTTCTTTGGGAGTAAGTGTTATTGCACACAGAACGATCCTCTTGACCGAGGTGTGTGCGATTGATGGGGATCGCTCTTGTTGAAGTATTCCACGGGTCGCAGGGAATCCCCTATTTCCCTGACCCGGATGATCGAGCTGATGACGAACACACTGGGCAACTGTTGGTGATGGAGAGCCGTCGGTCCAAGACAATGTCTGCCGCTTCCCGACACAAAACCCGACTCGGTGTGTTGCGATGCAAGAGGCCGCGATATATACGGTCGATATGGACTCAGAAGGCGCAGTAGGAATTGGTAGGAATATTCGAATCGAAAGGTTGCCTTTATTGTATGGAGCTAAAGCGGATTGTTGATGATACCAATGTCATTGAACGAGGGGCGAGGAGTGGTGGGAGACAAAGGACTGATTAGTTGTGCTGCCTGCCGCGGTCGTCGTATAGTATAGTACTATGGAGGAGAGAGATAATGAAACACAAGATGAGCAGTATAGAGTACAATGACGATAATGGTGATAATGATAGTATAGTTGGTGGTGGTAAGACAAGGGAATGATTACATGAGCAGACGAAAGAAAAGAAAAGTCAAATCCAAACGAGTTTTAGTGAGAGTTCCAGTGATCCAGGGAAGAGGGGAAGATGGGTAGTTTTGAATGAGAGGAATAATATGAAGAGAGTCAGTCAGTCAGTAGGAAGTGGAGAGAGGATCACAGTACAGTCGATGATCAGACCCTTCAGAATTCAAATCCCTGCACGGAAGCGTCGAGCAGCCGGGGGGCGGTTGGGTCCACAGGAACGGCGCAGTGTAAGTGAGTGTAGGGGGGGGGGAAGGGAAAAAAAAAAAAAAAAAATTAGGTACAAAAAAAAAAAAGAATATTTTTTATTATTGTTCATTTTCTTTTTTTTATTATTTTTATTATTATTTTGAATTTATTTTATTTTATTTTATTCCATTTCTTGATTCGAAAAATAATAAGAGGGTAGCCGCCAGAGATGAAAGAATGGATCCAAAGTTCCAGACACACACCTCCCAATCCCAGAGTCGAATCAAATCAACGCTTCTGACAATCGACCCAGAGGCAGCGCTTCACTTGCGCCGCGAATCAATAAGGGAAATGACGATACTTCCCGGTCGATCGTAGCAAGGAATCGCGCCTTTTTCCCCCGTGTCTGGGTCCAGTTGCTATCACTCTATCTCTGTAGTCTGTACTTATCTGCCTTCCTGTCCCGACGTCGGCGGATATGGAGAACCACTCACAGGTTAGATTAGGGGGGTGTGCACTGTGGAAAGATAATCAGACAATGATATGAGAACGGGGGATGTGTGCGCCTTGTTGGCAAAGAAGCCATACCTTATAGTTATGAATGGCGACAAAGGATAGTCAATTTAGGCATAATAATAGTACTAACTAACTATTCTGGCACCGTAGTAGATGGAATGATCGATATTATTTGGCAGAAGGCACTCCTGACTTGAATCCTGACTGAGTCCTGACTACTGACAGCCTGCGAGAGAAACCAAAGAGAACAAGTGAGATCACGTCATGCCTTGCCCAAGGATTATTATCAACCAGATAAAGAAGGAGAATAGAAAGTGTGCATGTAACCTAACCAGAATCTGGATGCCTCTAGTGGAGAACCCTGCAATAGGATCGTGTTTGTCACTGGTTGAACAATGAAAAGCAGGTGGATCCCGTTCATATCACGCCAGACAAGACAAAATAGGACAGGTGGAATCAGAGCATAGTGGGTCCAGGACTTTGTGGGCTGTGGTACTCAGGTGCTCAATGGTTGAAGAGGGAAAAAAGAGAAAAAAGAGAAAAATGAAAAATGAAAAATGAAAAATGAAAAAAAAAGAAAAGAGAAAAGAGAAGGTGGAGTCGTGGCATTAAGCAGGAAGATGGTAGGAGTGGAGACCAGCGCCGCTTGTCTGACCTGTTTCTCTCAGCGATTCTACGGTTTCTCAGCCTATCTGTCAGTCTCGTGCTCTTCTAGAATGGTTCTACCTATCTATCTGACTGTCCTATGTTCAAATGTTGAGTGGAACTTTTTCCGTTTGGATGATCCATTGATCAGAATGGGTGTTGTGGGCTTGTTGCAAAGGAGAACAGGAACAGGCAAGAGCATTCATGTAGTTCCATCAGGATGATGAAATAATAGGCAGCATTAGGAAGAGAGGACATTCACATCGCGCAGATCTAATGCAATGTTCCGCAACAGATAGTTATCAGGAGACAATTTGATACCTGAATATGGCAGGGAATTTGTACGTAGCAGCAAGGGGAAAGGTTCTTGAGGGGTTTATAAGGTTTGAATCTCGTTGATCATGACAAAATATTGCAGGAGCGCGCGAAGGAGCGATCCCTTTCCTCTATATGTATGATGTACATAGCTCTGACCCAGACTCTACAGTGCTACACTTATCTTGTCCAAGTCGTCGGAAGAAGCTGGGATTGGGATGAGGAGGATGGTAGAGTTACTCCAGAGGACAGGACTAAGTAAGCAACTCATGACCAGACCACAACAGACAAACTTTACCAACAAGCACCTGACATGAAGCCATCCCTGGTTGGCTCCAAAGTCTCTCGGATCTTGACTGCGGACTCTGGAGTCTTGAGAGTCTTGACTCAATACCTCTAGGGTTCATAACGGCTGCGAGGTCCAAGGTCGAAGCAGACTTTCATTACAGTTCAGTACCATTCTTTGGTGATGATGTCCATGATCTATCTACTCCGTAGACATGTAGTCATCTAGCTACTCCGTAGTATTTAGATACATTCCACGTCCGTATATTCCCGCGCATTCTTTCTGTTGCTTGAATTGCGTGGCATCGTGACAGATTGCGGTTGAAGAAAGTCGATCCATTCCACTGGAACGCTCTTCAAGAATCAGAGTTCATGTCGTTCAACTTTACTTGGTCCGTCCAGCTTTCCAATTCCGATCATAGTCATAATCATACACATCCACTGTTTCAATAGCTTGACTGCTTAAGAGTCCGATCGCACTAAAAAACCCGCGCTAAATTGGCAACAGCTGATAGAAGACGCGAGACGGTCGTGCAGAGCCCATTGTGCTCCTTGATTGGCGACCAGCTCCCAGATTTACAGGTTGCCAAGAAGGCTGTGCAGCCAGAAGCAAGGGAGGGTACGAGGGGAGTGAGTGAGTGACACCACATACTTCGCTAGTGCGATGCTAGACTGGGGGAGAAAGTCTGGAGTAGTTGAAGCTGCTGCTGATAGGGAAACTTTCCACCTTACTGTGGTAGGCTAGTTTGGAACCAGCTATCTTACTGGATATCTCAATAATCATGGTCCTCCAGTCTCAGAAGTCAGAAGCTCTATCTATCTACTCTATCTCTTACCTACCTAGGTGAGTAGGTACCTAAGTCCTAAGGTAATCCGTAGAGTTTAAAACTCTCAACCTGCTGGTTCGTTCAATCATCTCCCTCTTCCTCGATAGGAATCGATGATCCCATCTTTCGAATCATCAACCCTGCACGAGTCATGGTATGTGACCTCTCAGCTTCAAGAGCACCCATACCTCCGAAGACATCTGCAGTAGTAAGTACCTCTCTTCCTATAACTACTATCATCTATCAGTTTCATCCCCGACCGTGGTGGTCAAGATATGGAGCTACTTTGGAGCTAACGTCCGCCATCGTCAGACTATTTCCAAAAGAGATGTGGTGGTGTCACCCCTCCCCAGACTGGCTGTCTGCAAGGGCCAGCATCTTGCACCATACCCTGTCCTTAACTACTTATAGTAGGACTCCATCATTGGAAAGTCGACACTGATTACGACTGGAACACAATTTCCAGCGTGTGTCAAACTTCCTGTATGGCTCAACTGATTTGAAGTTCTCGATCCTCCTATCCCCGGTTTTCAATTCCCCCCTTCATTCTGGGCTTCTTTCCATAATCGTGGTTGTCTCAGAGCGGGGGAAGGAGTTGAGAAACAGACTCCGTCACAAGTCACGACAGTTGCTTTCCCGTTAGCTTTCCAGAACATCAAGTGGAAACGCCCAAGAATCTTCCACAGGAATGTTACTGGCACTGCTACTTACTACTTAGTGTTTGCCCCCTTCTCGAGAAGGAAAATAGGGTTTCAAATTTCAATACCCACAAATCAGAATGTGAGAATGCCACATTGGGGCTTCGGGCCGTCCGTACGTAAGTTTGTCGATATGTGGCTCCTGGCCACTGGCCACAATTCCCTTTACTATTCAATCCACTGGGAATTGGGCATTAGTCTACTCTGTACTCCGTAGTAGGGAGGGGGGATAAAAGAGGGCAAAAGAGGGGTGGCTGAGGTTAGAAGTGTTAGTTGGTTGGCGTGGTCAACTGTTAGGTAGTGCGTGGACATACGCACGACAGGCGCGTGGCTATTCAAAGTTGCAAATCCCCCTCCGCTGCGCGTTGCCAGGGGATTTCTGGCGAATCTCCACAGTTCATTTCTGAGGGTGGGACCCACTGCCCAGAGCGCCACACATTTTCGCGCGGAGAGGCCAGCGAAAGGGTAACCGCAGTGCGCCAGGCTGCAGGCGCAGGCGGCCACTCAAACAACGTGTTAGGATTTGGGCGTCAAGACATGAATAAGAGACTACCTACAGAGTCGTTGGAGGGTTGGAGGGAACATGCCTTATGGGGAGGCTAGAAGAATAAGCCAGTCACGAGGATTGGATCTTAAGCTCGTCCTTTGTCTGGGCTTCTTGTCGCAAGGCAATCAGCAGTGAGCTTGACTGCCACTGATTTGTTAGATGATGGCTTGTGCTTTCGGCGCGCTTGGCATCTGACCTTGGGGATTCCAGGCTTCCCAGGGCCCCAGGCCCCCAGCGCTAAACATCTATCTAGTAGACTAACAGTCTCAGTATGTAGTAAATACCCTGTGGTCTGGTGGATATTCTACCAGAGGTTCTTGAATGTCTTTGCGAATTCCGACTCAGTTTGATGCCCACTTGTCGGTTCTATCCTT